CACAAAAAATATTTTATTTACCATAATTAAATTTATGATAGTCTACTAAAAATTAAAAAAATATATTTTTTATATTTTTATATACTAAAGAATATTAATCATTTTATATTTTCTATATTTATTCCATTCTTTGTTTTATTTTTAATTTTTTTAATTAATTAATTTTATTTTTTTACGATTATTTGGTTATTTAAAGTGATCCAGAAAGTTTATTATATCTATATACCTTTGAATATTTATCTTCCGGAAACTATTTAAAAGAATTAATAAAGCTACTATAACTTTTCCGGAATCTATAATACAAAACTTTCCGGAAAAATAAATTTATAATCTTTCCGGAAAAATACAAAACTTTCCGGAAAAATAAATTTATAATCTTTCCGGAAAAATACAAAACTTTCCGGAAAAGATAGATTTATAACCTTCCCGGAAAAATACAAAACTTTCCGGAAAGGATAGATTTATAACCTTTCCGGAAAAGTTTCCGGAAACTATAATATAGAATTTCCGAAAAATTAAATATTAATCTTTTCCGGAAAATAATATTCTATAACTTTTCCGGAAAACTTGTATAAATATAGCTAGTAATATAAACTTTTCCGGAAACCTTATCAGACAAATAGACAATAAATAGAAGCCTTCCGGAAAAAAATAGAAGCCTTCCGGAAAAAAATAGAAGCCTTCCGGAAAAAAATAGAAGCCTTCCGGAAAAAATAAAATATTATAAGAGTTATTTCCATTTTTCAATAGCAAGCTTCTACCATCGCCAAGAATAATTTTAAATAAAAAAGAAAGATGTCAAAAATCAAGAAATAAATTTTATAAATTATAAAGCAGAATACAAAAATCATTTTTATATATTTTTTAACATATTTACCGTATTTTCTCGATTAATTCCCCTGGGGATTTATTTTTTCAACCCTTCCTTTGCATGGGGAATTAATCGAGGGAGGGGAATTATTAGAGTTTTGGCATTTGAACGTGCAGTAGGGTATTTGGTGGTGGGGAATTATTGTTTCAACCCAACTCTAGCATGGGGAATTAATCGAGAGGGGGAATTATTCGAGGGAGGGGAATTAATCGAGAAAATACGGTAATCATTTTTCAGAACAAAAAAATAATAAAGGTTAATATAGAGTTTGGTAGCGACAGTTACCAATTTCCTTATGAATTACTTTGTCTTTTTTTTTTATTTTGCCGAAAAGATGATTGAGTTGACCGATTTTTTTTTAATTTTTAGTACTAGGTGGTATTAATAATTATTAATAAATATTAATAATAAATCGGAAAATGAGAAAATAAAAAAATGAAAGAAAAATTAATTAAAAAATAAATAAAGGAAGTTGAAGAAGAAAAACTGGTAAATAATTTTTTAAAATATTAGTTAGTTAGTTTTTTTAAAAGTTTTTTTGAATGAGTTTTTTGAAGACTGGCGCCTTTGAATATTAAGCAAGTTTTATGTTTTTTTTTTATTTTTTTCTAAATTAATTATTTTTTGGACAGTATATTTCTCAATGAAGGACGTTTGGGCGCGCGGTCATAAAAAAGTCAATAAAATACCTAAATTTATGAAATTTTGCGGAGACATCCTTATTACTGTTAGGTATCTACTCTGAAAATTTCAGAATTTTTAGTCAAGTATTTGTTAAGTTATGGTCAAAAATGTAACAATTTTAGGTTAGAAACGGGCACTTTTAGTTGTTTTTCTAGCATAATTTCAGAAAGCACAAACCAGAAATTCTGAAATTTAATTTTTGAATTATCTAACAATTTATAAATAAAATAAGACGAGGAAAATAAAAATTAAAAAAAGAAACAAAAAAAAATTAAATTTATTTTTACTTAATATATAATTATTAGTTAATTTATTAGTTTGTTATTTAATTAAAATAAATTAATTAATTAATCATTTTTAACTTATATTAACTTAAGAAACACCTAGACAGTTTAAGGCACGTGGTTAAACTTTAAAAAAATTTCTTGTTTACTATAAATTGTGAGAAAATTAGTACCCTAGTTTAGCTTATTTTTTAATTAAATTTATAAACTTATTAATCAAAAAAAATTTCTATAAATGTCGAAATGATTATTTTAAAGTGTTTCTTAAATTTTTAAATAATCAACGATCACCTATTTATTTAATTAATTAGTATATTGGACAAATGTCATCGAGAAAAAATTTCTTGAAATCGGGTGAAGTCAGGGTGAACAAGGCAGTGGATGCCTTAACAACGACAGTGTCGGAACTTGGGACTGTCGGAGCTTGCTCAAAAGTCAGAGCAAGGAAATCGGAAAACGGAAAAAAATTTTTTAAATAAAATCCTTTTTTAATATAATTTAACCTCTGCTTAGCAACGAAGTTGAAATTGAGAACGAAATAGAAAAAACAATTTTTTAAACAAATTTTAATTTTCGAGATATCTAGCGATAAATTGGATTTTTCACATCAAATTTTTCCTAATAAAATTAAAAATCTATCGCTTCAAAAATGGAGGGAAGGCATTTGAGGGAGGGTAATTAATACAGGTTATAGGTAAATCTGAACAGTTAACAGATAAAATAATAATTAAAAAAAATTTTTTTGATAAAATTAAAAAGGAGATAAAGTTTGACGAGATTTGATTGTTTTGTTCTGTGTGTTGATTGCCCTCTAATTAAATACTTTTATATATTGTTGATTGCGATATTTAATTAATTGATAAATGAATTGGTCTATCGCCGAAGCTGGAAAATAAGAAAAGAGACTGGCAGAAGGAGATGAGGAAGGAGGGGGGATGGATATGTTTGGGCGGATGTAAAAATAAAAAGGATTATTTATGGAAAGAAAGGAAGGAAAAATAATTTTTTGGTAAATAATGTAGAGGTTATAAATTAAATTTAATTAAAGTTAAATGTCAGTTTGTGGTCGAAGGTTATGTGTGAAATTTATGTGAAAAATTGTGAGAAAAGCATTGCCAAAAGAACAAATTTTGTGGTTGAAGGTCTCTACTTATTTGGAACATTGGCACATAGACTCGTTGCCAGGGATGAACGCAGTTGTGTGTGTGTGTGTTTTATTTTCTCCACCCATGCTCGTTGCCTTATTAGCAACTTTATACTCGGTAATTCTGACATGAGGAATATTCCCAGAATTTATTTTTTCATTTTATTTTACATCCGTAGAACCATGAATTTACATTCAGTAATGAACAGTAGCCATCAAAAAATTATTATTTAGCAGTGGTCATCAAAATCACACTAATAAATAGGAAAAGTTTCTTTCATAAATGGATTCCAAAGAATTTTGACTCTAATACAAGGATCCCAGAACTTAGTTAAAGCCATTATACAACTCCTGGAGCAATCCCTCTCCTAGTGATCCCTCATAGCTCTAATTCCCCCTAAGAAGAGTTTTGTCTCCTCACAATTCCTCCAATGTCCAACTTTCCTCTAGACACTAAAAAAGGGGATAAATTTATTTTGAAATATCATATAAACAGGAAGAAACTAAAACTCTCTTTCTTAAAATTTGGTGATAATCAACATTGACTTGCTTTGTCATTTTATTTTATTTATTTCTTGTCATTTCTCGCCTTTAATTTTCGCGCATTCATGCCCTTCCTTTTTATTTTCTCAAAACTAAAATCCTTTTTCTGTCAATTTCTCGGTTTGTGTGTGTGTGCCCTCTAGTAATCCATCATTTTGAATATTTAAATATTTTTAAAATTTATATATTTTTTTCTTGCAAAATATTGCACTTTTTAGAGCAAAGAAATTGTCAATTTTTAAATAAAATATTATTAAAAAAGGTTGCAAATAAGTTGGTAAAAGGTTTGAAAAATATTTTTAAAAAATTGCTAAAAGGTTGTAAAAAAGTTGGAAAAAGGTTGGTAAAAAGTTTTGCAAAAGGTTGCAAAAAAGTTGGAAAAAAGTTGGTAATAAGTTGGTAATAAGTTGGAACAAGGTTGGTAAAAAGTTGGAATAAAGTTGGTAAAAAGTTTCTAATAAGTTGCCGAAGTTGGAAAAAAAGTTGCAATAAAATAAAATAATAAGTTGGTAAAAGTCTGTAAAAAAGTTGGTAGCAGGATGGAAACAGGTTGGAAAAAGGTTAAAAATTTAATTAAAGTTGGAAAAATATTCAGGGAAAAAGGTTGGTAATGTAAAGAAGGAAATAATTAAAAATAAGTTTTCAAAGAAAATATATTTTCCGGAAATGTTTGACTGCCCTGCTTTTCCGGAAAAATATTTTTTGGGCGCAGTCTATATTTGGGCGCTACTTTTATGTTACTCAACACATCTCACTATTTTTAAAATAAAATTAAGGAATTTGAGGAAGTAGAATATTTTTACATTTTTCATTTAAAGATGAGTGAGAGATAAGAATGCAAAAAATAAATAAAAAAATATAATAAAAAATTGTGTACAAATCGTCGTCTGCCTCACTTTTTTATACAAGGTAAACAAAAAACTGGAATAATAAATAAAAATAATTAAAGAAAAATAAAAAAATAAAATAAAAAGTGGGTATAATATTTAATTAGACAGACAGTAATGGGGGGAGGCTTGAAGGGAATTCAAATTACGGTGATAAGGGGATGGGGTCCTTGAAGAGTGATAAATCAGTTCCATTTTACATGGGACGTTTCTGAATTTAATTTACACTAGGATCAATTTTCTTGGAGAACGGGGGCAAGATCAAGAAGAACTCCCTCTCCTCTTCTCTATGGACCAGAAATTTTCCAGCTAGAATTTTCAAGGTGAATCCAACTATACGTCCAACTCTGTTACCCCCCCCCCCCCCCCCCACCTTCCCAAGGAAACCTTATAACTTTGTAAATTTTATTTTTACATGAAAAAGTAACAAAAATACCTGTAAAAATATTAATAAAAAACACACGTCTTTTATTATGTAAATCGTCATGGAAACGATGCATTTTCCCCCTTTTATTTGTCCGACAATTGGAAAATAAAATTTATTTTTAAATGTCTTAAAATTATATTTTTATTTTAAAAATGCTAAAATGTCAACAAAAAATAATATTAAAGTAGTAAATAAAAATATTTCTGCAGAACGTTTAGGCTTACTTAGAGAAGAATGTCAAAGATTAGGGAAAATGTTAGAAGAACAAATTCAACAACATTATTATAGGTAAATAAGCTTTAATAAATTAATGGAAATAATATGAAAATAAATTCCGGAAATATAAGCAACCTTCCGGAAATAGAAAATATATTCCGGAAAAATTAATAGAAGTAATATTAAAATTGATACCAGAAATAAAAACTTTCCTGAAATATACTTATAAAATAAATTCCGGAAATATTATTATAATATGTATTTTCCGGAAAACGTGATACTTTTCCGGAAAAATTATTATAATATGTATTTTCCGGAAAACGTGATACTTTTCCGGAAAAATTATTATAATATGTATTTTCCGGAAAACGTGATACTTTTCCGGAAATAATATGAAAATTTATACCAGAAATATAAAACTTTCCGAAAAAATAAAATAAATTCCGGAAATATTATTATGTATTTTCCGGAAAATTTGATATTTTTCCGGAAAAATTATTATAATATGTATTTTCCGGATTAATATTTTTCCGGGAATAATATGAAAATTGATACCAGAAATATAAAACTTTCCGGAAAAATAAAATAAATTCCGGAAATATACTGATAGAATCTTTTCCGGAAAAAATATAACTTACTGAAGATAAAAATAAATTCTGAAAATATAATAGTAGAAACTTTTCCGGAAATATAATATAATGTTTTATTCCAGTTTATACTAAAGTCTCAGTCACAAGTTATAAACATTAAAACCTTCCGGAAATATAATAAATAAAAAACCCTGATATATTTAAAATAAAATTATTTTTAGATGTGGAATAAACATTAATTTCCATCAACAACAAAATAACTTAACAAATAGAAAAGCTTTAGCAACAATTTTGAAAATCAGCAAGCCTCCTCAACTTCCAGAAAAATTAAAAGAAAAATCCCCTTCCCCTCTAAAATATTCCCCTCCTCCAATTTATCAGTTTAAAAGGAAAAATAATTTTTTAAATCAAAGCCCTTCCCCCTCAAAAATTTTTTATAATTTTAATCAATTTATTTTTCCACCAATACAAAGATGGCACCCAACAGTTTGGCCGACAAAAAAGAAAAATTCTCCTAAAAATAAATTAAGAAATAATTTAATAAATGAAGGGAAAGACAACGGTACTAAAACCCATATTGTTGAATTTCCTGCTAATGCTACAATTCCAAAACCTTTTTGGTTCACTAAACGGTAGAAATTAAATTCATAAAAATGCTATTTCCGGAAAATTAAATTAAATAATTTCTAGTGTTTCCGGTTTTATGGCTAAGTTGGTTGGTTTTTTATGTTCATTTTTAGAGAGTTTCTAAGGGTGGGGGTTCGATGCCTTCGTGATTCTAATTAATTTTTACGATTTTTAACAACCTTATTTTTACTTCTGCGACATTTTAAATTAATTTTTAAATTAAAAGAAATTTTTATTTTTTATATTTCATGTCTAAAAATTTTTTTATTTCTCCATATTAGCCCTCCAATCCCTTGTATCTATGCAGAACGTCACTTGCATCAAATGATGGAAGAAAAGCGTCGGGAAGACCTCCAATTCAAGTTGTATCGTTTCCGGGCTCGTTCAGTTCCAATAAGTACATATAGACAACCAAAGCTTGATTGGAAGTCAAAAAATCAGAGGTTTAGAACGCGCTCACTTCCCTCGAGAAGTTTAACTTCCGCAGCCTATTCCTCTTCTGATTTTGCTTTGAATGAGAGGAAAGGTTTTGAACAAATTTCTTTGGCTTTTTAACTAATTTACTCATTAAAGCCAATCTACATACTCGATCACCTCCCCTCTCAACTTATTTAAGACCTTCAAGTTGTAGCCAATCAATGGAAGAATTGAGAGCATTGAAAGCACAAAGGAGGAGTGTTCAACTTTTATCCAAAGCTCATGGACCTATTGGGGTTGAGGTAAATTTGAGGAAAATGTACAGTCAGACCTCACTTATAAGTACATATAAGTGAGGTCTGACTCATAGCTGAAAAATCGCTTTTATAATGAGCTGTATATTAACTAGAAGGTAGCGTTTAGGCAACTCACCGGCCTCCCCTCACCTTCGATTTTTCCTTAGTATGTACATAAGGGTCAGACATTCTTCCATCTATAAGTCTGAACATTCCATCTATGTTCAGACTTATATCCATCCATCCTACCAGCTTCAGAAATTAAGACCTATGCCACGCTGGGTACATATGTAGACCTCTAGTATTGGGTATATTTTAATAAGTTAGGTCAAACAAGCTTAAATCTCATTTTCAAAAATTAAAGGAACACTCAATAAGATGGAGAATTCTTTACAAATTACGCCATTCCCAGCAGTGTTTGGCCCCTTCAAGGCCTCTTTCCAACAGTTTTAGAGCTCAAACAATGCCCGACTTTGCTAAATTACAAGAAGAATTTAGTAGAAAATTGGCAGCAAATAGAAGATTTAGAGCAAGCACAGTACCTAGACCCTTCCATTTAAGCGAACGAAGATATAATGGAGAGATACGAGGGCACAGTTGTGAAGTAATTTGGAAGGGATATAAAATTTTTTTATTTTTTAGAGTTGGACTAGGAAAGATAGGGAAGATAAACGAAGAAATATGGAACCAGAAAGAAGACAAGAAAGGGGAAGAAAAGTGTGGAGGTGATAATAAACATGAAAATTAAAAATAAATGGTGATATGTAAAAATCATAGATTTGCTAGTTTATAAAATTTAAAATTATTAAAAAGGTTAAAAATAAAATATAAAAAATATAAAGTATTAAAAGTGTTAGAGGGAAAAAAACACCATACCGAAAAATGGTGTTTTTTGAGAATTGATCGTAGCCGACAACCTCTTTTTAGGGGGGGGTTTCGTTTTTTTCTTCTACATTGCCCATTTTTGACTTTTCCATAACTTTTCGCCTGTGGTGCAGGAAAACGATGCTTCTTGTCCTTCCAAATTAACATATGCATTAAAACATAAAGAATAATTCCATTACCAAATTCTCAATAAATTTTTTAATTTATCTTTTACTAATTACTATAAAAGCCCTTCTTTATCCTCCTCACCCTTTTTTCTAAATCCAAAATAAATTGCCATCAATTCACCTAAAATGCATCAAAGCTTCGTCTACATCGACTCATCTCTACTCGCGTTGGCATTACTCCTATTTTCAATACTTCTGCCGGCTTATTCATGTGTCCACTGCATCAAGAAGAAGTCGACGAAGAAGGCAAAGGGCTCAAAATCAGAAGACGAACTCGTCAAGTCACTAGTAAAGAAGTTGGACAGAGCCAAGAAAGAAATGAAGGCTGAGACACCAAAGAAGCCTACTTTGGAAGCGGATGGGGCAGCTAAAGTTGAAAAGAAACCTGGGGGTGGCAAAGCGGACAATTCTCCCAAAGATGATCAGCTTCTACAAGCAAAGGGAGGAGATGTAAAGAAAGCTCCACTTCCCGCGGACAAAGGCAAGGAAGAGGGAAAAGAGGTTAAAGCTTCCTCACGTAATGATATCATCAGCATACCTATCGGTGTCAAAATTGGACAATATATGGTGGAAGAGGCTTTGGGTTCTGGTAAGTCTTCGGAATTTTTTGGTGAGAAATCCACAAAAAAAAATTTTTTTCAGGCGGCTGTGGTGTTGTCTACAAAGTCAAAACAAAAAGTGGCGAATATCACGCAATGAAACTTGAACGAACGGACCAGAAGAGGCGAGATCAACTCCTTCCTTTAGAAGCGCACGTTCTCAAGCAGCTACAGTTTACTGACTACGCTGCAAAATTTATTGAATATGGAAAATGCTCATGTGGGTTTTTGACCAAAAATTTTTTAAAAATCTTTCAAAAAATTTTTTTGTTTTTCAGCAAAAGACCTGTCATTTCATGTACTTGTTATGGCCCTTCTAGGCAAGTCTATAAGTGATTTGCAGGACAAGAGACCTAAATTCAAGTTCACAACTGGGACCGTCCTTCGAATTGGTTTGCAGGCGTTAAGGGTGGGGAGGCTTATCTTCTACTAATATCTCTCCCTTCATTTTCAGGGAATTGCCTTTCTTCACAGCATTTATTACGTTCATAGAGACGTCAAGCCGTCCAATTTTGCCATTGACCGAAACAATCAGAAGAGAGTGTATCTGATAGATTTTGGACTGTCACGGTCATTGAGGAAGAGGGCAACAAAGCTTTTGAGGAAGCCTAGAGCAGGTGTGCCCTTCCGTGGAACTCCAGGCTATTGTAGTTTGAATGGTATGTTTTTTTACTGAGATTGAATAAATATTTATCATTTTCAGCGCATAAACGTGTCGAGCTTGGCCGTCATGACGATCTCTGGTCTCTCGTCTATATGATGGTTGATTTGAACAATGGTTCCTTGCCTTGGTTCGGTCAGGAGAATAGAGAACATGCTGCAGTTTTGAAGGAATTTCTGATTGAAAGTGAATATATGCATGTCTGTTACCTATCTAGTTCACCCAAAATCTCTAAAAAAAATTTTTTTTCAGGGCTGTCCACTCGCATTCAGATCAATTATGGACTACCTCCGTACTTTAACCTACAAGCAAAGACCCGACTATCACGGCCTGGAATCTATCTTTATTCAAATGCTTGAAGCACGGGATATTAGCAGCAATCAGCCAATGGATTGGGAGCCTCTTTATATAAAGAGACCGGAGGAAGTAAGAAAGCCATCAGCTGTTAGTTCCTTTGATCCCTTGTAGAAAATTAATTTTTAAACATTTTTCCAGGCCAAAAACCCCAAAGCAACCGATACTGTCGTTGATTTGGCGGATAAAACTCAGGACTCCAACACTCCACAATCTGGATCTGGATAACTTGAAAAGCGTCTTGAAGTATATATGAATATTGGGGGATATCTATAAATTCACTATATCTAATTGAATATATTTTTGTTTGTTGTCTTTTCTTTGTTATAATAAATTGTAGGAATAAAAACAATTGTTAATTATGTCCAATAATTAGTATTTAGTATATGATCTGCCTCACACAGAATTCCATTTTTTGACTCATATACTTCCGCGTTCCGTATTTTGCAATGTATTACCCGCCGATTTTACACCTATAATTTTGGTCTTATTAAAAAAAACTAGTTGGGCTTTCCTTTAAATTTTCCTTGGGCCAATAAATGAAGAAATCTGATTCACGGCCTTCAAAAATTATCAAAAATGAAAAAATTTTCATCTACCGACTTCCAAAATTCTCAAAAGTATCCAGTAGTCAAGAGATAAATTTTCCGTTTAAAAAAAGGAGGAATTAAAAAAGGCCGTAAGCTGTTAGTCCCCTTATTTTTGAAAAAAAATAATTTTCAATCTTTCCATGCCAAAAACACCTTCCATGCCAAACTTATTTTGAAGGGGATCATTAGTAAATCCCCCGTCCCAAAAATTGAAGAAAACTTCGGGTCGGTACACTATGCACTCATAATATTTACTTAACTAAATTTAATTGAATTATTGCATATTAAGTAGATTTTGGGTGAAAAAGGGAAGAATAAATTTTAAAACTTGAAATTTTTATTTTTAAACACATAAATTATTCCTTTTTTTTAATTTAGATAAATTAAAAAATTTAACAATCTCCAGTTTAACAATCTCCACAATTTAAAATTCACCCCCCCCCCCTCCTCCCGAAATCGGGAATTTAGATTTTTTGTCGGCTCGTTCCCTGGTATATACTGTAAAGCATATAGCTATTTAATTCCTAAGGCTGTGCAGTAGGCGGCGTGGTGTAATGGCTAACACATCAGTCCGGTCTAGTACCCCGAAACCCCAAAATTACTATACCCCGAAAACCCCAAAATTTTTTCGGGTCGAGGAATGGAGTTTTCACTTTTTTCGGGGTCAGGGAGAATTGTGAAAACTCGTTCGGGTACGTGGATGGGTACAACTCTACTATTTAAGCAGTCCTCTTTAAATTTAAAATTCATTCCTTCCTTCAAATTCAACAATCTCCACAATTTAACAATCTCCACAATCATTATGAACTTTCTAAGGCGAACATTTTTTGGATTACCGCGTCAAGCATTGCCAGATACTACGGATTCTCTTCAGTCAATGATGTTTATTGATGAACACGGAGAAATTACATGGGAATTGTGTGAATGTGCTGTTTCCCTTCCAAGCAAAAAACTCTTAATTGGGCCTTGGTAGAGTTGAATTTTCTTTTAATTTTTGATTTTCTCTTTTTCAGTATTGCAGCCTTTAGCGGCAAAAACTCTTATAAGAAGTCACAATTCATTCCTATCACTTTGCATAATGATTCAAAGCATGAATGGATTGTCTTTAAAGTGCAACATTATGAAGTGAGTGAGATTAGAGATCGAGAATTTTTGAAAAGCCTGGACCTTCCTAGACTTTGGAGTTTGATTTATTGACTTGGGCCGAATCCTGGGTTTGTAGTCCAGGAAAGCCTGTAGTCCGACTGTAGTCCTGGGCCTGTATTCCAGGAAAACCCCAGGAAGGTCAAAGAATGCCAGGACTTGGATTCTAGGTACAGGAAAAACCAAGGCCTTGGTCCAGACCCAGCTCGATCTCTAGTATATTTGGAGCTGTTTTGGCTGTTTAAAAAATTCTTCCCTTATAGCCAAGAGACCCTTTTCTGGCACAAGAACAACTTGCAAAACTTGAAAAGGCCTGTGTTCCTTTAATGGCTTCTCCTAATGTTGGATTAATTGGGCCCGGACAGGACGTGGTGTTCAAACTTATTTTGCCGGATCGTAATATTTGGCCTGTTAGTCGGTGAGGACATTTTAAAATTAATTTTGAAGACTTGTTTACTTTGGGGTACCTACCCCAATTATTCCCAATCACCCCATTTATTCCCAAGCCAGTAATACCTAGGTCACTGTGCCGAAACAGATTTTAAAAGGCGAAAAACGAAACTGTCACCCCCTGGGTATACCTAATGTTACTGTGGATAAAGACCAAGCGACTTTGACCATTTTGGGCTTGCGAATAAATGGAGTGGGTACCTAGCAGGGGTGGGCTTAGTCTTGTATCTCGTTAAATCTCGTTTATTAGAGGTCTCGTATCTCGTTTTATCGTTCTCGTATTTTTAATATCTCGTGAATCTCGTGTCTCGTATTTTGTGGGCTTGGCCACCCCTGGTACCTAAGTAATTCGATTAATTTTGGACATTTCTAAATTTTAAGAGAAGCAACTATCGGCAAAATGGGCTACTTTCGTATTTTACAAATGCAAGTAACTGATCCATGGGAGGTATTAAGTGCGTTTAGCGGTAATAATACTTCGCTAACAAGAGGAATTAAACAACTCTTTGATGCATTAAATACTGCTAGAAGCTGTGAGGATGCTTTGGAAAGGGTCTGTTTTGAATTAAAAGTTGGTAAATTGAACTTCGTACCCCTCCTCTCCTTTTTGGTCAGACTTATCATGTTACAAACCTTATCTATGGATAAGTACCCAGCTCTGTTTTTTGGAACCCATGCCGATGTTGGGTGGGTGTACTATTAATTCTATTCGTAATAGGCTAACTTGTTGACCATAAAATCATTTTGGGACTCACCCAGAGTTCTCACCGAGTTGGGGACTCACCCAGCCTACTCACCCAGAGTTCCGCTACACAAGCCCATTGCCGGATCATTGGTTAAAAACGAAAGGCTCTTGGTAGTTATCACCATAGAAAGGATTTTAACACATTAAGACTGGCTGACCATCTTTTGGAACGAAAAGGGGTGAGGGTGTACTAAGTCCAATTTTACCAGTAAAATTAAAAAAAATTCTTTTTAAAGATTTATTCTTGCGATGTTCCTTTTTTCCTTCCTCTGTGCCCTATAATTCTGTCTGAAACAAATTTGAGTGTTGGGGCGAAAGATAAGGTTAAGAAGGATGAACAAAACAAAGTTTAAAGAATATATACTATTTCTGTAGCTTTTTTTTGTTTTGTGGCTAAATATTTATGTATTTGTGTCTGTAAATATCTGGAAAAGATAATAAAATAGTTTTTCCTTTGATTTGATCAGGGTTCTTATCCGTACTTATTTTTGGAAGTACTTACAAAGTTGGAAATGTTCTGAATTTTAAAATTCTCCGTATTTTTGCCAGTGTCGCTAAAATACTGTAAAATACTCAAACTGGCCGCACTGAACTGGCTTTACGCAGTTTAGAAGGGTAGGGGACGATTCAGTATCGCCAATTCAGTATCGCCGATTCAGTATTGGCCGATTCAGTATTCGGGCTTTTTGTCCATAACTTTCTGCTCGATCAATATTATAGGAATTATTATATATGATTTGATAGGTCTCGGGGTGTCTCATCTTTTTCATAATTGGACTGATCTGATCACTCTACAAAAAGTTATCACTGATAAACGACGTCACAGGCATAAAAAATCGGTTTTCACGCTGTAACTTTTTTTGTGATCATCAGATCTGATCGGGCCAGTTATGAAAAAGATGTCGAATCTCGAGACCTTTCGAATGATATGGGAATTATTCAAATCGGTCGAATTTCAGGAAAGTTATGGCCATATACTGAATCGGCGGATACTGAATCGGCGATACTGAATCGGCTATACTGAATCGTCCTTAACCGAGTTTAGAAAAAACGAAAGCCGTTTTGCTGCTGCGATCTATTAAAAAACTTTTAATTGTGGATAAATTTACTTTTTATTTTTTTGTTTTGTTTTTCATTTGTTTTTCACAATTTACTTCACTTTTTTCTAAATCTAAACATTTTTCTTAAGGTTAAATTTCGATATTTTTCTTGGTTAAGCGTTTAAGGATATTTTATCAAACAATTTTTTCAATTTTGGCTATTTAAAAAATGTATATTAAAGAGGTTTGGTTTTGATTTTTATTTAACTTTTTATATTCTGCGGACAAAATATTCTTCGTTGTGGAACGATTCCTTTTTTAATTCCATAAGATACATTTTGTGGACATTGCCCCTTAATTGAGAAATTGTCCGCAAATTGAAAATGTCCGCAAAAAAGAAAATGTCCGCAAAAAGTAAATGTCCGCAAAAAAGAAAATGTCCGCAAAAAGTAAATGTCCGCAAAAAGAAAATGTCCGCAAAAAGAAATTGTCCGCAAAAATGAAAATGTCCGCAAAAGGAAATTGTCCGCAAAATTGTCCGCATTTTTTTTTCATTTTTCTAAAATTTTAGAACTTCATTTTTTGTTTTCAGATAAACATTACCGGATTTAAAAGCTACAAGGACATTACAACAATTCGCGATTTATCGCCCAAACACAATGTGGTTATTGGACGAAATGGGAGTGGGAAAAGCAACTTTTTTGCGGCAATTCAATTTGTTTTGAGTAGTGAATTTACGTCAATTACACAACATAATAGACATGCATTTTTACATGAAAGTGTTGGGGCAAAGTCTGCTACTGCAAAGGTTTGGGATTGTTTTAAAAAGTTGGAACTTTTTTGAAATGGGCAAGAAGACGGTGCTTTCTGCTGACTCTTCTCCTCCCGTTAGAAGAGATTACGATTTTTGAAAAGCCTGTTCCTGGGGTCTGGTTTTGATTTATTGACCTAGGCCGGATCTTGTGCCTGTAGTCCAGGAAAAACCCAGGAAGGTCAAAAAATGCATGGGCCTGGACTCTTGGTACATGGTAAAACCAGGTCTTGGTCAGACCCAGCTTGTGCTATAGTTAGTATTTCGACTTGCGGACAAAACTTGCAGATTATTTATTGTGAATACTCGTTTTTTGGGAGAGATGAAGGTTTACTCCGAAAGCAACCCAAATCGGTGTTAGACTGTTTTTGCAAGTGATAAAATGAAGGGAGTGTTTATCCGCAACTTTTGTCCGCAAATTTTAAAATTTTTTGGATAATTTTTAAAAATTAAAGAGGTACTCTAAAAACAGTTTTCAAGATTTTCGCCCATATTTTAGCTTTCCTTATTTTAAATTTTAGGTAGAAATAGTTTTTGACAATATGGACCATCGTATTCCAACAGAAAATGAGGAAGTTCGAATTGTACGTGCACTTACAATGAAAAATGACACATATTATATTGATGGGAAAAGTGTAACGAAAACTGAGGTTTTTTATAGAAAAGTTTTTTTTATTAAAATTTTTATTTTTTAAGATTGTTAATATGATGGAATCTGCTGGTTTTTCACGTTCAAATCCTTATTATATTGTTAAACAGGGAAAGGTAAATTTTAATAATTTTTGGTCAACAGCTTGAAACAAGCTTGGTAACTGAAAAATAATTTTAATTAAACAAGTTAGAGCTTGCTATACCCCATCGAAGTCGAAAAAGTTGTATGGGGGTATCTTTAATAAATAGAGAGTATCGTTTATGAGGCTTCCCAACCAGAGGTGGGTTGGAATTCCGAGTTCCGACTTTTGAGCCAGTTCCGATTTCCGGCTGTTCCGATTTCCGACACTTCGGACTGTTTCGACCCACCTCTGTTCCCAATTTAGAAAACAACCAAGTTTTAAAAAAACGTCCTTAAATAGAGGTGTATTCAGTATTGGAGGAGGGGGGTATCTTATAATAGGGTGTTTCTTAATTAGAAGTTATCATGTTGAAAGTTCCTCTGCTCACAGACTAAACAAAACTAAAAAAAGTCTTTCAACATGCCGACTTCCCTCGTCCACTGCTTAACCAAATTACTCAAAAAATTACTTTTTTTAACAGATAACAGAATTGGCAACAGCTTCGGATGCTTATCGTCTTAAATTAATCAAAGAGGTATTTTTCTTAATTTTTAAAAAATTTTTAAATCAAATTTTTAGGTTGCTGGAACTCGTGTCTTTGATGAGAAAAAAGAAGAAAGTACAAAAATATTGACCGAAACACAAGGAAAGATTGAAAAAAGCGTTACTTTATTGGGCTATATAAACGAACGTCTTAAAAAATTGGAAGAAGAAAAAGAAGATTTGAAGGAATATCAAAAATGGGATAAAATGAAGAGGTTTTTTTGAGTTTTTTTAATGAAAAAAATTTTTTTTAAAGGTCTATCGAATATACAATTTTTGATAAAGAAATAACTGAAGCTAAAACAAAATTGGAAAAATTAACTGATCAGCGAACAAAAATAAATACGGAACAAAATAAGGTTTTTAATTTTTGAAAAAATTTTTTTTGTGTTTCTCTCAGTTTTTGTTTTAAATTCTTTCTCTTGAGAATCTCTATTTTCTGAAATTATTTTGACAATAGAAAAAGATTTTTAGAGAACACAAAAAAATTTTTACAGGGTGCGGCAAATTTAGCGCCGACTTTATTTTTTGAATAACTTTCTTCAAACTCAATGAAAATTGATAATTCTTTTTTTATTTGATTCCCAACACTCTAGGAAACTTTTTGATACAAAAATATTCTCTAAATTTTTTAAATTAATTTGAGAATTTTTTCTTAAAGTTTTGGCAAAAATTTTTGAACCAAAAGTCTTCTGATTTAAAAACCGCGTGTCTGATATTCAGGATGTTTATATCATTCGAATAAGCTCTTTTGTCTGATTCGAATGACGTAAGAACTAGGCGATTATCTTGTTCTTGAGCTGAGATATGGGCCTTTAAATGATAAATTTGGAACTTGATGTTAAATTTGACTTTTTTAGGTGAAATTTTCAAAAATCTAATTATAGACTATTTCGATGCTCCTCGTCGAGACGAGTCGATTGGTACCAAAATTAGTAAGATTGGATGACTTTGAACGAAGCTATGGTAAAGTAAACTTTGGCATAAAAATATATTTCTTAATACGACTTATAGACTACTTCGGACATATCTTTATTACCTGTAAACCAAATTTCTAATATTTGGTACCAAAAAGTTTCCTAGAGTGTTGGGAATCAAATAAAAAAAGAATTATAAATTTTCATTGAGTTTGAAGAAAGTTATTCAAAAAATAAAGTCGGCGCTAAATTTGCCGCACCCTGTACATTTTTTGAAAGATATGAAATTTTTCGGTAATCTTCTAGTTTACTGGTTTCGAGAAAAATAAGGAAAAAGTGCTGTCGATTTGGTCGAATCCGAGTCTTGGATTCGAAATAAACAGTTTCTAAGCTGAGATTCGGACTCATTGTCAACACACCCGATTACCTACTGGTAACTCAAAAATATCGAAACAAAATTTTTTTTAATTTTTTGGGACCAGTAAACTAGAAGGTTACCAATTCTTCGAAGAATATTTGTGATTTTTGGATATAAAGATCGCTTTAATCCAGTCCGGATTTTGTGGTTTCCTAAATCCTAAGTCAAGATCAAAGAGATTTTCATATATTTTTTTGACTCGGGACAAGAAACTATTCGGGGTCCTCAATTCGAAATCTAGGGCAAATTGATTTAAGGTTCTTTAGACACGTGATTATGGAAATTTTGTCCCTATTTCTCTGCTTTTTTGCAAATCACACGCCTAATTATCTAATTTTTTTTGTTTTGCAGTATGAAACTAGTCTGATAGAAATCAAAATGAAAATTCAAAATACAGAAAAACAAATTCGTGAATTGGATACTCATTATAAAGGAAAAAGAGAAGAGAAGGAGACCTTAGTTAATGAACAAGCAGAATTGATAGAAAAAAGAACACAATTGGAACTTTCTGTTAAGGATTTACAAGCTGAAGTTGAAAGTGAACGGAGGGGGAAGGTTTGAAAATTTATTATTTTTAAATTGAACAAAGGCGGTTTTTTAATTTAAGAAATTTTACGAGGGGAAATTCGAAATTTATTATTAGAAAAATCACCCAATACTCAATCTAGACGAGATTTTAAGCTTAATGGGGGCTTGAGTTCCACCCGAAATGAGCAAAAGGGAAAAATTTGAATAGGGATTGAGCAAAAAAAGTGAATTTTTTCAAAGTACATGCCAAAATTTTGGCGCACACCCATTTGAGCCCCCCCCTAGAGACGCCCTTGGATTAAGTGTACGAGGAATTTATTAAGTGTACGAGAATCAAGGATACGAGGAATTTTAGCATACAGCGGGATTTTATTAAGGGATTTGGTGATTAACGCACGATATACCTTCAAATCTCCTCATTCCTTCTAAATCCCATTACAAAATATCACCTTAATCATCTGATATACGATCCTGAACCCCTTAATCATCTGATCTCCTTTAATAAAACCAAATCTAGCAATATCTCACCCCAATCCTCCGGTAATTTAAATCACCTTAATCCCTCAAATCCACTGATATCCATTTCAATTCTCTTCAGCCCTTCCTTTACCCTCCTGATCCATCGATATACCTTTTAATTCACAGATATCCCTCCTAATCCACTAATTATTTTTAAATAAATCTTATAAAAAAAGACTCGAAAATGTCTCGGTGCCCGACTCGATAAATTTAGGCCCGAAAAAGACTCGTATCGGCCCGACTCGATAAAGTTAGGCCCGAAAAAGACTCGTATCGGCCCGACTCGATAAATTTAGGCCCGAAAAAGACTCGTATCGGCCCGACTCGATAAATTTAGGCCCGAAAAAGACTCGTATCGGCCCGACTCGATAAAGTTAGGCCCGAAAAAGACTCGTACCGGCCCGACTCGATAAAAACAAGCCCGAAAAAAAATGCCTCGACCGTCGGCCCGACTCGAAAACGGCAACCCTAGTTAAGTCGGTATTTTGTTTAACGTTTTATTCTAATTGTAAATACATTTTAATTAAATTTTTTAGAACGCTGCTGAAAATGAAAAGATAGGCATAGAACAAGTCATTGCTGAACGCCAAGCACAACTTAATGAACTTCAACCAAGATATCAACGATTGTTGGAAGAGGTTGTTTTTGCTGAATTTGTATTAATTAAAAAAAATTTTTTAAAGGAAAGCTCCAAAGATTCTGATATCCGTATACTTGATCAACGTTGTAAAGAACTTTATGCAAAACAAGGACATTTAGATAAATTTAGAACAGTTGCAGAACGAGACAAGCATTTAAATGCTGAAATTCAGTGGATAGATAGACAATCAGATGAGATGAAAAATCAAATTGAAGAAATTAAAAAGTCAATTCGGGCAGATGAGAATGAAAAGGAAACTCTGGCTCAACGACTTCGGGTTTGGAAGAAACTTTTTTGTTTATTTTGGGGAAATCTCTGGTGCAGTTAGGAATGTTCCCTCTTATTGTTAGAATTTAAGTCAGATCCTGGGCGTTATACTCTCGAGGATTTCCAGATTTGAAAATTTGGGATATCCGGTTAAATGCTGGATGCAATCGAAAAAAATGAGATTACCTATACATTAGATTACCTCCAAATTTTGAAAAATTACTCTCTCAGATGTGATATTTACCAAGAGCGTAGGCCAAAAAAATTTACTTTTCAACACCGCTGGCGAAAATTTTGAGGGTTGTAGGTGTAAAAAATTCACTTTTTTTTTATCATTTCCCTCCTAAATTTTTTTGTTTTCCCCATTTTAGGGGGGGGGGGCATAGGCCCGAAGCCCCCTGGCTACGCCCTTGATATTTACTAACATTTTTTTTTAGGAAGAAAAACTTCAACTCGAAGATTTATCTATCAAAATGAATAAATTAAGTCAAGAAATCAAACAAAAAAAAGAACAACTTAACAAAGCTATAACTCATCGAATGGATGATTCTCATTCAGAGAAAGAAAAGCGTGAAAAGTTGACAACGCTTCAATACGAAGTTAATAGAATGGAAGAAGATTTTAGGCGGTTGACTCCAAAAGTAAGGGGTTTCTAAGGGTTTAGAAAATTTTTAGACAAAATAAAAATTTGTAATAAAATTTGCGGACAGTTTGCATTAATTTGCGAACAGTTCGTATTAATTTGCGGACAGTTCGCATTAATTTGCGACTATCCGCATATTTTTTTAAATTAAATTTACTTCATAAAAAAATTTTTTTTCAAGGCTACTATGAATGGAATAACAAGTATAAAGACAATTCTCGAAGAATACAGAGATAAGAGAATCTTTCCTGAAGTTGTCAATGGTTATTATGGTAAGGAGTTTTAAGAACAAATCTATTTTTTTCCAAAAAATTTATTTAAAGGTCGTTTGATTGATCTTTTTACTTGTGCCCCAGAATTTAATAAAGCAATTGAAGTAACAGCTGAATCTCGTCTCTTTTACCATGTTGTCGAGAATGACGATGTTGCAATGAAATTACTTGAAGCTGTTAATGAACGTTCTCTGCCTGGAGAATTTAATTTTTATCCTTTAAAGCGAATTTTGGATACTCAACCTCGAGAAATTGTTGATCAGGTTTTTTTGGTTTTAGCTAAATTTGGGGTTAGGAGCTTTCTATTTCCTTTCTTTCGTTTTCTGCCTTAATCCGTGATCTTGTTGTTTCCTAGATCCAGAGCCATGTTAAGGATTTTTCTAGGATTCCATGATTTTTATTCGGCTCAAATTCGAGAATTTGTGCGAGATTAGCATTTTAAAATCAAGAATTATCTTTCTTGTTAAAGAAGGTTTTTTCTTTCAATCTCTGCCCTTCCATGAATAGCAAGGACGTATCTAAGGGGTCGATTTCTGCTAGGCTAAAATTGGGAAGCTTTTTCATTCAAAACAAAAAATAAATCATTCTAGGAAGCTCGTCCACTCATTGAATGTATGCGATTTGATCAAAAATTCAATCAAGTCTTCAAAATGGTATTTAAAGATCATGTTCTTGTGCCTAGATTAGATGTTGGTACACGTGTTGCGCGTAATGAGGCTTTTAATTGTGTTACTTTGGACGGTATGGAATTTTTCTGATCTTTAATAATTATTTTTAGGTGATCAAATAAGCCATCGTGGTCCAATGACGGGAGGTTATATGGATGTTAAACGTTCAAAATTGGATTTGATTCGAAAATTAAAAGAAGCAGAAAATGACAAAAATGATTTGGAGGTTTTTTAAGTTTAAAAATTATTTTAAAAAATTTTTTTAGAAAGAAATTGACCGCTTAACAGAAAGAATTTCTCAAAATCTTAATGGTGTAGATCAAATACGGTTGGAAATTTCAAAGTGTGAAACTCAAATTCAAACACTCAATAATGCTTATCACAATTGCTTGGCTAAAAAACAAATAACTTCTGAATTACTTAATAAATTATCGAACAATGCTGAACCTAAAGTTTGTTTAGAAAATATAAACTTTTTGTTAAATAGTCGGGGGAATCTGTTTGGACAAGGGGGTTATGCTGTCTTTATCTGTTGCAGAATTTCAATTCTGTGCTGTTTTTTTCTGTTTTCCGCTTTTTAAAATCCTTTGTAATGATCCCATCTTCGGTAGAGATCATGTTAAAAAGTGGGGAAGTTGTATGGACAATAGGATGAAGGATATCAGGGCTGTGCGTCATGTCGTTTTTGGCGTGGCGTTTGGCGTCCATTTTTGGCCGATTTTGGCGTGTGGCGTGATTTAAGAATTTGAAAAATTGGCGTTTAGCGTTTGGCGCGCCACGTGAAAATTTTGGCGCACAGCCCTGAAGGATATTGTAAATACTCTTTCATTATTATCTGTTAGTTCGAATGTCCGGCAATTCGTTTTTTTACTTAAACTTTGTTATGTACAATTAAGTTACGTCTTTATTTATTATTTTCTTATATATTTTTGGTCCAAAAAATTTGCAAATGATTTACAAAATTTTATATAACCCTAAGAGTCGAATAATTATGCGGACCTTAAATTTCCTCTAAATTAAAATAATTTTTAAAATATTCTAAATTCAGAAAGCACAAATTACCAAACTCAACAATCGACTTAAAGAGCTTACTGCCCAAAAAGTATCAGTCAATAACCAACTTAAAGCTCCTTTGGAGGCTGGATTAACTGAAGCTGAGAGGGATAAAATTAATAAAATGGAGGTTTTTTTTTAAATTTCTTGGCAAAAAAAATTTTTATTTGAAAGGATGACATTAAAAAGGGTAAAGATGCTCTTGAAAAAATTTCCAAAAATCGTGCCGATTTGGAAAATCGAATACAAACGATTAATAACGAATTACAACACAAATTATATAAAAAACGAGAACATTTAAATGCTGTAATTGAATCATTTGATGCTGGTGAAAAATTAAATCGTTTGGATGCACAACAATCAGAAATTAGACTTATTAATGTAAGAGTGAACAAGTTATTGGAATTTGTTGGAGGTTTATTTTAAAATTTTTGAATTTTTTTTTTAATTTTTTTTTTGGATTTTGTATTAGGAATTAGAATAAAACTCAAGATTTTTGAAAAGCCTTGGCCTGTTCCTGGGCTTCGGTGTTTAATTTAATGAATTGAGCCGGATCCTGGGCCTTTACCAGTAAAAACCCAGACCCAGGAAGTAAAAAAATGCTTGGTCCAGGTCCAGCTCGATCTCTAATTGAAATCTAGTCGGCAGAAATAAATTCCTGATTTTTTAAATTCACGATTTTTGCGAATCGAGACGGCGCAAACGCACGAATATAAAAAAAGTTATATCTATTTTTCCTGGATGCTACTGCTCCCAATTTTTTATATTTTTTATGCAACGGCTGATAGTCCGTTGAATGCGCCTGTGTTTTTTTTTCTTTTTTTTAACATTCGCAATTATTTAAAAAAAATTTTTTTTAATTTCTTTTTCAGATTTAGATTTGAGTATAGAGGAATATAGCAAAAACAAAGCAAAATTGACTGATTCGTTAGAAAAATTACAAGGTAGACAAAAGGAAGCGGAAAAGTCATTGGAAGATTTTGCTAAAAATGCTGAAATTTTTTGTACAAAAATAGCCAATCTTCAATCTAAAAGGGAAGAATATTCTAGAAAGGTTTGTTTGCTGTTTGATTTTTTTATCGTGTAATATTTGCATCAAATCATGAATTTGGTCCAGTCATAGATTGATTATTTTGTTAAAAATATGAAATTAAAAATATTTTTGGCCCCTCGACCTTAATTTTAGTTACCAACCTTGACCTGAATTTTGACATTAAGTCAAAGAAAATTTAAAATAAGAAAAATTTTGGTCCTTTCCTTAATTAAAAAAAATCAAGAAACTGAAAAAAGCTCTGAATTTACTCTGATTTCAGGAAATAATTAAAGTCTGCATCCAAATATAGTTTTTTCTCTATTTTCTAAATACGAGAGGTGTGGCGTTTCGTCTTTCATCTTTCGCTATATTTTTGCCTTTTTTGGACTTTCATCTTTCTTGTATTGCTTTTTTTAAATTCGTTTCGGCATACCCCTGCTAACAAGTGAACATTTCGAACTGTGACCAAAAATTTTGAAATAAAATTTATACCATCGTGTAGAGCATAGTCGAAAACCTTTCTGGTTTCCGGCTTTTTTGGCTCCGACCCCCATTTCGAAAAGTTATGAGGGTTCAAAGTTTCCGACTTTTGGAGACTCGACTATGTAGTACTATGTAGTCGAGTCTCCAAAAGTCGGAAACTTTGAACCCTCATAACTTTTCGAAATGGGGGTCGGAGCCAAAAAAGCCGGAAACCAGAAAGGTTTTCGACTATGCTCTACACGATGGTATAAATTTTATTTCAAAATTTTTGGTCACAGTTCGAAATGTTCCCTTGTAAATACCGTTGTAAGAAAAAAATATTTTCAAAAGTTCAAAAGAATTCTCGATCTAATTATGTCCAACATTTCCTAAATTTTAAAATTAAAATCAATTTTTTGTAGATAAAAGAAATTGGCCCATTACCAGCAGATGCCCATGGAACTTATGATAAATTACCTTTAAAACAATTGGATAAAAGATTAACTGAAGCAATGAATCATTTAAAAAAATATGAAAATGTTAATAAAAAGGCTTGTGAACAATTTATTCAGGCAGCCTCACAAAAAGATGATTTGGCTAAAAGAGTGAATGAATTACAGAAAAATGAACAGGTAAAATTTTGGGTCACCCCGGAAGGTCAAAACCCAGAAGGTCAAATACAAATTTTGTGCAGATAAATGCTCAAGAATAAGTTTGCCTGCTTCCTTTTGCATTATCCGTCAGTTGCAACTAGATTTCCGTCCTATGTCCCTTAATTGTCCTTAATCCCAACAAATCCGTCTTATTATGCACAAATCCTTATCCGCCAAAAATTTGTATTTGACCTTTTGGGTAATTTGACTTCCTGGGTCTTGACCTTCTGGGTTGATCCCAAAAATTTGTTAAATTGAATAAAAAAAATTTTTTTTTCTTAGGCAATAAAAGACTTGTTAACAGTTTTGGAAAATCGACGTTATGAAACTCTTCATTTAACATTTAAGCAAGTTGCAAAATATTTTTCTGAAGTGTTTCGTAAACTTATACCTAATGGATCGGCTAATTTGGTTGGAAAAATTTTTTAAATTATTTTTATAAATTGATTAGGGGAATTGATTAATACGTCGTTATTTTGAACTGATATATTGTTTCGGTCGTTTTAAACTAGAAATGTGGCTTTGGGATCAGTCAGGATTAGTGATCGAACCGTACCGTACTACGGCCTTATTTTTCGGTATTTATTGGTATTCCATATCGGCAGAAATACCGACCGATCAAATTTTTGCCGTAATACGGGCCCTATTCCGTACCATACCACGTCCTTATTTTTCGGTATTCCGTATCGGTAGTACGGTGCGCAATACCGACCGATCGAAATTCTGATCGCTAATCAAGAGTCCATTCGTCCATTCCTAATGTCTACATCAATTTGATCAACACACTTATCTAAATTATTTTTTTACATATTTAATCTAGGGATTTGAATGACTAGAGTTGAATAAGGCCCTCAATTTGTGTTGATCAAACCGGTGTAGTATATTATTGTCCTCACATTTTTGTGTGTAGTCATTTTATTAAAAATAAATTTATTTTTAAAGGTAATGCAAACATTGGAGAAAAGTTTAAGTACTCGTTCTACAACAACATTATCTCATAGTACAACGTTGCAAAGTGGTGCTGAAACTGAAACTACAATTGGTGAACAACCATCTATGCCGGAGCGAGTTTTGCATGATTTGGAAACTTTTGTTGGGACAAGTATTAAGGTATATATAGAGGGAAATGGGAGTATTTCTGATACTTTTTTGTCATCGGATCAACGAGACATTAATAAAGAAGTAGAGGTAAACAAAATTTAACATCTTTTTGTAACCCAAATTACTCTGTATTTCCATTTGCTACGGAGAAACGGTGTGAAATTGACGAAGGGAGAAACTGGTCCGATAACAGGATATTACCAGAATTTTTCTGGAAAAATTTTTTTTGAAAAAAATTTCAAAGGTTTCATTCACTGGTGGTACAGAAACTAGAGACATTACTTCACTTTCTGGTGGCCAAAAAACTTTGGTTGCTTTAGCTTTAATTTTTGCTATTCAAAAATGTGATCCAGCACCTTTTTATTTGTTTGATGAAATTGATGCTGCTTTGGATCAAGAACATAGAAGGGCGATTGCTGGTAAGTGAACTAAAATTTTTTTGATTTTTTATTTGAAAAATAGGGGAAAAATATTTTAAAATGAATTTAATTTTGATTTTTTAAAAATTATTTTTTTTACGAGAAAAAATTAAATTTCCAAATATTATTACTGCATAAATTAAATGGGACTTTATTTTTATCTAAAAAAATTTAATTTTTTCCAAAAAATAATTATTTTTCTTGGAAAAAAATTTTGTCTTTAAATTTAAAATTAAAAGGGGATAATTAACAGTCTACTAATTATAAATATTTTAAAAAATTTAATTTTATTTTTTTAAAAATAAATTTAAGAAATGATACATGATCTTTCTCAAACTGCTCAATTTATTACGGTATTTAAATAAAAAAAATTTTTTTCTACCAAAATATTTTTCTTTTAAAAAAGACAACATTCCGTGCTGAATTGTTAGAACATGCCGAAAAATTTTATGGTGTTCGTGTACGTGATAAGGTGTCTTATATTGATGAGGTGAATTTTTTATTTAATTTTTAGAAAAAATTTTTCTGTGTGAATAAGGGGGGATAATTTGTGAATAATGAGATGATAATAGAATATTCGTGTCATCCTGACACCTAAACTAACACCCAAAAAGATATCGCCTTATCCACCCCTGATAAGGATAAGGGGATAATCTCTGAGGATAGGTAACACTTCGTTCTAATGCTCGAAAGGCGGGTATTTATTTTTATGTTGGCACGATTCCTGTTGTGAATACCTAAAAAAGAAATTTTCTTTTGATATTATAAAGAAAATATAAAAAAAATTCTTTGGGGGATAAACAATTAATAAAAAAATGCGGTTTCTTCCTTTTGTTTGGTTAAATAAAAATTTCCTTCGTCTTTTAATATTACTAAATAAAATTAAAATTTTTTAGATAGCAAAAGCGTCAGCTTTTGATTTTGTGCAGGATGATCAGGCACATACTTGAGGATTATATATTTATTTATTTTGAGATAAATTTTAAAGAAAATACTTATTATTTTTTTTGGTTAATTTGACTATTTTTTTGGAATTTTAATTACCTATTTATTTTTGCTTTTTTTTTGTTTAAGGTTGGTGATTTTTTTGAGAAAAAAAATTTTTGTTTGGTTATTTGATCATTTGGAAAAATTAAAAAAAATTTTCTTTTAATAGAATGTCTACTCTCCCTATAATCTCTTTAAAAAAATTAAATCACTAAACCTTTTAATCTCCTATGCCCCTTATGAATATTTCCTCTACAAATTTTGGATCTCCTCTCTATCTTTTGAACATTTATGTTTATTTTAAAAAATTTTTGGAAATAAAATTTTTTTGTATTTGGTTTTGAATTTTTTTTATTAATTTTTGAATAATTAATTATTTTTTTAAATTATTTTTTGTTTAAATAATTAGGAAAAATTTTAACTAATTTTATCATTTCTCGTCAAAAATATTTTTTTTCCCAGTTAGAAATTCCCAGCTTTTAGTGCATTAATTAAAAATAGTCACACCATTTTTGATTTGAGAATTTTGTGGGAATATTTAATTTTAATTTTGAAAATTATAGAACTACAGATTGATTTTTTTATTTTTTAAATTTATTTGTAAATTAAATATGCGTTCATAACAAGGATGTCACGGGTTAAGCGAAGCCAGGACTTTTTTCGCTCTGAAACCCGATCCGAAGAAAATTTTGCCGACCTGCCACTCGACCATATTTTTTTTCTCAATCTGTGACATCCCTAGTCCGTGAGAATACACGTGAAAATCACCTCACACTTATCCTCTCACTCGTTTTAACGTCAGTTTTTTTCTAAAACAAAGGAATGACGTATAAACGAACACCAATCGATCGAAGATCTCGGTTATCGAGATCGAGGTTTTTTCGAGCTCTTGATTCTGTACGACCTTCCAGTCCGATATTTAACTCCAACTATATTTAATTAAAAAAAAATTTTTTAATTAAAATTAATTTTTTTAATTTTTGTGTTCCTATTTTCTGTTCTCATGGAAACTTGTTCTTTTTATTCTTTTTTTAAACAAATAAACACAAAAATCAATCATTTAATATTTATTTAAGAATTAAGGGAAATTTTATTTTACAATTTTTTTGTTGTAAAATAAATTTAATCTTTCGTCAACTAAAATATTGTTACATTATTCTAAAAAACTTTTTTATTTTAGAAAAAAAAATTTTTTTTCGTCAATACCTACCTATATTAATTTTCTAAAAAAATTTCTCCCTCCTTCTGAAAAGAAAAAATTCCCAAACTATGAACAACAAAATTTAATTTATGGACATATTTAATGCTGAATAAATTTAGTAGAGTATGAATTATTAATTTTAAAAATTAATTAATTTTTAAGTGAATAAGAGAATAAATTTAATAATTTTTTAATTTAATCGTTCTCTTCCTTCTCCCTCTTGAAATCCTCTTCAAAATTTCAATGTGAATTGTTCCTTTTACCCCCCATACTTAATTCCTCAACAAAAAACAATTTAAATATTAAAATTAAACAAACTTTTTTATTTTCTCCTAATAATTTAGAAAATTTATTTATTCCAATTACTCTTTCTGAGAATAATGAAAAATTAAATAAAAATATTTTAAAAATATTTCCAGAGGATATAATCTGTTCAAATCGTTCTTGTTTGGGAAGAGGTGGATTTTTTTGAATATTTTTTTTTAATTTCTCTTATAAATAAACAATTAGAAAATTAAAAACTGCGAACCTCTCACAGAAAATATCAAAATTAAATTATATAATTAATTTTCCGAGGTTACTAACCAGTCACATACTACCAAAAAGTTCCAAACCCCGCAACTAAGCCACAACTACCGACGTTACTGAAAGGGGTAAGAAACTTCGCCGGCCTTACATTAATTGATAAGGATGGAGATTATCTCAATTAATTATATGTATATTTTAATTAGAAACTCTCGCTATAAGAGATCTTGGTGATATAAGTTTATTGTAGGGCTATAAGTTTATGATAGGGTTGTCGGTTCTTGGAAAATCTTCGGATATCCGGAACCGAACCGATATCCGAAACGAAAAATCAACGGTCAGTCCAGACCCGACAATCCTATAAATGTAGGGTATATCGTCTAGCCTAAATAAAGAAATATAAAAATAATTTTTTCAAAAATAAAATTAAAAATCAGAACAAAATTAATTTTATATATTCTTTAGACAATTCTCCACCCCAATTTTTATTTGTTGCTTATCCACTTTACCAAGAAAATAATAAAAATGAGCAGAGGCGAAGAATACGTCTACAAGCTAAATTAACTTTATTGTCCAACAACAAGGACGATTTTATTATTTTTGAAAATGTTTTTAATAAATGGATTGGGTCTTTTATTGGTAAATAAATTAAATTTGAAAATTAATTCTGATTTTGTCCACATTCCCCGTATTTCTCTTACCAATTATGTCTTGCCTATGAAAAAATTTCAGAATTTATCAGAATAAAACTAGAAATTATCTGAATTAAACTTAGAACTATCAGAATTAATATCAGAATGAAATCAGAATTTGTCAGAATAAAATCAGAATTTATCGGGAAAAATCAGAATTATTATCAGAATTAAAATCAGAATTTATCGGAAAAAATCAGAATTAATATCAGAATTAAAATCAGAATTTATCGGAAAAATCAGAATTAATATCAGAATAAAATCAGAACAAAATCAGAATTTGTCAGAATAAAATCAGAATTTATCGGAAAAAATCGGAACTAAAATCAGAATAAATCAAAATATATCAGAATTAATATCATAACTTATCAGAACAAAATCAGAATTTTACCTACTATAGTTATTATTTTCCCCTTTTAATTTCCAGCCCCCCACCAACCACTAACAAATTCATCCAATCGTCGAAGAATACTTGTTTTACTCAACCCATTTAGTGGACAACAACAAGCTTTAAATCTGTGGGCAAATGAGGTTGAAATGATTTGGAGAGAAGCTGGTTATCAAATTGAAACAATTGTTACAGAGCGGCCTTTTCATGCGACTGAGTTGGCAGAACAAATTTGTTTGGATAGAGTGGATATATTGGCACTTGGAGGGTAAGAAAGGAGGGAATTTCAAAAATATTTCAGAATTATTAACAGAATTATTTTCAGAACAGTTAGAAAATACCAGAATTAATTTTTTTTTAAGAATTTTACCAGAATTAATTTCAGAATAAAGTCAGAAAATAACTTTTAAAATCAGAATTTTATCAGAATTAATTTCAAAAATCAGAATTAATTTTCAGAATAAATCGGAAAATACACGAATTAATTTCAGAATTTCAGCAATAAAATCAGAATTACTTATAATTTCAGAACTATCTTCAGAAATATTCTCAGAATAAATCAGAAAATAACAGAATTAATATTTAAAAAATCAGAATTTTATCAGAATTAATTTCAAAAAATCAGAATTAATTTTCAGAATAAATTAGAATTTATTCTGATTTAATTTTACTTTCAGAATTTAAATTAATCTCATTTTAGAGGCGACGGAATCGTTTCAGAAGCGCTTCACGGTCTCTGTTCCAGAACAGATCACGAGCGCGCTCTTCGCCTTCCAATTTTACATTTACCTATGGGTACAGGGAATGCTTTAGCTTCTTCAATTGCTTACCAGGCAAAGTGAAAATTAATTTTTTTTAATTTTGAAAGTCCCTCTCTTCTTTTCAGTGAACCTTTCCCTCCACGTGGCTCTTTTTGTCAACAAATGGCTTTAATGGCTATTCGCCCAACTTTTAATCGTTTATGTCTTTATCAGGTAGAAATTGAAGGTGGAAGAAGAAAAGGACAAAATAATAAAAATAATAATCAATGCAAAATAATGTTTCTGTCGTTAAGTTGGGGGCTAATGGCTGATATTGGTAAGGGGAGGTATTTTATTAAACTAAGGGAAAGTGAAAATTTAAATTTTCTGCCATGTTATAGTCTCTCATTTATCCCAACCTGTTAGTGAACAGATTTCAGAACAGAATCTGTCAGAATAAAATCAGAAATTGTCAGAAAAACCAGAATTAAAATCAGAATTAAATCAGAATTGAATTAGGATAAAACCAGAAATTATCAGAATAGATCAGAATAAACTCAGAAAAATCAGAATTAAAATCAGAATTGAATTAGGATAAAACCAGAAATTATCAGAATAGATCAGAATAAACTCAGAAAAATCAGAATTAAAATCAGAATAAACTTTAAAAAAATCAGCATAAACCAGAATTAAAGTCAGAATAAACTCGGAAAAAATCAGAATAAAGTCAGAAAAAATCAGAATAAAACCAGAAATCGTCAGAGTGAAATCAGAATTTAACCAAAAAATTTGTCAGAATAAACTAGAAAATATCAGAATTAATATCAGAATCATCTTTCCAACATTCCCTGTTGCTGTAGGTAGGTTGGCGTATCCTGGGGAATCTTCGGATATCCGGACCCATCAATCTAACGTGTGAATATGGCAACAAAATGTTTCCCAAATTTTCTAATTTTTTTAAAATTAAGACATTGGAAGTGAACGTTTCCGTTTTCTCGGAATGGCACGTCTTCATTTAGAAGCTTTCCTTCGAGTAGCCTTCCTTCCATACGTAGCAAGATATAAGGCTCGAATATCTTATTTGCCTTTACCTGAAGGACGGCTACGTAATAGAATAATGGAAGAAATGAGAATGAGGGTTGAGGAGAGGAGGGAGGAAATTGGAACAGAGGAGGAAGAAAATGAAGATTTTGATGAGATGATTAAAAGAATTGAGGTAAGGAAGTCTGGAATTATAAAAAAAAAGATTAATTATTTCCGGACAAACATTTGCGGACAAACATTTGCGGACAATATTTGCGGTCAAACATTTGTGGACGAGAGCCGAAATACGTCTACCTTTTTTATTTAGGAATCCATCGGGTCTTGGGAAATACCTTGATAAATCTTAAAAAGCGAGCTTATTTTATGTTAGATTTAGGGTTCACTTGGCCAGCTCCTCCTCTCCACAATGGCCAATTATCTAAAGAACGTATCTATAATCTATATTATTGGGAGTATTTAAGATTTTTTTCTGTCCGTACGGATCTATCCGCTGTCTTTTCACAATTAAAAAATTATTTTTTGATCAGATACCTCCACTTGATCAACCAGTCCCTTCAAACTGGAAAACGATTGAAGGTGATCTTTTCTTAGTGATTTTTTTAAATTACCTAAATTCTCTCTTTATTTTCAGAAGAATTTTGTTTTGTTCATATTGCTGCCCTTTCCCATATTGGCTCAGATCTTCCTTATATTCCTAGTGCAAAACTTGATAACCCCGTACTTTTCCTTACTTTTGTTCAATGGCAGAAAATTTCTCATAGATTACACATGGCAAAAATATTGCTTAGGTAAGGGTGGTATTTTAATTGGAGACAAGGAAAAAATAATTTTTCTCATTTTAAGTATTGATACGAGTGCTCATTTGAATGACCCTGCATTTGAGGTGAGAAAAATAACAAATAAGGGCTCACCTTCCAGAAGAATCAGAATTTTACCAGAATAAAATCAGAAATTTACCAGAATTAATTTCAGAATTTTACTAAAATTAATTTCAGAATTTATCAGAATTTTTAAAATAAAATCAGAATTTGTCAGAATAAAATCAAAAATTTACTAGAATTAATTTCAGAATTTTACTAAAATTAATTTCAGAATTTATCAGAATTTTTAAAATAAAATCAGAATTTGTCAGAATAAAATCAGAATTTGTCAGAATAAATCAGAATTTTACCAGAATTAAATCAGAATCGAATCAGAATAATTCTGGTTTTATTCTGAAATTAATTCTGACAAAATTCTGATTTATTTTAAAAAATCAGAATAAAATTCTGATTAAAATTCTGATTTTATTTTAATAATTCAGAATTTCTGATTCTATTTAAGAAATCAGAATAAAACATTTTTCCACAGATAATCCCCATTTTGGCTTGCCGAGTAAACCCAGAAAAGGATGCTGGCGGCTTGTTAGCATTGGATGGTGAAGCAGTAATAAATGATGGGAAGGTTAAAAAGACTTTATTTTTTTTTAACAATCAAAGTTTATTTGCAGAATTCTTCAATGTCCTTTCAAGTCGGTCCAGGTAATAATAAAAATGCTACAATTATTGGACGTCAAAGGAGATGAAAAGAGAACGGAAATTAATTTTTTATTTTAATGTAAATTCTTCATTTTTATATTTTTTTTTGTAAATATGTAGATAGAGGATAGATAAATTTATCGAGGTGTAAGGAGATCAATAAAAATATCAGTCAATTTGTATCTACAACAAATAGAGGAAGTGTTAAAGGAAATTTATAACAAAGGGAGGGGATTTTAGAAATTTGCTGACAATTTTTAAAAATTGCGGACAAGAGGAGGCGTTAGGAAATTTATAAGAGGGGGAAGATTTTATAAATTGCGGACATTTTTCGTATTTTACGGACAAGTTACGGATTTGAAGCTCACTTATTGTCTGAAATCAGGCCTTGCACAAATGGTCTTTGTACAATGAAAATGACACACAACAGAAAGATGAAGCAAAAAAAGTTGGAAAAAAATCGAGAGGACGATAAAATTGAAGGGACAGCAAAAACAACAAATCAATTAAAATTGTCCTTAACAACAGCTAACTAGAACTCAAAAAACAATTTTCAATAGATAAACAAAACGAAAACTTTATTTTTTTTAAGTGCCTTATGAGAAATTAACAAAATTATTTTTTTTAAATTAACAAAAAATGGCACATTTTTCTTTTAGTCATCTTTGTCACCTCACATCTTCTCGTACTTGCGAACCGCCTTGACCCCGCCGCTCTCGCATGTAATGACCATTTTGCCATCCCCATCAACGTAGCGCTGAAAAAGGACAAAAATTTTTTTCAAAAAAGTGCCGTTTTTCCACCTCAATGTGGCTGTCCTTGTCCTTTTCACTGATCTTCTTCTGCTCCTCAACGAGCTTCCCATCAGTAAAAGTAAAGGTGCTCATCAATGTGCGCCCATCAGCGGTCTTCTGCTCCTTCGGTTCTCCAATTTTGAAGTCGCAAACCCAATTAGCGAAAGTTGAGGTGGAAGTCATCTTCCAGTTGTCACCATCAACTACAAACTCGAGAACGGCTAGAAAAATGAAAAATTTTGTTCGAAAGAATTTTTGAGAATTTAAAAATATTTTTACGTTTCACAGCGGCAGCAGTGGCACGAACGACCATTCCAACGCCAACCTCTTTGAGGTAGTCATTAAAATTGTCGGAGTCAGTAAGTTTCCACTTTCCGACGAATTTGTCAGCCATCTTTTTTAATAAGAAATTTAGAAGGTTGAAAATATGAAAAGTCTGAAAAAATGAGAAGAAGGAATTTAAAAAGATTTGCAAGTAAATGGAAGGGGAAATGCAACAACAAGCGAAAACCAAACAAAACTATTAAAGGAATTCGATAAATACTTCTAATAGATTGTGTAAACAAGAGATAAGGAAAAATAAAAATTAATAAAAAAACTGGGAAAAACATAAAATGATCTTTGTTCATTAATTTGCTCCTTTTATAGTACAACTTTTTTAAACTTTAAAAACAGAACGCCAAAACATTTTAATTTATTTTGGTGGAAATTTAAAAGGGGCTTTACTTTACTTTTATGTTTTTTGTTTTGGTTAAGCTTCTTTGAAACTCTAACAGGGAACTTCGAAATCTTATCCCGAACACCAATCATTTGGAGAAATCCGGTCGTATCCTGCCCGGGTCCTAACACCACTTTTATTGAATTTTTCGTTCAAACCTAGCTAGAATACCTTTGGTTTTTTTTTGTTAATTTGGCTGACTCATAATCTGATTTGTCTGTCCAATATTATTTTTAGAGAGCGGGGTGGATCCAGACCTTGATTTTTTTTGAATCCAGAGTCCAGATCAAGGCATTTTTCCGAGTTCCTTGAGTTTTTCTTGACTCAAGGTCAAGAATCTTGACTCAAGGTCAAGAACCCAATCGAAATCAAGAGTCAAGATTTTTGAAAATTTTGCTCTCTAATTATTTTTAAGCTTAGAATACCTTTAAATATTTTAATTTTCAGAAATTTATCAAATAAAAACAAATTTTACAATGGTTTTTGAAAATGTAGTTGCGGACTTGCTCAATCGTTTTTTGGGTTCTTACATTGACAATTTAAACGCTTCTCAATTAAATATTGGAATTTGGGGAGGTTTCTTGTTTTAAATTTTATTTTTATTTTTATTTAATTGTTTTAAGGAGATGTTAAATTAAATAATTTGGATATTAAAGAAACTGCTTTAGATGATCTTGATCTTCCCGTTAGACTTAAATTTGGCTATATACAAAGTCTAGTGCTTAAAATACCTTGGAAGTATCTTTATACGGAGCCTACTATTGTTAATATAAGGTATCTTGTTTTTGGAAGGATTTTGAGGGTTTATTTGATTTTAAAATTTACACAATCGAGCCAGGGATGGGTCGGTTCGCCGGACATCTTTTGACCCAAAATACGATCCCAAGGAAACTGAAAATCAGCTAACCCGGCCTGGCTTTTTCCTCAAAAAATCCCTGTGGTTTTTTGACATGAGGAGTGTTCTAAATGGCGGCATCACTCAGGTACCACCTCCACTGTGTGGCCAACCAGCCAACCAACTTTTCATAAACATATCTTACCTCGAAATATATCCAGTATTGGGGCTTTAGATTATATGGAGGTTCGATTATATTAATTTCATTTTTTTCAGTGAAATTTACATGATAATTGTGCCTAACCAAGGAATTGTTTATAACGAGGAGAAAGCTAAGAAAAATGAACAGGAGGCTAAGCAAAAGAAACTGGCTAGACTTGAAGAAAATAGAAGAAATAAACTCAGTAAATTTTTTATTTAAATGATTTTATTCTAATTTTAATCTTCTTTCAGAACAAAATATCCAAACAGACGATACTTTCACTGAAAAATTGGTTGCACAAGTTATTAAAAATTTGCAGATTCGAATAAAACGAGTCCATTTACGTTATGAAGACAAATTTTCTAATAGAGGAAGGCCTTTTGCTACGGGAGTGACTCTTGATTCTCTTAATTTTCAGGTTCTTCTATATTGAATTTTTGCGGACAATTGCATTTTTTATCCGCAAGTTTTCTAGGCCTTTAACGGGATGATATTCTTAAGGATAGAATTGCCTTTAGATGCACTGTGGGGTTGAAAGGGCTTTCTAAAAGTAATCCTTGTTTTGTCATTAACAAAAGACAGTAGGTAGGGGTAGGGTAGGGTAGGCATAGTAGGCCTATATTTGGTAGGTGGGCATAGTAGCTCTATCTTTGAGTAGGCACGATGTCTGAACCAACTTTTTTTTCACTTCTTCTTACAAATTATCCAGTAATTGTCCATAGAAATTGTTGCCCACAGAAATTTTTGCCCATAAAAAATTTTTTTCTATTTCTTATTTCTAGACGACCGATGAAAATTTCCAACTGACAGTTCAAAAAGAAGCAGTTAAAATATTTTACAAGTAAAATTTAATTATTTAAAGTTTTATAAATTAAAAAAAATTTTTAGACTCGTCTCGATGAATCACTTAAGTATTTACTCGAATGCTGGATCTACTCTTATTTCTGATTTGCTTGATAAAAAAGAAATTACAAAGGCCTTGTGTAATTCTATTTCTACTGACACTAGTCGTCCTGAAGGATATAAATACGGTTATTTTTATTAATTTTTTTGAGGGGTTAGGGTCATTTCAACAAAATTCGTTAAATAATGTTTTTAATTTTTGTGGCTAGGTTCTGTTTGCCGAAATTTTTAAAATTTTTCTAAATAGAAATACCAATCACTGACCAACCATTTTCAATTGTAAAGATATTTTCCTGAGATTCAATATTCATTATTCTGGGCTAAATTTTAAAGTTGAAATTTCTTAGTTCTCTCAGGTCTTCTTAAGTCTCTCTCTCTCTTAGGTCTCTCAACATACACATCTTCGGGAATAGTCCCCAATCTTATTTTTTTTTAATTTTTAGTACTTGAACCTTTATCTTTAAATGCCAAATTAAAATTAAATCAAAAACCTGAAACTGATGGATCTGACTGGACTATTCCAAAAGTTGATTTAATTTTACAATTGGAAAAACTTGCTTTGGCTATTGGAAAATTTCAATATCAAGATTTTCTTTTATTTTTGGAGGCACAAGAAAGATTTAATTTGTCGGCACAATATTTTAAATATAGACCAAATTTGATTGAATATAAAAATCATTACAAAGAATGGTGAAATTTTTTTATTAATTAATTTCGTTAAATAAAAATGCTATTGAGGACCCTAATTTTTATTTTAATGGGATACAGGAAAAAGTATTTAATAACCGGGTCCGTCAAGAACAGAGTTGGTCCCCGTCCCCCCCGACAATGATTTTTAGACCATTCTCCGACCCTTATCCCCGTCAAATTTCTGTCCTGATCTCCGACATTTCTTTTCTCCATAAATTTCTTTCCGGTGGGTCTGCTCTTTTTCCTAATCAAGAATCTAAAAATATTTTCCTGATTTTTGAATCTTACAAAAAGTTTTATGTTCATGTAAAAAGTAGAAATATACGAGGAGAAACATTGTTAATTCAAAAATTTGTCAAGTCAAAAAATATGTTTTTCAATTTTATTAAAGGTGGAAATTTGCTTACAATTGTATTCTTCACGAGCATGTTAAACGACGTCGAAATAATTGGTCATGGGAAAGAATGAACAAACATAGACAAATGGTTCGAGATTATAAAGAAGCTTGGATTATTTTTAGAACGGAGAAAAATCCAAATGAATTTGTTAAAAAGACGATTGAGGTTAAAAAAATTTTTGATTTTCCCAAAAAATTTTCTCCTGAATTTTAGAACGTAGAAGAAGCTCTTGATGTTTTTAACCTTAACATAGCTAGACAACAAGCAGAATTTGAAATTGATAGACGTGACGATTTAATACGTGTTGAGGATCAAAAACAAGAGGGATGGGTTGGTTGGGCTAAAAGTTGGTTTGTTGGAAGTGGAAAAAAAGTGGAAACGGAACAGACAGAAGCTGATGCAAAAATTATGGAAAAAATTGAACAAGCAGTTACTCCAGAAGAAAAACAAAAATTATTTGAGGCTATTGACTATCAGGTTAATATTTTTTAATTGTTTTTCTGGATATTACTCTGGGTTATGACTTCAAGGTTTGACCAACTTCTAAATCACTGACAACAACCTAGAGACTAACAAGATCAACCGATGCTAAGGAGGGGTTTCCTTTTAATGAAATCATCCTATTGTGTTTTTGTTGGGTAAAAGACTTCATTTACGAAAAATCGTGATATCCTTTTTATGGTTATCCGTTCTGGTATATTTCTTTTTGAAAAAGAATTGCCGTTTCCTTAAATATTTGAATAATTTTTTGGACGTGGTTCTGTCACAAATCGTGGTTCTGTCACAAAACTAAAAATATCCTTATCCTTGCCACTAATCTGTGGGACCTCATCTCTTCATTAACTTTTTAAGGAAAATACTCCACCAACGGATTATCCAAAACATTTTGTTGAAAATCGAATAAATTTTGGCCTTGCATCAGTTGTGATTTCTTTAGAGAATGTTCTCGAAATGCGCTTTGCTGATTTGACAGCAAATTTGGATCATCGTCCGTCTGCAAATGCTATCAAGTTTTTTTTCTAAATTTTTTTCTTATTTTTAAGCTTATTTTTTAAAGGTATATTTCTTGTATAAAATCATTTGAAATGAATGCCTTCCAAGAAAATTCAAAATCTCAATCAATATTGAAGATGACCGATTCTAACCGGCCCTGGCTTAAAATGCAAATTGAAACAAATCCTTTAAATAAAGATTTTGATCAATCTGTAGAATTACTTGTTGCACCTATAATGCTGATGTATCATGCTCCAGCAGTCAATAAAGCTTTGGATGTTTTTAAACCTCCTGAAACTGTTCGACTTCAACAATTGACGGCTTTGGCTATTGCAAGATATGAGGAAGTTAAGGTTGGTTGGTGGATTTTTTGATTTCCGTTACCTTAAATAAAATTGTTGAATAAGTATGTGGTAAATATAAATGACGAATCAGGGGTTGTCCTTTTTGCTCTCTGCAGATTTCCGTCTTTTTTTTGTTTTATTTTATATTTCTCGCTTTTTGTTTTATAAATTCGCTTTGCTTATTACTTTTGCGAATCGAATTTTTTTTCTTACTCAATTCTTGGGTAAAGTATCTGAATTTTCTTTACAAGTTCTGGACTGATTCTTTATCAGAAAATCTAGGAAAACCTCTTTAACTAAAAAACAACTAAAAATCCCATTATAAATTCGTTCCATTTTTTAGGCTCGTTCTACAACAGCTTTACAACACATGGTGGAACAAAAACGCAAATTAAAATTGGAGATTCAAATTGATCCTGCAACAATCGTTTTGTGTGCTGGAGGTGTTTTTGACGAAGGAAAGAATGCTTTAGTTGCAGAATTGGGACAACTTAATTTAAATACAAAATCACAATCACCTGAAAGGGCATATGAAAAGGTTTTTTTTTGAAAATTGAAATTTTGATGAACTTTTATTTTTTAGATACTTGATCCAAAATTAAAATCTTTAATGGCTCAAGCTTATGATAATTTCCAATTGAGCCTTTCAAATGTTCAATTAATTTTTGCTGATACTTTTAAGACGTGTATGCAAGCAAGAAATGATAGATATTCTCCATATCATTTATTAAAACCTACAAATATGGTTATTGATGTACTTCGTTCAACAATTGATGATCTTCAATTACCAATGTATTTTTATTGTTTTAAAAGTTAATTTGTTTCTTTGGGGAAAGAAAAATACTTCTTCGAGGCATTGTTTTCCTGATTTCGAGAATCGAACGGTTCTGATTATTTGGTTTTAGGCGATTCCAAAATTTCTGGAACCGTGGAAACGATGCTCCTAAAATTTCTTACATGTCACAGATGTTCTTGCTGAACTAGGATTTAATTGAAAATTTGAATTAACTTGACATTTGTCAATGAGATTAGAATTGTCTGTTTCAAACCGAAACGAAAACTTGAAGATTTTCGGGTTGGTTCTGATTCACCAAAAAATTTGGTGAAACAACACCATAAATGAGACAGATTCTTGTTATTTTTTAGCTACGAAGCTCCTTTCAAGTATAAAATTTAATACTTTTAAGGTTTCGAATGTTTGGAAACTTACCAGATGTTGTTCTAATAATTTCTGATGATCGTCTAGTTAAACTTCTAGAATTATTAAATAGCATTCCTAGACCTGAATTTGATCAAGAAGTTGTCGATTTATCAGCGCCAATTGAGGGAACAAAATTGCGTGATCGAGCAAAAATGGTTGCGATTATGGAAGTTAGTGAATTGGATGAAAATATTTTGTTAAAAGACAATGAAGAAGGAGGAGAAGAAAAAAGTTCGACTTCTTCTGAAATGAAAGGAGAAAAGAAGAGCGATTCTGATTCATCTACATTACATAGAGAATTGCAAATTCAATTTGATATTAATTTGAGTCTTAATGAGGTTTTTAATTTATTTTTAAAATATTTGGGTTAAATATCTCTTGGCCAAAGCCGGCGCGCCATAATGGAAAACCTCCAATAGACTTCGAAATTGCAAATCAAGGAAAAGATGCCTTATGTAACTCTTTACTCATGTATGGTAATAAATTATCGACTGCTCTTTCGAGTGATACCAATAGTACGAAATTAATACTCCCATTTCGACTGTTCCCTTGTAAACCTAGGGTTTTCAAAAATTTCTTAACTCTGTTTTTTTATTATTTTTTTTTATTTTGAAGGTCGGTATTGTTGTCAATAAGAGAGACAAAGCATTTTTGAGGTTTATATTTTATTTTTTCTATATAATTTTTTTTAATTTTAAAGTGCCCATATTTGTCGTCTTGGTTTTCATTTAAGAAAAAGAATGTTTGATATGATTGCTAAAGCTCATTTAGGCTCTTTGACATTAGAAATGCCTCAAATTGATTCTTCTGGAAAAGCTCAAACAATTTGTTTAATCGATAATGAAATGAGAGAAGGAGATCATTTGATTGATATGGTTTATAAACAGGTTTTTCTTTAAATTTTTGGACTTGAAAAAATTTTTTTCTTTAGGCAACCGGCGAGAGTCCATCCTTCAAAACTGAATTTAATTCAAATGAACAGTCAATAAATTTTGTTTTTCAAATTTTAAACTTTAATTTGTACAAGGTTTCGTTTTTTTCAATTTTTCTTAATTTGAAAATTTTTATTTTTTAGGATGTCTTAAATGACTTGAAAAATTTTAATGATCGTTTACAACGCAAATTGTCTCAAATTAAACCTCCGCAAATTGAACAAGCTTCTCCTCAAACTGCCGGTGGTTCAAGACGTAGAACTCCTTCAATCAGTAGTCGTTCTCGTGAAGGCTCTTTAGATAGAAAAACGTCAGGAAAGAAGCGGTCACCATTTATTAAACCTGACGTTAGATTAACAAACAAAAAGAAATTTGTTTTTGATTTTCGAATGCATGAAATTGCTGCTAAACTTTATGCGAGACAGGGGGATATTGCTGTGAGTTTTTTTAAATAAATGTTTTTATTAGAGCCTAATTTAGTGGGATTGTCGATATTATATCCCTTACAAATGGCCTATCTTTACCCCTATAATCTTCTGATCCCAGGCCCGATCAAGATTTAATTTAGTGGGATTGGAGGTATTATCTCTTAGAATAGCTTCCCTCATTCAATGATCACCAGTGGTGGGTCGGAATTCCGATTTCCAACACCTTTGACTTTTCCGACCTACATCTGCTGGTGATCACCACAATCTTATACAAGTTATCGTTAATTTAATATTTTATTCGCTATTCAGGGTGGAATTGACCCAACAGAAGATCCCGATGCGATTCTTGAATTTTGTGCACTAAATATTCGAAGCTTTAAATTGAACGGTAGTATGGTAGATGACGGCTCGATGCACGCCGATATCAGCTTACAAGCTTTTACAATGGATGATCGTAGAAAAAATGCAACAATTCATCGTTTAATGGATAAAAAGGACACTGAATCGACTGATCAATTTGTAACAATAAAATATAGTCAAAATAACCATGGAGATAAATTTGGTAGAAAAACCTTTTTTTTAATGTTCCCTCTAATTCCTCTCCTTATTTTCAGTTGATTTATTGTCATCAAAATTCTTTTTAATGTTGGCACCAGAATTTTTGGGTGTTCTCTCAACTTTTTTTATTTTGAAACCTGATGAAGATGTTGATGAGAAAACTGGTCCTTCCGAACTTTTTTTAACGCCAAATAGCAGCAGTAACAAATTGGCACTCTCCAAACAATATGTCTCTACTAGTTCAGTAGCTAAACAAGCATTAGCAACTAAAGGTAGTCCAACAGAACAATCAACTTTTGAGCCTCCTGGAACGTTGACTTTAAATTGTAAAGTATATGCAATTGAGGTTTGAATTTTTTTGATTTTTAAAAAATTTAACTGACAAGGGAACATTTTAAACTGTACCCAAAAATTTCGCATTTTTTTTGCACCATAGTGTAGAGCAAGGTCGATAACCTATTGCCATTTTTCGGATTTTTCGGCCCTGGCCCCCAATCGAAAAGTTATGGCGGCTCAAAGTTTCGAATTCTGGAGCGGTCGATTTTCATCCTATCAACAAAAAATTTTTTTTCATTAAAAATTTAATTTTTTAGATTATTTTGATTGAAGATTCACTCAATCCTTCAAATTCGCAAGCTATTATTCTTTCATTTGATGCTTTATTGGATGCTAAAAATGTTTGCTTTTAGAAAATTTTTTTATAAAATTTTTTTAGCTTAATGGTGTTCAACAAATGGATGGTGGAATTCAACATTTTAAAATTTACAGCACTTATTTTGCTAAAGAAAAGAGACATTTAAGTAATTACCAAATTTTAAAAGAGGTTTGAAATTAAATTTTTTTAATTTTGTTAATTTAAATACTTGGGGGTATATTTGTGTGTTTAAGTTTGTGGACCCCCTTTTTGTCCTTTTGGTCTTTGGCCCACATTTCTCCCATTGGTTTGTGGATCTCCATATTTCTTTTTTCAGTACCCTTATTTTTCCTACCTGGAATTTTCGTTTTCCAGGTAGGGAAAAGGCTACGATTACATAAAAATCGCGCGCGATTTGCGACAGTCGCGAGGCGACAAGATGTTGCTTTGTGCTAACATAAAATTAGCGTTTTGCGCTTTTGCAGAAGTCGCCGTTTTATGTAAGCACATAACTAGCGACTGTCGCCGTCGACACGCCGCCGAGCGACTGTCGCGTGTCGCGCGCGATTTTTTTGTAAGCGTAGCATAACGTGGAGATATGGGAATTTAAAGGAAATTTGTGGGCCAATAAAACATTAAAAGGAAAAAATTCAAAAAAATCGTTTCTTGGTAGAGAAAGCTCTTTTTTCCTCATATATTTTTCCTAAAAATTTATTAAAATAATTCCATTTTAGATGGATATTAAATTTACCGGTTCAATAGACGATCAAGAACATACACAAAACTTTTCTGTAAAAATTGACCAAGTCACTTTGCGTGTTAGTCCTTCAATTATACGTTTATTAAGTGCTGTAAGTGCTCAATTTTCAGAGCATCAACGAAAGGTATCGAGGAAATCTTCCAAATTTTTTTAAAAATTTTTTAAAAAGGATCAAGAAGCAAAATCAGCCCGAGCAATTTTAAGAGAATATCAAGACTATTGGAAACCTCGAGTAATTGAAAATGATAAATATTGGTGGTTCCAATTGGGAAATGATTCTGTTGTTGAAGAAACGGCTGAAGAAGTTGCGGAAACTACGCAAATTGTTATTAATCAAAAGGTTTTGGTTAAGTTTTCAAAAATTTTTTTAAATATTTTTAAAGGCCGATTTCACTATTAAACAATTTATTGTGACTGTAGAGGCGGGAATGAAAGATTTTACTCGTCCAATGATTTTATTGGAGAGTGCAATGCTTGGTTCAGCTAAAAATTGGTCTACTCAATTAATTGCGGTTTTTTAAAAAATTTTTTTGAAAAAACCGAAAAATAAATTTTTTTAGGAGGCAGAAGCTAGACTTCAAATTTCATATTATAACGAGGCTTTTAATGTTTGGGAGCCGTTAATTGAACCAGTATTACATCAATATGAGGGATGGCAAAGTTGGAGGCTTACATTAAAGGTTTTCTTTTTGATTGAAAAAAATTTTTTTTGGAAATTTTTGAATTGAAAAAATATTTTTCGAGGCTTATGAAAATTTTTAAATAATTTTTACGAGGGTTACGAAAAATTAAAAAAATTTTAAGAGGGTCATGAAAATTTTTAAAAATTTAAGAAAAAAATTTTGGTTGAAATTTTTTCGAAATTTTTGAATTGAAAAAAGTTTTTTTCTTTAAAGATAAGTTCACAATTAGAAGAAGACACAAATTCTCAACAACAACGCCAAGGAACGTCAAAATCTATTAAAGACAAAATTAATCAGAAAAAAGCTGTTCTCCCCCCTAAAATGGCTTTAATTTTTGAAGCTAGAGAAATGATGAATATTACTGTGAGTGGAGAGATTTTTTGGGGGTTTTATATTAAAAAAATTTTTTTTAAAGGTTTCAAAATCTTTTCTGTTGTTGGTCAACCAATTATCTGAAGTAAATTTTATTTGAAAATATTAAAAAAGTAAACTAAAAATTTTAGTCTTTCGAAAAAGCAGCAAAACAAATTAGTCCACCAAAAAGTCGTCATTTACCTGGTTCTTCAAGTTATATGTTACTTAATGAAACTGGTCTTGAAATAAAAATATGTAATACTTCTACTTTGAAGGTTTGAAGTTTCATTTAAATGCTAGAGGTTGACTCTATAATACATATGTATACTCCCAGAATTAAATACTCCTCACATTTAAAAAATTTAGATGGCAACTGGATGGAGAAGAGTTTCTTGGATCTTAGGGTTTTTGTATCCATTTTGGATGTCAAGAGTTTTATGCATTTTTAGTCGTGGGAAGGACACGGATTGCAGTAAGAGGGTTCTCTTGATAGAGACAGATTGTTGTCAAGACTTGACATTCGCCAATAGTGCTTTACCCCGTCTCCGTCCTCGAAAGTCTGGGAAATTTATCTTATATTGAATTTTTTAAAGGCTAGTCAAAAACAAACAGATTTGGAATGTAATAAAGGCGAATATATTCCATTAGAATTAATTGAAAATGTTAATAATAATGGAAGTGAAAAACAATTAAGTGCTGGTAATTGGCAAATGAAAGAAGATCAAAGACATGTAGAATTACAATTAAAAATAGAGGAACCAAAAACTGAAAGAATTGTGAATATTTTGAGAGCTGAAATGCAATGTATTGATTTACCTAAAGAAGCTGATTCAGGTAAATATTTTTAAAATTTTTAGTTATTTTTTATGTTTCAAATGGTATTTTCTGTCGTAATACCAAACTCCCAAAAGTCACACCGAAATGCCAAAATTTGGATTTATCGGATATTTTTCCAAAACCTCCTCACATCGGATACTTTCTCAGAAACCTTGAACATTTTTCGAGAGCTTTTTATTTTGGCGTTTGGTATTACGGCGCGCTCCCTGTTTCAAATCTCTATTTGGTATGTTTTAAAATTAGAATTCGCATGCTGTTGTACCTTTTGTTGCTGGTGTATTAGAGGTATATAGAAAATAAAAGAAAATGATTGATCAAATATGCAATAATTATTCTAGAATATAATTCAAATTTCATGAACTGGGTGTGGCATTTGAAGCCCCTCATTATAATTTTAAGCTCTTATATTTCTCCCTGGGGAGCATGCCAGTCTACCTCACATCAGATATTTTTTACAGAAATTGATAAATTTTTTTCTTTTAAGGTAGAAAATGGGCTTTGGTTGTTGATACACAACTTGAAGATTCTCGACATTTAGTTGTTTTGCGTTCTCCAGTCAATGTTTCTTAAACTTTTTTCTTTTATTTTTAAAATTTTTAAAGGTTATTAATCGAATGGATATGTCTGTTGAATTTCAATCACACAAAGATTTGGAAACTACTTTTTGTGGTGTTTCTGCTATTGATAGTCGTCCTTTAAATATTCCATTGCCTCAACTTTATACTCCGGACGGGGAATTTTCTATTCGTCCGGAGGGAGGAATTTATGACTGGAGTGACCTGTAAATTTTTTTGGAAAAAAATTTTTTTTGAAATTTTTTTTAATTTTTTGGAATTTTTTTTTTGAAATTTTTTTGAATGTTTTTTTGAAAAATTTTTTTCGAAAATTTTTTTCGGAAAAAAATTTAATTAAAAATCTGAAAAAAATTTTTTTTTAGATTTTCTTGGCATGATTTTGACAATGTAAAACGCAAAACTGTTCGTTGTGGTAAAAAGGGTGTTGAACATGAAGCTATTTTTATCGAAATGGGTAATTTATTTATTCTTTTTTTTTTAATTTTTTAATTAATTTTTAAAGTTGTTACCGAAGAAAAAATTCGACGTGGGGCAAAATCTTTAGAATATTCAATTTATACAATTAATTTATTTCCACCTATACATTTTGTTAATTTGTTGCCTTTGTGCTTGGAAATTGTTGAACCTGTAAAAAAAATTTATTTTGTTAAAAATGTTGAAAAAAATTTTTAGATTCGACGTGAAGTAACTAGTGGAGAAGGAGTTGATTTGTACAATTTAATTGCTGGGATGCCTTTTGTTTTGAAGGTTTTATTTTTAAATAATTTTAAAATTCTGTTTGATTTTTACTTTTTTTAAAAAATTTTTTGGGGCAATTATTTGTTTTTATTAATAAGAAAAGCAATTTTAACCCCTTTTGTGAGTAAAAATGATCAAATGATCACTTTCTACCTTTTCTTATACTACTCTGAATTGTGAGTTTTGGGATAATAAGGATAAAGTGGATAGGATTGATTTGATCTTTTTGACTTACTAGGGACGAGTGAGGTTAAATTAGATAATTTTATTTAAATAACACAAATATAATAAAAGACTTGAAAGGAATCAGAAATAGAATAAAACCTATTGGTTGTTAACATTCTTTTTTGGGAATCGAAGTGACAAAATTGATCGATTATGTTCTGGATATCATAAGCTTTTCCAAGGCCGGATTTCTTTCCTTTTTCTTTCCTTTTTCTTTAATACCCTTACATTCCTTATCAAAAAATTTTTTCTTCTTAATTCTTCTGATTTTCTCTACTATTAAATTTATTTTAAGCTTGAAAATGGAGGTGAAATTTATAAAATGAAAATGACTATTCCAGAAGTTGGACAAAGAAATGATTTGACAGTTATTAAACTTTTAAGTGAAACTTCAAATAAAGAATTGGTTTAAATTTTATTTAATTTTTAAATTTTAAAATTTAATATTTTAGTGTCTTGGATTAAATTGGAGTATTGAATTTCTTCGAACAACACTTTCTCTTTTTACGCCTTACTGGATGGTTAATGATACTGGAAAGGAATTAATTTATCAGGTTTTTCTTTTACATTTTTTAAAATTTTTTTATGAAAATGTGAATGTTTACTCTAAAATACTCTTTTGGGTGTTTTTGTATGTGTTTTGTGTGTTTGTTGAATTTTTTTTAGAAAAATTCTAATTGTTTAAAATGAGGTTTGTCACAGATTTTCCCTATTTACATAAATTTAATATTTTCGAAATTCATTCGATTTTTAATGAAGTCTTTTAAATTAGAATAAATTTTTGTTAGACAAGTTAAGAATTTTTTGTAGAAAAATAAGGTTGAATTTTCGTTAGAAGAGGATAACGGTTTGTGACAAACTTTGTTTTGAAGCAACTGAATTGTTCTTATTTGATTTTATTTGAGTTTTAAAATAGCCAGAAATTTTTTTAAAAAACCTTTAAATTAAAAATTAACCTCTCTCCTTTAGGGACCTATCGAAAAGTCAGTTCAAACAACTCCACAAGCACATCATATACGTGCAAGTATATTTGGGCAGTGTTGTACTTCTATACTTCCAAAATCATTTACAGAGGGAGAAAAGGTTTTCTTTTCTTTAAAAAGAAATTTCTGGCTATTTTAAACGGTGTTGCGACAATTGAGGATACGCACTTGAGGATATGACAAATGAGGACGACATATGAGGATTAAAATAATAATAAAAAACGGTGTCCTTGACCTTTTGAAATTCAAAAATGTGAGGATAAAAATAGGAGGATAAAAAGGATAAAAATATGGAAGAAGATAAAAATATGGAAAGAGAAGAATTCTTCATTATTGGTCTTCCAAGTGGGGGTCTTCCGAGTTTTATGGATCTTTCAAGTCTTTTTTATTTTTCATTTTTATCCTCATTTGTCAAATCCTCATATGTCGTCCTCATTTGTCGTCCTCATTTGTCATATCCTCAAGTGCGTATCCTCAATTGTCGTACCGCCTTTTAAACAAATAATTTTTAAGAAAGAATTTTTTAAATAATTTTTGGCCTTCCCGTTATCTTGCCTTGTTTCCCTTTTTTCTAATTCATTCCTTTTTTTTATTTTTTTTTTAAATTATAAATTGTCAAAGTTAAAATTAAGGTAGGTCGAGGCCTCGTCGAGGCTCTCGCCCATTTTCAAACCTCGACCTCGATTTTGCTGCCCTCGGATCTTGGAACCTTGGTCTTGGTCCTCGCCGAGGACTGAGGCTAAATATACACCCCCTAAAGATTGACTTTTTGTCAGAAATAGAAGAATTTGACTTATTTTCCTTCAAAAAATTCCCAAAATATCACTGACCATTATGCACCTTTGACAATTTATAATTTTTAACAGAATAAATAAAGAAATTAAGAATAGGAAATATGGGTAGAAATTTGGTAATCATTAGTCTTTTTTTTTTAATTTTTCAGCAAGCAAAACATTCAGAAATTAAACATTTACCAAATCAAAACCCAATAATTTTGCCACTAAATGAAGAAGATTTTTATGAAAAAAAGAAGGCAAAACTACGAATTTCTGATTCTGAATGGTCTGCAGAATTTCCTTTAGATTCTGCTGGAAGTAGTGGAAGAATAACTTGTCATTCTGAAAAGAAAGATTTTGAGGTTTTTTTTTAAATTTAAATTTTATTTTTTTAATGAATTATAGTCTAACTATAAGATTGTTTTTGACCTTTTTTTTAAATTTCTGACCCCCTTTATCTGTATAGAATTCGATTTTTTTCTAAAATTCTTGCGATTTACCGATAATTTGGAACATCAATATATATCCGTTTTTCTAATGTCTCTTTAAAATAAAATATTTACCGTATTTACTCGATTAATTCCCCCGAGGAATTATTTTTTCAACCCATGCGTGGCATGGGGAATTATTAGGGGGTGGGGAATTATTCGAGTTTTGAAATTTGAACGTGTAGTAGGGTATTTGGGGGTGGGGAATTATTTTTTCAATTCACCCCTAGCATGGGGAATTAATAGGGGGTGGGGAATTATTCGAGGGTGGGGAATTAATCGAGTAAATACGGTATATGAATTTTTTAGTTCTAAAATTTCCCTTTGAAATAAAGATTTAATATTAAAAAAAATTTTTTTTTTAATTTTGTAGTTAACTGTTGACGTCAAATTATGCCAATCTGGATTAACTAAAGTAGTTACAATATCACCATTTTATCTTCTTCAAAATGACAGTAAATATTGTATTGAAGTTAGAGAACCAAATAGAAATGAATGGATTGTTATGCCTCAAACTTCTGTAAAATTTTATTTTTTGATAATTCTTAAAAGATTGAAGGCCTCTTTTTAGGTTGAAAATAGAGATCAAGCTGGGTCTGGACCAAGGCCTGGGGTTTTTCCTGTACCCAGAGTTTAGGCCCAGGCATTTTTGGACCTTCCTGGGTTTTTCTTATGATCCGGCCAAGGTCGATAATTCAAATCCAGAGTCCAGGCAATTTTTATGCCTGGTTTTCCTAGGTCAATTTTCTCTCAGATTTAACTTGAATGTAAGAGGGAAGAGGGGTTCTTTTAGAATTTGATAAAAAATTTTGATAATTTAATAGAATCTGGAATAGTTATTAATTGGGGAAGTAAATTGAATTTAAGAAATTTCTTTGTTAAATTAAATGTTAATTTTAAAAGGTTATTGGTTTTTGGCCTGAACAAAAAGAAAAGCGAAAAACATTAATTGCACGTTTTCCAAAAACTAAAGAAGAATCTATTCAATTTCCGTTTACAGAAAATTTTGAAGGTTTTGCGAGAGTTAAAAATTCTGTAGGTTTTTTTAATGTTTTTTTCTTCTCAAAGGCTTCTTCCCCAGAGTCTAAAAAACCTTAGGGGTGTAAAAAAAGTTCCGGTTTGGCCTGAACCGATTTATAAACCGGATCCCAGTGAGTTCCGGTTCCCGGAACCGCGACCAAAATAACAAGGAACTTTCTGGAACCGGAACCGAAACTTCCGGTGAAACTCTACTAGATACATCCCCATTTGAGGGATGTTCTTAATGCCTCTAAGCGATAACCTCTATTTAAGAAACACTTCATAACGAAAAAACCTCATTTTCAGTTCCAAACAGGTGTCTTATAATAGTGAGGGTTGACTTTATTATAAATAAATTTATATATTTTTCAAGTTTATTGGTTTTTACATAATTGTTTCGCTTTCTGATGATTCTTCAGTTATTAATATTGAGCAATTTATGCCTGGAATGGTACCTGCTATTTTAATGAATGCAACAAAATTTTCAATAAAATATTGGCAAGCAGAGGTTGAAGAGGAAAAAACTTTGGAACCTGGACAAGTTATCCCATTTTCTTGGGATTGTTTAATTACTAAAGAAGGTTGGAAGGAATTTTTTTAAAGGAGGGGGAAATTTGCTTGTCCTTATTTGGGGTCGGATCCTCTTATTTTTCTAAAATTAATTTTGAGTTGTTCTTTCTAATAATTGTCATTTATGTCTATGTACTAGCTTAAGAGTTTAACATAAGTTTTAGCAAATGGCGAAAACCGGACAGCAATACAGTCGAGATTTGTTGTATATTCCTGCTATCATGGGGGATAAAATCAGTTGGATTTTTCTTACCTTACATAGCCTCAGGACATTTTTATGATTAGAGCTCTTTATAATATTCTATGCTTTTAAGCTCGTCTTTTTGAATGGAAATCTGGAGATCATTCTGGTTCTGATGAATTGCTTCATAATCGAGATTCTTCCTATCTTCCTTCAAGAAATGCTGGTTATCATTTTTGTGTTTCTTTTCTTAATGGAAGACAACGTGTTGTTTTGGTAATGTTTTTCTTTTTTTTTAACAATTTGGAAATATTTATCTTATATTTATTTAATTTTTACAATCCATGACTTATCCTAGTCACTTTCATTTTTTTCTTTTGGTTATATTCTCAGTTTTGACTTACAGAACTGTCACGGGTAAAGAAATGGTCGGATAGGATTTTGGGTCGAAAAATTGTCTGGGGTTTGGTTATGGGATATAGGGTATTCCGTGACATTCCTGATTTAGAAACAGAATTGTTTCGAAGCAAAATATCTTTAAAAATCGTAAATCGAAATTTTGAAACTTTTATGATCCAGATCAATTTTCAAATCTAAGGAATGTAAGGATATCGATAGTTTTAATTTTTTGAATATTTCTCTAGTTTACAAGTGATGCAAGTATTTCAATGTTAGCACATGAACCTTTTGAATTTGAACAACCAAATATGCACGTTGAATTTCGTTTACATGGAGTTGGGATTTCTTTAGTAAATAATCATAAATGTATTGAAGTACTTTATATGGTCTGAAATTTTTGGAAAATTTCAGAAATTTTTGAAAATTTCCCTTTAGGCTATATTACCAGGCCAAGGTCAGAGGGACGGTTTTTGGATGCAATATCGTCAAACAGACCATCAAACAACTCTTTGGGTTAAATTACACAATTTTCAAATTGATAATCAACTTCCATCTTCTATCTTTCCTTGTATGTTGGCTATGGTGCCGCAGCCTAAAAGTGTTGTTAAAGATGGTTAGGCCTTGGAGAATTTTCAAAAAATATTTGAAATTTTTATTTAAGCCCCAAAACCCTTTTTGGAATGTTCTTTTGTCATGAACCAATCAGAACATTCAAATATCGTCCAAATCAAATTACTCGAAGCTTTAGTACAAGAATTTTCTGTTAGAATGGATCAATCACTTATTAATGAAATTCTTGATATGTTCCCTAAAGAAAGTATTGAGACTGATTATAATGTAAGAAAAAAATATTTTCTTGTTAAATTACCGTCTAATCTCGTTTTTAAATTAATCCTCCTCACAATTTATTACACTTTTTTGATATAGGACGAGGATTTTTTTGAAAATTTGTTTGGTCACTAGGTGAGGTTGGTTCCTAAGCCTAAGTCTCTTTTGTCTGAGTATATTTTCTATCTTAGATATATCTCATAAAAGGCACAATTATTAAGCCCCAGTGTGTATCAAAAAAGTGTTGAGTATGGCTTTGGGAGTAGCTCCGTACTTGTTACAGGGTCGAAGTCGGGAATTTGGAAACCCCATAGTCCTAGTCACAAAATTCCTAAATTCGATTGGACTTGTTTATACTATCGTTTTTAATGTTATTTAATTTTAAGACGGAAGCATTTTCTAAAGATTTGGAATTAACTAAAGGAAATTTGAATAAAAGAGCTTTACAAACAAGAATATCACAGGCAAAAGCTTATTATGAACGTTTACATATTTCTCCGTTAATGGTGAGGAACCAAGAAAATTTTTCCTTAAAATTTAATTTTTCCATAGATTCATCTAAGTTTTTCACAAGGACATGTTAAAGAAGGTGATAAGGATGCCGCTGGTATTCAATGGGAATTTTTAAATTTAATGTTAAAAAGTGTTGGTGTAACATTAACAGAAATACAGGATGTTACTTTTAAGTAAATTTAAAAAAATTTTGAATAGAAAAAATATTCAATTTCTTTTTAAAGATTAGCATTTTTCCACCGTGAAGCAGCTTTTTATAGCCGTACACAATTACAAGCAGAAATTCAATCTCATTATATTAAACAATTTATTAAACAAGCTTATGTTTTGATTTTGGGTGAGCATAATTTTTTGTGTTTTAAAATTTCCATTTTCAAAAAATTATTTCTAAGAATCTGAACTTAAATTACGGGTACACTCCAATGTACCGCTGTGCGATAACTTCGTTCAAAGTGGTCGGATCCGGGACGCCCTAGTATGGTTCAATTCAACTCTCCAAAACGCATCGAACCATACCAATGCGTTTTGGATTCGACCACTTTTAAAGAAGTATAGCTCTGGAGTACATTGGTCTGCTTCCTAAATTATTACCTTCTCTCAATAGGAAACAGTGTTTTAAAGGGAATGATTTATAGATAGCTTTTTGAGATATGGGAGCCTGATTTGAATGTGGTAATAACTTTTTTAGGATGCCAATCTTTAATTGTGTGTGATCCTCAAGTTCGTTTTCTCTCTTCCAACAAATTAACTCATGTTTTTGATCTTAAAGGGATAAATTATTTAACTAACGAAAAATTACAAAAAAAATTTTTTTTTTAACTTTTAATTTTTTAAAGGATTGGATATAATTGGAAATCCTTTTGGATTAATTCGTGATTTAACTGCCGGTGTTCAAGACTTTTTCTATCAACCTATACAAGGGGCCGTTACTGGGCCTTTAGAATTTGTTGAGGGAATGACTTTGGGTGTTAATAGTCTTTTTAGGTGAAAAATAGATTTTTAAAAATTTTTTTTCAATTTTTTCAAATTAAAGTCACTCTGTTGGAGGCGTTTTAGGGGCAGCTTCTCGAATTACTGGTACTTTAGGTAAAGGAGTCGCTGCCTTAACTATGGATGAAGAATATCAACGTAAACGTTTACAAGCTAGACAACAACCTACAAATTTTGGTGAAGGAATGTTTAGAGGTGTTAGGGGTGTTGGACAGGGAGTAATTGATGGTGTTACTGGTAAGTTTTTGGGGAGGAAAGAAAAAAATTTAAAAAAAAAATTATCTAGGAGTAATTTCCAAACCTGTTGAAGGGGCAAAGAAAGGAGGCGTTTCTGGTTTTTTAAAAGGAACGGGCAAAGGATTAATTGGTGTTGTTACAAGACCTGTTTCTGGAGTTGTAGATTTGGCTACATCAATGGCTGATTCTGTTAAGACGTAAAAAATATTTTTTTTTGTTAGAGAATGTTTTTCCGGAAAATTGTTGTTGAGCGTATTCCTCATTAAATTATTTTATTATTTTTACGGAAATATATTGTTGATTTTTGGCAAAAAATTTCAAATTTTTCGGGTTTAAAACTGGTCGTGAACACCCCTAATTTTTATTAAAAATATTTTTATCTTTCTTCAGAGTTGTTACAAATGCAGAAGAAATTAGACCAATACGGCCTCCTCGAGTTATTACAAATGATAAAATTGTCCGTCCATTTGTTTATGCAGAAGCTATTGGATATAAAATATTTAAAGTAAAAAAATATTTTTTAAAGAAATATTTTAATTTACAGGAAATTAACAAAGGTGATTTTGCCGAAACAGATTGTTATTTAGCTGATGGGTCAATTTCTAAACATTTGGTTATTGTTGTTACTGACAAGTGAGAAGAGATTTTTTAAATAATTTTTAAAAAGTATTTTCCGGAAATGTTTTAAGTATTATAGATTATTTTTCCGGAAACGTTGTAAGGTGTATTTTCCGGAAAAGAATTTACATTATTTCATTTGATATATTCCGGAAAAGTTGCAAGGTATCGCCCATAAATTCTTTTCCGGAAAAGAATTAAAGTAGTTATTTTCCTGAAGTATTTTAGAGAGAATATTTATTTTTCCGGAAAAGTCTCAAAATTATTTTTTACTTTGTTGCGGGAGGTTTACATTAAAATACAAATTTTAGACGCGTGATCGAAGCAAGACAACACGAATTAACTGGGAATTGGAATGCTGATTGGAGCCCAACTTATTCTGAGATGAATAAACCTGAATGGTTTATTGATGAAACTAATGGTCTTAAATATGGTGTTTAAAAATTTAAAAATAATTTAAAACAAATAAAAAATATTTAAAGGTGTCAAAATTTCATTAAAAGAAGCTAAACGTGGAACTTTTTCTTTATTGGGACGTCCAAAAACAAAAGGAAAATTAATTCTTTTCCAAACGGAAGAAATTGCAAAACGTGTATTTGATAGAATGTTGAGTGCTTGGGAAAATTCAGCATAAAAATACAAAATTTATTTTTTTATATTCATATTAAATACATATAGCTTTTGATTTTAATTTCTGAGTTATTTTTCCGGAAGACTGTGTATTACTATTATTTTTCCGGAAAAGCTATAATAAATTATTTTCCGGAAGTTATAATAAATTATTTTCCGGAAGGTTATAATAAAAATTTCCGGAAATATTTACCAATATATTCATACCTTATATTTTCCGGAAAAGTTATAATTATTTTCCGGAAAGTTTTATTTATTCTATTCCGGAAATATTTATTTATATATTCATACCTTATATTTTTCCGGAAAAGTTATATAAATTATTTTCCGGAAAATTATAATAAAAATTTTCTGAAATATATACTATTTAATATGTCCATGCATTGTATTTTCCGGAAAAGTTATTGTTTCCGGAAAGTTTTATTTTATTCCGGAAATATTTAACAATATATTCATACCTTGTATTTTCCGGAAAAATTTCTCCATTTATTCCGGAATTGTATTATCTTCTTCTCCCTTGCCTTCTTTACCCATATATACCTATGTAATTTTACCTATCTCTAATCATGACTTTCGCATCGAAACAAGTGCTTCTTTAACAAAAATATAATTTAAATAGAATTAATCTATTCACCTCACTTTTTTGTATCCCCGTAAATTCTTTCAATTTTAGATATTTTATTAAAGTAAATAAAAATAAAAGGATTTAAAAAGCTTAACCAAACTTAGACTCTTCTCTAACTCATTATTGGAACGGCCTCACACATTGATTTGAACTATTCCTTCATCGATTTCCGAAAATGCCCCCCCCCATCCTTATCTATTCTCTTGGGCATTGCCAGATCTCGCCCATGTCTGAACTGAAAAAAGGTTCTGGCTGTCTGTTCAAATGTATACACGCCCGTAGGGCGAGTCCTTTCGCTAGTTTTAAAAAACATATACATACATTCGAAAAATAATTTTTTTATTTTAAAAACCTCGAAAATCGATATTTCGATTTTGGTATGATAAATTATAAATAGGTAAATAAGATTTTTACCCTAAAAATCAATTAAAAATTTGAATAAAAAAGATGATAGGCACTCTCAAAAAATTTATTTATAATTTATTCCCAATTTAAATATAAAATTTTAAAATAAAAATTTTAAAAATAGTCTTAATTAAAATTTATTTTTAGCGTAATTTATGTTTATTTATGGGGTTATTTGGGGATGGAGTTTCGATACCCGTTGGAGATATACATATTTTAATTTAACAATATGGACAAGTTGAGGGAAATTATTTTTAATTTGTAATTGTAAGGAAGGGTGAAAGCAGCGTCTCGGTAGCTCAGTTGGTAGAACACCTGTACGTGGTGAGCGAAAGCGCCTAGCAATAACTGCCAGGAGGTCGCAGGATCGAAGCCTGCCCGGAGCTTACTTAATAATGCCTATATTTTATTCGAAAAAATTTTTTTTTCGAATTTTTAAATAGATGGCAACAAAAACAAAATTATTTAAATTATTAATATTTTTTGTTTTTATTATTAAAATTGTAAATTGTGGAATTTGTTTTTGTAAACCGCAAGTTGATGAGGGTAATAATCATCATGGAAATGTTGTAATTGACAATCCAGGTAAATTAGATTTATAAACAAAGAATATAATATTTTTTTATCTGTTGATGCTCAAAATGCTCAAGTTGATGAGGGTGATGGAGGTCAGTAAATAAATTATTGGGGGATTAAAAATACGATTGTTTGGAGGATAATTGTTTTATTTTTTAAGAACAACCTGAAAATATTCAAGTTGATGAGGATGATGCAGGAGAAGATAATGAACATGAACAAGTAAAATTAATTACAGACAGCTCTATATATGACGAACTCGAAGGGTTTAGGGTGGCCCTTTTGCCCTACTTACAGGGCATTTACCCCTATTTTTGAGGCGCCCTTGTTTTGGAAAGGAAGGGGTTTTCTGACCCCTGGAAGGGTTCAAAGAAAAATTTTCTCATATAAAATGAGAAATTCTTTTTAGGGACTTAGGGAAGAGTTCTTTGTTTTGAGTGGTGTTAGTTAAATCGGGTTGTTTTGGGGTTCACGGTGATGAAACTGCTCTATATAATTATAATTTAATTAAAAAAAAACCAAAAATTTTTCCCCTAATTTTAATAATCAAGTAAAATTTGTTTTTACTGGAAGGTTTTAGAAAATGTTAAAATATTTCCGAATGGTTAATAGGTATTTTTATATTTTAGGACAACATTGGAGTAAACATTCCAGCTGCGTGGGATTATGTCGTAAATGCGCAAACTTCTACTGATGATGAGGCTCCAAGCTCATCTTTTTCATCTGACGATGCACATCCACCTCCAGCTGTTTAAAAATATTTTTTGTTTGGATTGTATTTGGTTATTTCAAGAATTTAAAAAATTTTAAAGGAAAATGGATTTTTATTTTATAATTATTTTTTAATTGAAAAATTTTCCTTCTTTCGCTAAATTACTGTTTTTGTTTTTAGTATTCAATTAAATTGTGTTTAAAAAGTTTGAAAAATATTAATGTTTAAACAAGACAAGTTGAAAAGTTGTTTTAGCAAAAAGTTTATGGTATTCCGGAAATATTTACAAATATATTTATGCATTATATTTTCCGGAAAAGTTATATAAATTGTTTTCCGGAAAGTTTTTATTCCGGAAATATTTAACAATATATTCATACCTTATATTTTCCGGAAAAATTTCTCCATTTATTCCGGAATTGTATTGTCTTCTTCTCCCTTGCCTTCTTTACCCATACATACATATACCTATGTAATTTTACCTATCCTCTAATCATGACTTTCGCATCGAAACAAGTGCTTCTTTAACAAATATATAATTTAAATAGAATTAATCTATTCACCTCACTTTTTCGTATCCCCGTAAATTCTTTCAATTTTAGATATTTTATTAAAATAAATAAAAATAAAAGGATTTAAAAAGCTTCTAGTTAATCCTAAGATTTTTCTCTCAAAAATACACCAAAAAAACAAACAAAAAAATATTTTTCTCTTTAAAAAATAAAAACGTCATCATCAACTTTTATGGGGACATATTACAAAAATGGAAAATTATATATAAAATAAACATTTTTTTCTAAAAAAAAAATAATTTTTTTTTGTTTTCCTTTTCTTTGTTGCCACATTTGGCATTTACAATTTTTTAGTATAATATTTTCTTTTTTGTTTGGTTTCCCATCAGAAAAAGCCAGTTTCCTGAAGTTTTTGCACAAAGAAACGGAAATCTGCTGCCTCATTTGGAGTAAATCCCTTTAAAAAAAATAAAAGAATATTTTATTTGTTTTCTATTTTTAGAGTTTTTAAATAATTAAAAAAAATTTTTTTTAATTAAAAAAATTAATTTTCTCCCTTACAGAATTTTCATCACTAGAAGCAATAGCTTGTAGCACAGAAGCCATCCTTCCTAACTCTGTAGGGCTCATTTTCATTTCAACTCCGAATGCTTCTAATGTTGGAGATTCTAAAATTATTTTTAAAATTAATTTTTGAATTTTAATTTTAAATTAGGTAAATTAAATTTAAAATTGTTAGATCACCCTTTGACCTATAGGTAACATTTCTATAATTTTCCGGAAAGTTTATAGAATATACCCATTAATTTTTCCGGAAATATTTAATAGTCTAGGGATTCAGGAAAATTATTTTCCGGAAGATTTTATATTTTCCGGAAAGTTGTTATAAATTAAAATATTTTCCGGAAGGTTTTATATTTAAATAATTTTCCGGAAAGTTTTATATTTAAATTATTTTCCGGAAAGTTGTTATAAGTTAAATTATTTTCCGGAAGGTTTTATATTTAAATAATTTTCCGGAAAGTTTTATATTTAAATTATTTTCCGGAAAGTTGTTATAAGTTAAATTATTTTCCGGAAGGTTTTATATTTAAATAATTTTCCGGAAAGTTTTATATTTAAATTATTTTCCGGAAAGTTGTTATAAGTTAAATTATTTTCCGGAAGGTTTTATATTTAAATAATTTTCCGGAAAGCTGTTATAGTTAAATATTTTCCGGAATGTTTAATATTTATTTTCCTGAGAAACATTTTAATATTTTTCCGGAAAGCTTTAATAAATAATTTTTCTGGTATTTACTCTTTTTCTCTCTTGCTCTTCTCTATATTACCCTTATAGGAACAATATTTAATTTAAAAAATAATTTATTTACGTGAAAGTGCAACAGCAACTTTATCCACTCCACCCATCCCCGCCAAACTATTCCTCGCTTCTTCCCCAAAAAGTTTTTCCAAAAAATCTTTTCCATGTGCTTGGAGGAGTGCTTTAAGGAAAGCTACAGTTTCTTCTACTGGCGGGCGAATTGCTAAAAAATAATTTATTTTTTAAATTTCATTTTATTTGTCCTACCAGCTGTGCACATTGCAGAATTTTCGTCGTATTCATCTGAACAATCTGGGCTTCCGTCACACAAATATCTTTAAAAATGATTCTATTAGTAGACCCTTCTATTTAATAGACTTTTCACAAAAATCTCTATCTTATCAACACTCCTATTACCGAGCGTCCACAAGAAAGAGGTCTAAAAATTTAAGAAACTTACTTGATTGGAATACACTCGCTGTTAGGACATTGGAAGGGGTGCCAAGTCGGACACTGAACTAATTCTTCCCCTCCCCCACTTGCTGTCCTCTTCCCGCCCCTCGCCACAAGAACATCTCGAATACTAAAAGCTGAATTTTTGTCAGTAAATAATATCAATAATAATAAGGTTATTAATAAAAGAAATAAATTTTTTGGAATTTTAGGAAATTTGGAAGAAAATAATTTTAATTGTGTTGATAAGGATGAATTGACGTTGGTTGTGGACTGCTTCATTATTTTGTGTTTTTGAAGTTTTCTTCCTTTAAAAATAAAACAAACATGCTTATGGTTAACCGGAAAGAATATAATTATAGTTAGAGTGTATAGCAATATAGAGGTTTTCCGGAAACTTTATATTGCTTTTCCGGAAAAATAAACCAATGAAAAAAACACATATAAAACAAAAACACATTTTTTCCGGAAAAACACATATAAAATAAAAACACATTTTTCCGGAAAAGTTTTAACGAAACATTTTTTCCGGAAAAACACATATAAAACAAAAACACATTTTTTCCGGAAAAACACATATAAAACAAAAACACATTTTTTCCGGAAAAACACATATAAAATAAAAACACATTTTTCCGGAAAAGTTTTAACGAAACATTTTTTCCGGAAAAACACATATAAAATAAAAACACATTTTTTCCGGAAAAACACATATAAAACAAAAACACATTTTTTCCGGAAAAACACATATAAAATAAAAACACATTTTTCCGGAAAAGTTTTAACGAAACATTTTTTCCGGAAAAACACATATAAAACAAAAACACATTTTTTCCGGAAAAACACATATAAAACAAAAACACATTTTTTCCGGAAAAACACATATAAAATAAAAACACATTTTTTCCGGAAAAACACATATAAAACAAAAACACATTTTTCCGGAAAAGTTTTAACGAAACATTTTTTCCGGAAAAACACATATAAAATAAAAACACATTTTTCCGGAAAAGTTTTAACGAAACATTTTTTCCGGAAAAACACATATAAAATAAAAACACATTTTTTCCGGAAAAACACATATAAAACAAAAACACATTTTTCCGGAAAAGTTTTAACGAAACATTTTTTCCGGAAAAATGCCTAAAAATACATTCTTCCAAAAGTTTGTCTCAATATTTTAAATTTTTAAAAATAAAAATAACCAAAACAACGTCAAAAGTCTAATGAGTTTTATAAAAAGAGGCGGATTTTTAAAAAAAGTCAAAAGAAGTGACGAAACTGTCTGCAGAATAAAAAATTTAAAAGAAAAGTTATTTATCCTCATAAAAAACAAAAATACACTTTCCGGAAAAATACAAAAGAGAAAAATAAATTGGATTCCGAGAAAATACATTCCGGAAAAATAAAGTTTGAAAAATAAAATACTCGCTTTTAAAAAAAATACATAAAAATACATTATTAAATTATAGCTCTAATTCCGGAAAGGATATTCCTGAAGAATTATAATTTAAATAAAAACACATTTTTCCGTTAAGTTTTTATAACAAAACATTTTTTCCGGAAAAGGTTTAGTTTCCGGAATACTTATAATTTTTAAAGTATTTTCTCATAAAAAATACAAAAACACAAAAACTAACAAATTATTTAGTTTCTAGTAAAGGCGCTTCATTGATGTATTTTTTTTATTTCTTTGAAAAAAGAAAACAATTAAAAAAAGGAGAGAAAAGTTAAAGTTTTTTTTTCATGGCATTTAATTTTAACACATCCTCTCCTCGTAATTTATATATATTAAAATGCCAATTGAGAGAGTTTGGCTTCTTTAAACGTGCATTTCACGAACAATAAATATATCGAGAAAATTAGAAAAAAAGGGTGGGAAGAAGCAATTTATAGCAAAAGGAAGGGAGGATTAGTTAATGCCCTTAAAAAGAAAAGAAGAAGAAAAAAATTATTTTTTACCAATTGATGCATATAAAAACCCTTTTAATAAACATCAAGTGCCAAATAAATTTTTTTTGCTGCTTGTAAAAGCAATCGGTTGGAAATATAAGATGAAAAATGAGGTGTTGAAAATGATTAAAAAGGAAAGGATATAAAATTGATGAAAAATTAAAAGGAAAAATGTGGGTGGAGAACAATGAGAGGGACAAAAAGGGAGGGAATCCAATAATCAAAAATTAAAAATACAATGAACACATTTCCGGAAATAGAAGTTTATTAATTATAGTTATTAAATACCAGAATATATTTCCGGAAAAATACAAGAAATATAATTTTCCGGAAGAATAAAAAATTATGAGAATATAAATTTGGTATGTATTTTCCGGAAAATTATAAAACACATTTTCGGAAAAATACAAGAAATACAATTTTCCGGAAGAATAAAACAGTTATAAAAATATAAATTTAGTATGTGTTTTCCGGAAAAAGATATAAAACACATTTCCGGAAAAAGTTTATTTTCCGGAAAAGTTTATTTTTATAAATTTAAATTATATTACAATTACTATAGTAAAAGGAATAAAACAAAGAATTAGAATTAAATAATTGTAGATTGAAAATTAAATGTGTGAAAAATAAATTTTAACGGAATTTGAAGTGATAAAAGTCTAGAAAAATAAAAATGACGCATACTTTATTATTTTAATTTGTTTATAAACTTTTAATTAAAAAAAACTTGTCACGAAATATTTAAAAGATACAATTTGTAAGTTGTTGACTGCTTTTTATTAAATAATTTTATTTTTTAATGCAAAATTATTTAAGCTAGAATATTTATAAAATACAATAAAATCTCTTCTAAACACAAAACAAAGTTTTCTATGTAAAAAAATATGGTAATAGTTCGGATGAGACCCCCCCCCCCTCCTTTTTCCTTCCTAAAAGTATTAAAAAATGGTCAGTCAGTCTTAGGTTATAGAACTCGCCGACTGTGTCGCATGACACCAAATTCAACCCCTGGTCTTAACTTTGGGCCGAGATACAGACAAAAACCCTGCGCAAAAAGAAGGGTTTTGCAAAAGCGCCTCACGACTACAATAGGATTACTTTATGTCATAACTTTGTCAAATCTTGTTCAATTATGTGATTTTGATGTCATTCGAATCAGCTCGACAAGCTCTTTCGAATGAGCTATTATTTGATTAATCGAATTTTTAGCCCAAAAAATAAGCTTGGTCTACTCTGTTATTTTTCAATTTTCGGGAGTATGTATCTCGGCCCAAAGTTAAGACTGGGTGATGATTTTGGTGTCACTCGACACAGCTCGACGGGTTCTATAATCTAATAACAGACTGACCATTTTTTAATATTTTAAGGATGGAAAAAGGAGGGGGGGGGGGTCTCATCCGAACTATTACCAAAAATATAAAGTATAACTTTTCCGGAAAATACAAAAAATATAAGGTTTATTAGAAGATAAATCATAGATAATAAAAATAACTTTCCGGAAAGAATATAATGTGTAATATTTTCCGGAAAACTCATAAGAAATATTAACTTAAAATAAATTAAGTGAACAGTACATAAATAAATCTCAAAGAGCAACGAAGCAATTTAATCTGCAAAAATTTTTTTTTCAATTTTTAATTATTCAATTTAATTTTAGAATTTTTCCATTAAAAATTAATATTAATTAGAATAATAAAAAAATATAAAAAATGACGAGAAACACAAAAGAATGTATACAAATATTTAATGAATACTTTGAAAAATTGGCATTTTTAAAAAGTATTAAAGGTAAATTAAAATAAGGTAAAATAACTAGTTTAAATAAATGAAGAAAAAAAAGACAAAAAATAAGAAGAAAAATTTTTTTTAAAGAAAAAACGTCAAGCTTTAATTTTTAATGAGAGTATAAACGTCTATTTACTTTAAAAGACTTCCTTGTTTAAATATTTTGATTGAAAAAAAGTTGGGAATAGCTCAACAATTTTAAAACAAAAAAGAACTAATAAATAAATAATTAGAGTAGAACATGTCTTTAAAATGCAGGTCAACATTTAAACGAGGGGTGTGTTTAGTTGACTTGAATATAATTAATTTCTGTATTTGTTGGTATTTTCCGGAAAGTGTATAACTAATAAAATATATTTTCCGGAAAAGATATAATTACATAATATGTTTTCCGGAAAGTGTATAACTAATAAAATGTGCTTTCCGGTTAAGGTATAATTAATATAATAAGTTTTCCGGAAAATACACGACTAATAAAATAAATTTTCCGGAAAGTGTATAACTTAAAAATATAGTAAAAATTCTATACCGGAGATAAAATTATTTTGAATTTTTTATGATTTGTATTTTCCGAAAATTCGTCTATTTTTGTGTTTTTATGGAAATATACACAAGCAATAAAAACAACTGCGTTGTGTCCACAGCTTTAATAGACAATTTAAAAAATTTTTATCGAAATAATCTTTATTAATTATTAATTTAATTTAAAAAATACACGCAAAAATTGAAGAATTTAAAATTAAAAATTAATCGAAAAAAGAAATAATTTTTTAAAATTAATTTTTAATAAGTACACAGCACGGAAATTAAAAACAAAAATTTTTTATAAAAATAAAAACAAAAAAAATCAAGCAAAAATATTAACTTAACTAAAATATGCAAATTCATAAAATTTTCAATAAATTTTAAAGTAAGTTGAAAGTCCAAAAAATGTGTAGGCGAAACAAAAACTCATCAAAAAAAAAGTTGAAAAGCTACTTAAACTTGGAAAAGTAAATTTATTTATTAAAATATGGCGAAAAATAATTTTTAGTTGAATGAATTTTTAAGAGAAAAAATTATTTTTTAAAGTTTTTTAAATGTACTTTAATGGATAGGGGAAATAAATGTTGAGGAGAGGAAAAAACAATTTTTAAAAATTACAGCATTCTTTAGCCAGAAAATAAATTTTTTTATTAGTGTTCAAAAATGGTTAAAAATTGGACAGAAAATTATTTTAAAAAATTTTCTCGAAAAAATTTTTTAAATTTTAAACTAAAGCGGAAATATGCAGGTACATTAAGCAGGGAAAACACATAAAATCAGAATTATAATTAACCTGTGTTTTTGTTAGTATTTTCCGGAAATAATAAAAACACAAAATAATAAAAATAAAATAAAAACACAAAATCAGAATTTCTAAAATAAAAACACAAAAACAGAAATCAGAAAAAATACAAAATCAGAATTTTTAAGATAAAAATACAAAATCAGAATTTTTAAAATGAAACACAAAATCAGAATTTTTAAAATGAAACACAAAATCAGAACTTTAAAAATAAAACACAAAACCAGAATTACATGAATATAAAATACAAACCAGAATTTATATAAAAATACAAATTCTGTCTTGTCTGTAATTCCTTCCAAAAATAAATTTATTTAAATAACACCTGTCTTTTGTAGTTTCTAAATTTAACAAAATTAAATTCTTTTATTTAATAGAAATTTAAATTTAAAAAAAAATAAAAAGAGAATTTAAATATCCATAAAATTGCCTATTTTTTAAAATTTATTTTAGGCATATTTTTGTGGGGGTTAAGCGATTATGAACCAAAAAGTGTGTTAAAAATTATTTTTAACGGTTGATTGAATTAAAGGGGTTATATTTTTAAGTTTTTTTATTAAATAAAAAATATTCAAAAATTGAAGTAAAATAATAAAATAATTTTATTTCTTTTATTTTCCAGTCCATTGAATATTTATAGATATTTTTTAAAATAAAATTTTATTTTTTTTTAAATGAAAAAAATATTATTAAACAATTATGATGTTAAATAAATTTCCAGAAAATTTTTTAAAAAACAAGAAAAAAAAATTAAAAAAATTTTTTTCCTTTCAAAAATTAATTTCTTTTTGTTTCCAGCAGAAATTTTAATTAATAAAATCAGAATAAAATCAGAACATGTATTTTACTTTAAATAAACTTTCCGGAAACTTTTGTATTTTTATTAAATTGTATGTATTTTCCGGAAACAATTTAATTAAAAATACATGTGTTTTTTAACTAAAAATCCTAAATACAAGCTTAATTTAGGCAAAATCAGAATTTATAAGTGTATTTTCTATTAACATTTTTACAAAACAGTCAAGTAATTTAAATTAATTAAATAATTTAAATTAAAAGTGAACAAAAAATAAAATTATAATTAATATAGTGATAAAATTATTTTTAAAAATAATTAAAATTTTCATTGTGTCTTATAAAAAAAATTTTTTTTTCAAAAAAATTTTTTTTAATTTTAACAAATTAATCGTCTATTTTCAAACAAAAAATTCTTTCTGGAAAATAAATAAATTTTTTTTTTAATTCCAAAAAAAATTTAAATTAAAAAAACAATTATTTATATATTATTGGATTTCACCCGACCTTTTACAAAAATAAAAAAATATTTTTCTTTCCTCACATATCAATTTTATTTTATTTTTAATTCATTTATTATCTTCCCCTAACATCTTCTCCCCCTCCAACTTTAACATTTGGATTAGCATGTGGATCATCAAAACCAGGCAAATTATTTAAATGTTCTCCTCCTACTTCTTTATTACTCCCTCCATCAGACAAAAATATTGAAAGAAGAAAATAACCAAAAACCAAAATAAATAAAAATAATAAAATTCGTTTAACTGAACGTGGTAGACGAGTATAACGATAACTAGAAAAAAATTAAGAAAAAATTTTAGAAAAAAAATTGGAAAAAATTGAAGAGGTGACATTTGGTCCCAATTTTCTTTCAAAATCAATTAGAAAAAAAATTTTTTATTAATTAAAAATCTTGTTTTTTTTGGTGACAACTAGTTCCAGTAAGGAGAAAAAATCAAGAAAAAAAGAAAAAATTGTTTAAAGGGAAAAACTAAAAAAAAGGTGAAATTGGTCCCAGTAACTTATAAATCAACTAAAAATATTTTAAATGACAGAAAATTTTCAGAATTTCCTCGTTCAAAGAGTTACGAATTTCCCGTCTTTTCATCAAATTTATATGGTCGGTTTTGGATCATTTTCCCCATTTTCTAATTTAAAAATTACAATTAATTAAACTAACCGAATTCCATGTTCCGAAGCAGCCCTTTTTGCATATTTAGAATCGTCTTCATTTCCAATATAAATACTTGATGATACACCAGTATTGGAATTAGTATTAGATTCGGGCAATAATTTGGAACGAGCTTAAAAAAATTAAAATTTTGAAAATTTTTTAAATTTGCGGACAGAACTTGCGGACAATTTTAAGGAAAAAAACTCTTTGGGTAATGATTAGATTTACTTCTAAAATATTAATTTTTTGATGACATTTGAACCCAAAATTTTGAAGACTACTCAATTCCCCTTTCATTTTTAGAAAATAAAAAATTTAACGAATGTCCGCAAGTCTAAATCCGCAAAAATTTTAAATATTTAAATGGTTAATGATTAGATTGGGTAATAATCTACTTCTAAAAAATTAATTTTTTGATGACATTTGATCCCAATATTTTGAATAATAATCAGTCTCTTTCATTTTTAGAATGTAAAAAATTTAGTGATTATCCGCAAGTTTAAATCCGCAAATAAAAAAAAATTTAAAAATAAAAAACCAGTAAAAACATTATTGCTAATTTGCATTTCATTTAAATAATCATTATTATTTCCATTATTTGGACTATTATTTTCATTGTGAATAATAGAAGGATTTAAATTTTGATTTGGAGGTGTTGGAATATTTTTGATTTTTTGTTCGAGTTCGGGCAACTGAAAAAAAAATTTGTGGAAAAATTAAGAAAAAATCAAAGAAAAAAACAAACAAAAGACATTCCCAATCCATTCCTTCCCCAATTGACTGTTTGTAATTTATTTATGAGTCGGTCCACAATTGGAGATTGCTGGTTTTCACGAGGGAAAATACACTCCTTAAAAAATAAATTTCAAAAAAATTATTTTTAATCAAGGAATCTTTGATTTAAATATTAGGGAACTTCCATTAAATAAAATCAAAGTATTTTTTAAATTTCTAAATCTCAAGGGACCCGTTTGGACAAAAGGACGGGTTCTGCTGTAGCCAAAATCTCAGACAGGTCAGTAAGCAAAGCCAATAGTCCAGGAACGGACCCAGACTCAATTATAATTTATTTAAATGTTAGGGACCTCGCTTGTTCCAATATATAAAAGCAAATCAAAATTTCTAACGCTCAAGGGACCCGTTAGGACGAAAGGGGCGGGTTCTGCTGTATCAGAGCCAGAATCCGGGACATGTCAGGAAACGAAGCTAAGAGGCCAGGAAAGGACCCAAATTTTTTTACCCCTGCAACTTTACCCCTAACCAAAAAAAAGGAAAAAAAGTCAATCGGATTCCAGGTCAAAAAAGGGTGTCAAGGTTTCAAGTAACGTATCCCAATTCCTCTCCTAACACTCCAAAAGCAAACAAAAAACAAACCAAACAACTCGGACATTTATATCCAGCAGGCGCTGTTGTGTCAGGCAATTGTCTTACACGAGCATCCAAACAATCCCAATGAAAAAGATGTAGACATTTAAGTCTCAACGTTTCTCGAATTGTTAAAGGCTCTGAAAAATTGAAAAGAATTGAATTAAATTAAAAAATAAACCAAAACACAAAGGACAATTAACATCATAATCGCTGTCTGTCAACCAAGAAAGATAAGTTTGAACAACACACTGAAAAAGAGAAAAAAATTAATAGGGGAATTTTGGAAGCTTTAAGGCTCCCCTTCAAAGAATGCTTGGACTTGAAGGAGAGGGAAAATTGAGAGAAGCCAGAATCCGAGACAGGCCAATAAACAAAGCCAAAAGGGCTCCAAATTAATCGAACAATTTTGTAAAATTTACAGGCCCGTAGCCATGGGGGGACTTTAAAGAATGCTTGGACTCCAAGGAAAGATGAGAAAATTGAGAGAGAAGCCAGAATCGAAGACAGGTCAAGAAATCAACCCAAGAAGAGAGGGAGGAGAGTCATAAATCCCAGAATTAATTTAGGAAATTTAAAAATCAACTTACAGCTTCATGATTCGACAAAAGACAAGCTTCGCAAACATTTACTCGATGCTCGAAACAAAATAAATTGGTCACCTTACGTTTAGGACATTTACAAAGACCCATTGAATAAGTCAAATTTATTAAATTAAACCTTTAAAAATTAAATCAAAATCGGAAAAAAAAACAAAAAAATTTGACACGTAATTTCCTACATTTTTAACAACAAAAACAGAAAAAAGAAGAGAATTAAAGGCTACCCTACAAAACATATTTTTTTAAAACAGCAAACGCTCAAAACATCTAGACGGCTAGAAAGGCTCAAAATATATTCGCTCAAAACATCAAACGCTCAAAACATCTAGACGGCTAAAAAGGCTCAAAATATCAAAATATTTTTTGATTAAAAGGGACAGTTGAGTCCCTTATTTCTTCCTTGTATCAGGGGTGAATAATGTAGTATCTCAGGACCAATTTTGCATGAACTCGACGTGTTGAGAAAGGGCTCGACGAGCTGAGTCTAATAACACAAAAATCAGCTCGATTGGATGATTTTTGACAAAGTTATGACCAACAGAATCTTCGCTGGAAAAACATTTTTTGTGCTGCTACGTAGGGTAGGCCGGGCATGGTCTTCGCTACACGATGGCCGTGCTTCGCTGCGGTCGTGCTCGCTTCCTCGCGGCAACCATAGCGAAGCGGCGGCCGTCGTTCCGCTCGACATGCCCGGCTTCCTCCGCAGCGGCAAAAACACTTTTCCGCGGACTCAACTGTCCCCTTTAAATAGAAAAATCGGTACACCTCAATTGAGTCCGCACGATTGAGTCCCCACGATTGAGTCCGCACGATTGAGTCCCCACGATTGAGTCCCGGCACAATTGAGTCCCGGCACGATTGAGTCCGCACGATTGAGTCCCCCTTGTATATACCTCAATTGAGTCCCCGTGGATTTAATTATATTAAAAAGGATTAAGAGGGATATCGGGGGATTTTTAGAGATTAAAGTGAACATCAGGGGACTTGTATTCGACATCGAGGGATCAAGTTGGATATCGGTGGATATGGAGGGATATAAGTAGATTTAAGCGATTAAGGGGGATATCGGTGGATTTGGGGATTAGGAGGGATATCGAGAGATTTTTTGAATGACAGCTCATTCGAATGAGCTGAGTCGAATGACACCAAAATCAACATGGTTCTCGCCGAGATATGGGGCTCGAAATGGTCAAATCCACGGGGGAATTTTTGGGGACAAAAAATTCGAATATTAAATTATACCTCATTCGAAAGGGCTCGACGAGCTGAGTCGAATGACATCAAAATCAGCTTGATTCAATAATTCTGAACAAAGTTATGACCAACTGAATCTGCGCTGGAAAACTGTTTTGTGCTGCTAAGAAGGGTATGTGGGGTTCAGCAGGGGTGCTCAGGTGGTCTGCCCGGCATTTATACTTTAAAAAATAGAAATTGAAATAATCCCGCATGCCGGATATGGAAATTTTAAACTTATTAAATCCACGGGGACTCAATTGAGGTATATACAAGGGGGACTCAATCGTGCGGACTCAATCGTGGGGACTCAATTGTGCCGGGACTCAATCGTGGGGACTCAATCGTGCGGACTCAATCGTGGGGACTCAATCGTGCGGACTCAGTTGAACTGCTCCGTAGAAAAATATATTTTGATATTTTGAGCGTTTGATGTTTTGAGCGAATATATTTTGAGCCTTTTTAGTCGTCTAGATGTTTTGAGCGTTTTTATCTGTCTAGATATTTTGAGCGTTTTTAGTCGTCTAGATATTTTAAGTGTTTGATGTTTTGAGCGGGCACGGAATTAAACTTTTATTTTTCACTGTCTGTCAATAAGAAAAGATAAGGGTTAGAGAAAAAAACAAAAGGACAAAATGTCATTTATTTATTTAATAAACGTTATGCCAATAAAAATAAATTAAAGGGAGAATTTAAATAATTAAAAGGAGAAAGGCGAGGGAATGTCTTTCTTTCACCAAAAGTGTTTCCCTTATTTTACGTAACTGATATTTTGATAAGAGCAATGATAAAGAGAAAATGTAAAAGAAGACTATTAAGAAAAAAGAACTATCAAAACAACAAAGACATTTACTTAAATAAATTAAATTTTTAAAATAATACGACAAAGGAGAGAGATTTTCCAAAAAAAATATTTAAGGGAAAAATAAGAGGGGAAATAAGGGAAAAAAGAATTAATTGAACATAAATCAAAAATAAACGTGTCGGACTAACTCGCGGAACGGACAATTCACGGAACGGACAATTCGCGGCACGGACAATTCACGGAACGACAATTCACGGAATTACCAAATCACGGAATGACCGATTCACAGAATGGCCAAAACCTGTCTGTTCTGTGAGTTGGAATCCCTCGAGTTAGCCCTCGCCCAAAATAAATATTTTATCATTTTCTAAACATTTTTCTAAATATTCATCTCTTCATTTCTTCCTAACGCATCCTTTTCCCATTACAACAAACAATAAATAAAAGTATCAAAACAATCATAAACATCAGAACAACACCAAAAGCAGCACAAAAGGCAGCCCAACGAGGCACCAAAATATTATCAGACACAACTTTAATATCCTCACTTTTGACCTTTTCGTCAATCAAAATAATTAACGTTCGCTTCTCAAAATTTGTAAGACTATTCCAACCACAAGGGTTGACACGATCCAAATTAATTAATAAATCGTCGGTTGTGTCGGTGGACAGAATAGTCTGAAAAAATTGAAATTTTGGAAATTTTTTAGAAATTTTTTAGTTGAAGTTTACTTGGTTGAAAGTCCCCGTTTCATTGTTGTAGTTGTCCGTAGTTTCCAACAATGCGGCAGTCGATCCGGTAGTGTTGACAAACGATTGAAACTAAAGAGTAATGGTAGATTCAAAGGCTAGGGTTGTCGGTTCTGGACCGAACAGAACTAAAGAACCGACGATTTTTCGGTTCCGATATCGGTTCGGTTACGGATATCCGAAGATTTTCCAAGAACGGACAACCCTACTAAAGCCCTAAAGGCTAGGGAATGTTTAAGAAATGGATCAGGGGGAGGGGGGGGGACAATTGTACCTTAGAAAAACGAAATTCTCCTCCTCTCTCCTTCTATCACAGACAAAAAATTTTCTAGACCCGTGGTCCGGCACTAAAAAAGACTCGAAACCCCCAATAGATTGAATCAAGCCGTTCAGACCATGAGTCTTTAGACTAAGAGCCTATCACAAAAATGTTAAGATTGTCTTCGAGAATTTAAACCTCCCCTCCCTCTTCCCCTCCCTCCCTTTTTTAAACTCACCCCAGCATCCAAAGCCTTGCTAGAAGTCAACTGATTGTAAAACCCTTTAGTGCTGCTATTTGTATTGTTTTGATAATCCCCTCCAATCACCAAACCAGCAGTTGATGAACACTTCGGCACCAACCAAAAAAAGATAAAAATAATTGCGATGACGGAAATAATAAAGTTATTTCGCAAAAACATTCTAAAATGTGTGTTTTGTTTAAATTAGGTTACAATGAAGTGAAGAAAATTGAACGGCTTTTATAGTAAAATTTTCCGGAAAGAAGTGACGTTAGAGTATTAAATATTAAAGACGTGCAAGACTTGGTTTTGAGTTTTTTTGAGACTAACAAGGGAGCCTAACGAACTGTCACCAAAAATTTTGTAATTATTTTTGCAAATTCGGGTAAAGCATAGTCGATAACCTATTGCCAATTTTTGGCTTTTTTGGCTCCGACCCCAAAATCGAAAAGTTATAGGGCTTCAAAGTCTTCAACTTTTGGAGCGGTCTCCTTTCCTATTTAATAGAAATTTTCTCTTACTAAAGAGAATAATGAGACGGTCCTCCTTTTTTTCTAGACTTTCTTGGGTCTTTTCGTGTTTCGTTTAAGAAAGAAAAAGGGTTTTGGGAGCGCGTCTGGAGACTTGAAAAATTTTCGTTTATGGTCATCTCTATATTGAACTCTCAAGCAAAAAATATTTTTAGTAAATCTTAAAAATAAATAAAAAAAAGTGTGACGGTCAAGGGATCGCGGATGGATAGAGTAAAAGTAAGTCCTTTTTGAATTCGGTTTAAATTTTTGATAACCCATCCACTCCGGACCTATCACACTGTGAAACAACAAAACTTTTCTTTATATTACAACCTAAATTAATTTGAAAGAAAAATGTCAAGATTCTCCAATGGTTATAGAACAAAACAAACCTGTTTGTTATTTTAATTTAATTTTATCATTTTTAAATTAAAGTTCTATTCTCTCCCTTTACTTTTATAGTAAAACTATTTATTAGTTAAATTACCCCTTTTTAAACAATTGAAAAATAATTTCGGAAAGAAATACAAAGAAAATACAAAAAATACAAAGTATTTTCCGGAAAGAATATAATTAGCAAAAACATATTATTTAGATTTCCGGAAAATTTATTTAAGAATAAATATATTAGATTTTTCCGGAAAGAATATAATGGTAAAAACACATTATATTTAGATTTCCTGATTGAGAAATAATTCCGGAAAGAAAAAAGAAATACAAAGTATTTTCCGGAAAGAATATAATGGGAAAAACACTTAATTTAGATTTCCGGAAAAGAATAAATATATTAGATGTTTTCCTGAAAGAATATAACTAAAAAATAAATGTTTATAATTTTCCGGAAAGTTTATTGTATTTCAAAAAAATACAAATTTTCCGGAAAATACAATTTATTGAAAAAAATACAAATTTAAATAATTCTTTATATTTTTAACATATTTCTTTCTCTTTATTAATTTTAAAAAATATCATAGAGGCCTAGATCAATAAGATGCAAACAACGAGGGTCACGCCAACCTGGTTTACAACTAAAATTAAATTTAAAAAATTTATTTTTAATTTTAAACCAAACCGGCAAGATGCCCTATAATTTCCATTACCAACATGAGCAGCAAAACACGTCCCTCCATGATAACAATATTTTTCTAAATAAGGCGGACACTCACGTGTAGGGGGTATTTCTGGGTTTTCTTCGTAATATTCCTTTTCTGTTGATTTTTTAATTTTATTTTTATTTAAAGGAGGAGGTAAAGCTTTAATTTTGATTAAATAAAAAATTAAGATTAAAAATAAAAAATATTTTTTAAACATTTTTTTTGAATTAAAAAAATAAAAAAATAAATTTTAGGTTTTGTAGAAATTAAATTTTAATTTTTAAAAATATTCTAATGGTGTTTTTATTCAATTTTATCTATAAAATTGAATTAAAATAAAATAAACCTGAGCAAAAAATACATAATGCCTTTTTGTATTTTTAGAAGAAAATACATAAATATTTATTTTCCGGAAGGCATTTCAGGAAAATACATTTAAAAATTATTTTCCGGAAATTATGTGTTTTCCGGAAATACTAAATAATAATTTTCCGGAAACAGTAATATATATCAATGTTTTCCGGAAATTATATAATTATGTCTTCCGGAATAGACGATAATTATATTTTCCGGAAGGAAAATACACGGTAGAATATTAATTATATTTAGCTGTAATTCTATCCGGAAATAGACTATACTTTTATTTTTTAAATAATTTTCCGGAAACATTAAAATTATTATTTACCGGAAGGTACATACTTGTTATAATTTCCGGAAGCTTTTTTCTCTTATTTCATGTCCAATCTTAAGTAAGTAATTAAATTATAAATTATATTATATTTATTCCTTAAAATTAATTTTCTTTCCCTCAAATTTATTTTAATAAGGCTTATTTTATTACATTAAAATTTAATTTTTTAAATTTAAAAATAAAATTCAAAAAACATTAAAAATCAAAAAAAGGTTTTTTAGAATATTCCAAAATTAAAATTTATTTAATATAAAATCAGAAATTTATTTTTTATTTAATTTTTAATTCAAAAAATGATTAAAAAATATTTTTTATTTTTAATTTCAATTTTTTATTTAATTAAAATTAAAGCTTTACCACCTCCTTTGCCTCCTCCAATACCCCCTCCTATACCTCCACCAACACCTCCACCAGCATTAAATAATTCAACAAAAAATTCAACTGCTTCGATAGATACGATTACTCTAACACGCCCATGTCCTGAAAGTTATTCTAAATATTGTTATAATAGAGGGAAGTGTTATGCAGCTTGGACGGGCAATGGAAATTACAAACCTTTTTGCCAGTAATTTTTTTAATTTTTAGTAGTTTCCGGAAATAAATAAGGCTTCCGGAAATAAATATTCCTTTTCCGGAAGGAATACATATAAGATATTAAACGAATTTACCAAAAAAATTTTTTACTAAAAATTAATTTTAGCTGTGCAAGAGGCTTTCATGGCTCTCATTGTGAATACCTTTTTAATCCAGACGTTTATGGATTTTGAAAATAAATATTTTTGATTAATAGAGGTCTAAAGATATTTAAAAAATATAAATAATTTTTAATATGTTTAAATTAATTAAAAATAAAATATGATAAAGTTACAGAATTCATTTATTGAATGTTCAAACTATTGGATAAATAGGCAAATACAAATTGACATATTAAATAAACAATTTTATATTTAAATTAAAGAAAAAATAAAATTCAACAAAATGAAAAACATCGAGAATATTAAAGTCTTAATTATTCGTTTTTTGTTGTTTTAGATTGGTCATTATTCCGGATATTATTTCGATATCTAAGTAAACCACTACCTTTTCCAACAAGGTAGTCCAATTTAATATTTAACCTATAAATGAAAATGTATTTTCTTTTTCCGGAAATTTTTGTGTTTTATATTGACTGTATTTTTCCGGAAAATTAATTATTTGATGTGTAGATGTATTTTCCGGAAAAAATTTTATAAGGACTGTATTTTTCCAGAAACAATTAAATTGTGTGTTTTTAAATGTATTTTCCGGAAAAATGTATGTATTTATATGCGTGTTTTTCCGGAAACAATTTAATTATGTATAAATAAATTTTCCGGAAAAGATGTATGAAGACTCTGTATTTTTCCGGAAAAGATGTATGTATTCATAAGGACTACGTGTTTTTCCGGAAACAATTTAATTATGTGTTTTTTAAATGTATTTTCCGGAAAGTATTTAATTTATGTATTTTTAGTTAAATGTATTATATTCCGGAAAATTTAATAATTTTCTTTTACTTTCCTGAAGCATTATATTGTTGTATTTCTGAGTTATATTTTTATGAGTCTCTTCCGGAAAAACACAAATAGGTATATAAACAAAAGTCTCAACAAGCTTACCATAAAAATTCAAGTAAAAAGTCATATGATTTTTTATATTTATATGTTCCCGGGTATTTTTCCATTAATATTCTTTTAACTGCTTCAGTAGCCTTGGGTAAATTGTAATGTGGAATACGCGTAAAAAAGAGGTGGTGGGCTACATGGCCTGAAATTTAAGCAAATTTTTTAAATTAATTTTATTTTTCTACCGTCAGTTATGTTATGCATTGCTTTGTCTATTCCAAATCCAAAAGCTTAAAAAATACAGAAAAATACAAAGAATTAAATTTAATATTTATTTACATCTATCAACAGTCTGTAACTGTCCTTTCACAAACCCCCACGTTCCTTCTTCATAAACTTCAGTCTGTTCGTCATGGTGTTGTAAATAAGTAATCATAACTAACCAGAAACCTAAAATTATATTTAAATTAATGGAAAACTTTCCGGAAAAAATATATAAAATACAAATTATTGGAGAATTATATTTATTTCATTGAAGTATAAACCTTCCGGAAAATTTTGTATTTTCTTTTAAATATAATTTCCGGAAAACTTTATAGATAAAAACACGTTCCGGAAAAGTATTTTCATAAATAAACTTATTCCGGAAAACTTTATTTATCTATAGAAATAGTTTCCGAAAAAATGTGTTTTCGATAAAATACAATTTCCGGAAAAGTTTAATTAAAATGTATTTTCATTAAAACACATTAAAATAGATATAAAACACAAAACTTGGAACATAACCGGAACATAATAATATTTAAAAAATATCCATAAATTATAATTTGAACAATATAAAGCTATCTAAAATAAATTTAAAAAAATTTTAAATCAAAATAAAATACATAGGCACATAGGAAACAAGCAGCAACACTAACAACACATTTAATTCTATCAACATTATTTTCAAATAATTTAGACCAAGGCCAAAAATGAGAACCATCGGGAATACCAAATATTGTATATAAAGGAATCCAACTTAAAAAGGAAATGAATTTTAGAGAATTAAATTTTATGTGTTTATTTGAAATATAAACTTTAAGGAAAATTATGGGTTTTTAAGCTATAAAACTTTCCGGAAAAAGTTTATTGTAGCACACTTTCCGGAAAGAATATTAATATCAAATGTGTTTTCTTTAAATTATATATACTTTCCGGAAAAACACAAAAAATGTGTTTTCATTTAATAATTGTATTTTTAAGTCAATAGTCAAATTAATAGAATTAAACCTTTACCTGACAAACCCAGTCAACGGAAATTTGAGATAATGTTTGGATATCCAATTTAAAGATAAATAAAGCTTTTCAGGTATCCAAGGATGGCTCATATCCTTAAAATCAAAATTTTATTTTTTTTCAAATTTCTTTTACTTTATCCAAGTGTGCAGTGTATTGATGGTGTAGTCTATGGGATTTTTGCCACGGCCAATAGGGGACATAAAAAATATAAATTATTTAAAAATAAATTTTTTAAAGAACCATAGTAGGTGCATGTGCCACATGCCCAAACAAATCATTCACCCAAGTATAGGAAGAAAAAGTTCCGTGCCCACAATCGTGACCAACAACGAATATAGAGAATAAAAACATACCTAATACCCAATACCTATAAAAATTAGTTATAATAAGAAGGGAATAAGGAGAAAGATTTAAAAAATTGAGAAAAAAATATTTTTTACCAAAGCAAAAGTCCAATAATCCCAAAATTGCCCTCAACAACTCCAACAACCATATAAAGTCCATAAATAATTAAAAAATCCAAAATTAAATAAGAAAGTGAACGAATTAGAGACTAAAAATTAAAAATCAGAAAAAATTTAAAAAATAAAAAAACTTTTTCAAAACACTCTGCTGGGATTGCATTTCGAAGTTCATTTAAATTCGGGAAAGAATTTATTTTGTTGTTAGAATCAGAAATTGTATTTCCATTTGTTTTAGTTGTTTCGACAATTGTATTGGTCATTCAGAATTTTAAATTAAAATAATTCTGATTTGTAAATTAATTCTGGTTTAAAAACACAAACTTTTCTGAAAAATACAAACTTTAAAAATAAATTCTGATTTATAAAACACAGACTTAAAAAATTCTGATGTAAATCAGAATTTTCTTATTATAAAACACAAACTTGTTATTCTGAAATATAAACACAAAATAGAAATTCTGATTTAGAAACACAAACTTTTCTGAAAGAACATAAACTTGTAAAAACACAAAAATACAATCAGAATTTTCTTATTTATAAAACACAGCTTTATTCTGAAACAAAAACACAAAATAAAAATTCTGATTTATATATAAAACACAAACTTAAAAATTATTCTGATTTTACAAGTTCTAAAGCAAAATACATTAATTTAAATAAATTAAAAGATGGTGGGAAATAACCTATCAATTTCTTCTTATTAAAAATGGAATATAATTATGCAGTGATAATTTTAATTAAATCGAACGATTTTTAATTAATATATTACACCAAAATTGTTAAACTGCATTTTAATGAAAAAAAAATACAAATTCTGATCTTTGAATTATTCTAAAACACAAAAAAATATTCTGATTTGCAAAAACACTGACGAAACACACTTATTCTACTATAAATTAAAAGAATAATTCTGATTAGAAAAACAAGAAAATTCTGATTTTTAAAATAAATTATTTTAATATTGAAAAGCGATTTTTTAAATAAATAATAAAAATAAGATAACTGACTGAACATTTGCATGAAAAATCCTTAAGAAGAATAAATTTTAGATAAGAAAAACACATTTTATAGTTAACTTCCCCTCCCTTGCAAATTGAATATTTAATCTTTGATTTTCTAGACAAAGAGGAAGGAAAAAATAAGAATTGTACTATTTAAAAAATTATTTTAAAGTCAGCAGAAAAATCAGACAAGTTTAAAAATAAACGAACCTTGAAGAAAAAAAATAGAAAAAATTATTTTTTAATTTTATTTCAGAATGTAAAATTTCAAAAATAAAAAAATTCAATGAGAACAAAAAATAAAGTCATGTCTCTTAACTATTTATCCTTTTTATTATTAAGTTGTTCATCATTCTGAACAGTAGAACGATATTTAAGTAGACCGCTACCTTTACCAACAAGACAGTCCAATTTAATATTTAACCTTAATTAATAAAATGAAACACAATGTATTTTTAGTTAAATAGTTTCCGGAAACGATAAAACACAAACACATCTTTCCGGAAATGCTACGAGTTTTACTGAAAACACAATGTATTTTAATATAACTCTTCCGGAAAAGTATTTTCCTTTGAATAAACTTTTCCGGAAACACGATGTATTTTATTTAATATTACTGTTCCGGAAAATATATATTCTATTAGAACTAAACACAAACACATCTTTCCGGAAATGTTACGAGTTTTCCGGAAAACACAATGTATTTTAATATTACTCTTCTAGAAAAAATAATTCCTTTGAATATATAACTTTTCCGGAACATGTATTTTATTTTTATATTACTGTTCCGGAAAATACATATTTTCTTAGAATAAATTTTTCCGGAAAGATTATAATTTAAATATAAAATTTACCATAAAAATTTAATTAAAAAGTCATATGCACTTTTATGTTTATATGCGCCAGGGTATTTTTGCAAAACCTTTTTAACAGCTTCCGTAGCTTTAGGTAAATTATAATGAGGAATACGAGTAAAAAAGAAATGATGGGCTACATGGCCTGAAATTTAAATTTAATTTAAAAATTAATTTCCACAATTTCTACCATCAGTTATATGATGCAATGCTTTGTCTATTCCAAATCCAAAGGCTTAAAAAAATAAAAATACAAAAAATTAATTTAATTATTTATTTACATCTATCAACAGTCTGTAACTGTCCTTTCATAAACGCCCAAGTCCCTTCTTCATAAACTTCAATTTGCTCGTCTTGATGTTGCAAAAAGGTTATTATGACCATCCAGAAACCTAAAAAAGATTAAAATATTCTAAAAGAAATACAAAGTTTTCCGGAAAACTATGTAGCCGGAAACCTATAAAATAAAAATATTTTCCGGAAAATTAAGTGTTTATTTATTTCCGGAAAACTCTTTTATATTAAAATACATTCCGGAAATGTACTGGGAGAACTATTCATTTATAAAAAGTTTCCGGAAATTGTTTTCTATAAAACACAATTTCCGGAAAACATTCTACATAAAAACACATTCCGGAAATGTATTTTTATAGATAAACTTTTTCCGGAAAAGTTATTCTTCTATAGAAATAGTTTCCGGAAAATTGTGTTTTCTCTAAAATACAATTTTCCGGAAAACTTTTAATTAAAATGTATTTTCTTGTATTTTCCTGTATTTTCATTAAAACACATTAAATTAAATATAAAACACACAACTTGGAACATTAACGGCACATAATAATATTTAAAAAAGTTCCACAAATTATAATTCATATAGGAGAGAATAACCTATAAAAATTAATTTTAATTATTTTTTAATTTAAAAATACAAAAGAGCAAAGAAAACAAGCAGAAACACTAACAACACATTTAATTCTATCCACATTATTTTCAAATAATTTAGACCACGGCCAAAAATGGGAACCATCGGGGAGTCCAGCAATTGTGTATATTGGGTTCCAACTATTTTTTTTAATTTTTTATTTTAAAAATAGTCTTAGAAAATTCACCGAATAAGTCCAGATAAAGGAATTTTGGCAAAATGTTTTTTTATCCAGTTACTTGATTCATACTCCTCTTCTGTAACCCAAGGGTGTCCTTTATCCTTAAAAATAAATTTTTCAAATAAATTTTTTTAAATAATTTTTTTTCGAATTAAAATGAATTTTTCCAACAGAAAATAGTAGAAAAATTAGGAAAAAAAATAAAAAATTTTTTTACTTTATCCAAATGTGCCGTGTATTGATGGTGTTGTCGATGTGATTTTTGCCAAGGCCAGAATGGGACATAAAAATTAATTTTTTTTTATTTTTAAGAATTTATTTAAAAACCATAATAACAGCATGAGAGATATGTCCAAACAAATCGTTCACCCAAGTATAGGAAGAAAAAGTTCCGTGCCCACAATCATGTCCAATACAAAATAAAGAGGATAAATACATTCCGAGAACCCAATACCTAGAAAAATTTCTATAAATTTTTTTTGGAGTTTTAAAACGAATTTTAAACGCAAAAATGAAATTTAGCAAGGTTTTAAAACAAAAAATTTTTTTCAAAAAATTTTCAAAGCTTCTCCGAAATTTCCAAAATAATTTTTCGAAAAAACAAATTTTTTTGTATTTTTTTAGATTTTCTAAAACCAGAAATTTTTGAAAATTTTTAAGGAATTAAAAAAATATATTTTTTTCTCTCACCAAACTAAAAGCCCAACAAATCCCAAATAATTTTCAACAATTCCAACAACCATATAAAGACCAGAAATAATTACCAAATCCAAAATTAAATAAGAAATTGAACGAATTAAAGGCTAAAAATTAAATTTAAAATTGAAAAAATAAAAAAAAACCTTGTCAAAACATTCTGGGGGCACTGACATTCGCAATTCCTCAACGTTTGGTACTTGTCTAAAAACTCCGATATTTGAAGACGCAGATTCAGCATTGCCACCATAAAATTCAGATTTGCTGTCATCATTGAAAAGACGATAAGAACTGCTCCCATCGTCATTAATATTGCCGGGATTGTATCCACCATTGTTTATTAAACTATTTTTGGTTGTGTCAACACAAGACATTCAAAAATTGAAGGATTTAGATAAAGCTAAAAATTGAAAAAAAAATTTTTGTTGAAAATGTATAGGCTCTAGTCTAGTTTATGAGTCCAATCAAACATTATGAGTCCAATCAAAAAAAAATTTTCTTGGTGTTGCAAAGTTGGAGTATGTTCGGGACATACACCCACCGGGTCTAAGGACGTTCCTTACCCTATTCCTCAAAAATTTCCTCAAGAATTTCTGAAAAATTTTTTTTGATTGGACTAATAAACTATAATAGAGCCAATTTATTTATTTAGGTTACGAAAATATTCTCTAATTATTTTTTATTAAAAGCAGAAGATTAATTAACCCATCACTGGTCAATACTCAATAACGATAATAAAAGTGGCGCAGTCCCAAGCTTAAAAATAACCTTTGAAGAATATCTTCCCCTAAGCCTTCCCTAAATTAAAAGGGAGGAATCCTCTTTGAATAAATTTGATAAAAGCAAAAAAAGCATATTAACGACGCCCACCCCCTATTCCCATGCAAAATAATTCCAATTAAAAGATAATTGTCTAAAAATAATAACTTCTCCCTCTCTCCTCTTTCTTTTCTTCTCCTCTAAAAATGCAAGCAATAAATTTATAAAATCGAACGATTTAATTAATGATCAGACGATGCAGAGCAGCCAAAAAATGCACTAAAAAAAGGTTAAAAAAATTAATTAATAAATTTTACGAGGAAATAAATTTTAAAAAAATTATGAAAAAGACGTGAACTTTAAAAAAATAATAAAAATAATAATTTTATTTTTTATTAGAATATTTAAAAAAATTTTTAAATTAAACAAATTTGGGCAAAAATAAATAAATTAAAAAATAAATATTCTATAACGGGATTTAACAATTTAAAATAAAATATATCAATAAAATAACAATGACTGCAAACTTATTAAAATTTAAAAAATAAATAATTTCCCCGTCGTTGAAAGAAACAAGAACAATCTTCAAATTGTCTATTATTAATTTAATAAAAATGGCGACGCTTAGAGAACGGACCAAGATTTGCACGGCTAAAAATACAAATATAAATTCTGATTTTTAAAAAGTAAAAATGCAAAACACATTAATTCTGATTTGCAAAATACAAAATTTTTAAAATCAGAATTTTAAGAGAAAACACAACTTAAAAAAATATTCTGATTTAAAAAAATATTTTCTGAAAAGGTAATTCTGACTTGAAAAACACATTCTGATATTTTAAATTCTGGTTTTAAAAATATTCTGACTTTATTTTAAATTCTGATTTCAAAGAGAATTCTGGTTTTTAAAAATATTCTGGTCTTTTTTTTAATTCTGATTTTAGAAAAAAAATTCTGGTTTTAATTCTGGTTTAAAGAAAACACAATTCTGATTAAAAAACACATTTTCTGAAAATGTACTTTTGACTTGAAAAACACATTCTGGTTTTAATTCTGATTTTAATTTACTGAAAATACAATTTCTGATTAAAAACACAAATTTATTAGTAAATACCAGAAAATACATCACCTTAAACATTAATTCTGATTTGTAAAATCAGAATTTTAAGAGAAATAAAACACAAATTTAAAAAATTCTGATTTAAAAATATTCTGATTTTTCTTTAAATTCTGGTTTTAATTCTGGTTTAAAGAAAACACAATTCCGATTTAAAAACACATTTTCTGAAAAGGTACTTTGACTTGCAAAACACATTCTGGTTTTTATAAATATTCTGATTTTAATTTTGGTTTAAAGAAAATACAATTTCTGATTAAAAACACATTACAAATTTAAATACCAGAAAATACATCACCTTAAAATAATTCTGATTTGTAATAAAACACATTTTCTGATTTTTAAAAATTAATCAGATCTGTAAAAACACAAAAAAACACAAAAATAATTAATTCTATTTTAATTTATTTTTACCGTTTATTCCTCTGAATTCTCTCATCATATGAAATAAGTATTTGATTAAAAATTTGTCGAGTGTTGTCATCAGCTAATGGGAATAGAAACAATTCTCCATTAAAATTAATTTTGAAACAAACACGTCCTTTCATATAATCAGACTTGAGAAATTCATAAAGAGAAAAATAACCAAAAGAACGGGCGCGTTCTGAAGGATTGAAGCCGTAAAAGAAACTTTAAAAAAGAAAATTCTGATTTTTGAAAAAAATTCTGATTAAAAAACCAGAATAAAAAAATCAGAATTAATTCAGACTCTTCACCGTTCTATTTAAAAAAGAAATTCTGATTTAAAAAAAATTCTGATTTTAATTCTGATTTAAAGAAAATACAATTATGATTTTAGTATAAAACACATTTTTCTGAAACAAAAACACAAAAAATGTTTTTTAATTAAATTCTGAAATTTAATTAAAGTTTATTTGCCAGAATTCTTTTTTCTGAAAATCAGAATATTTTTTGTTTTTATTATTAAAAATAAAAACACAAAAAAACATTCTGATTTTAATAAAAAGGAAATTATGTTATAAAAACACATTTAAAAATATATCTTAATTTTTTTTCCTAAAATCAGAATATTTCTTGTTGCCTTTATAAACGTAAATTTTATAGAATAAAAATGTTTCACTAAATTCTGAAATACCTTTATTTTATAAAATATTCTGATAAATGATGCATAGTAAATATCACGAAAAAATAATTCTGATACAAAAATTTTTTAAATAAAATTAAAATACCGAAAATCATCAATAAATGCGCTCAACGAAGAAAATCCTTCTGGAGTAGACTAAATTTAAAAAATAAAATTAGTAAAAAAATTGACAAATTTTTTAAGGGCTAATTTAAGTGCCTCGCAAAAAAATTGAATTGACTTGAGCCCACCCAAAAAGAAATTAATTTAAAATTTCCAAAAAAATTAAAAACTAACCAAAAGAGTTTGCGATATTTGATCCCTAAATTTACTCAATTTATTTGTCAATAACTTCAATGGATCAACATCAAAATTGCTGCTATTTAATGATGTATTTGATCCATTAGAAATTGTACTACTCGAAGAAAGATTAAAAGAAGAATTTTTTGAAAATGTTGAAGACATTCCAAAAATAAATAAATATAATATAATTATTTAAAAAGCATCTATAAAAACCCTTGAAAAATTTAGAAAAATTAGAAGTTAGAAAAATTATTTTAAAAAATATTTAAATAATTATCTAATAAATAATTTTAAGAAAATTCCAAAAATAAATTCAGCAACAAATTTTTATTTATTTTTTTCTATCCAACAATAATTTATTATTTGCTATAAGAGAAATTTAACATTTAAAAAAAAATAAAATTTAAAGGCAGAAGATATATAAGGCATAAATAAAAAAATAAATTTTCTTTTAAATTAGGAAAGTGAAAACATATAAGTAAAGATTAAATATAAGAATTTAAAAAAATAAATAAAAAATATTTACGTAAAAATCTAATAAATAAATTATAAATATTTAAAAATACATATTGTCCCAGAAAATTATTTCCCTAAATATTCTAATAAAAATAAAGTCGGACCTTTATATACTAGGCATTCACAAGGGAAACTTTCCAACTAAAAGTCAAAATGTTGTACTTTTTTAGATACCAAACGATAAAGAATCATCGATTTACTCTAGAAAATTTTCGGCTATTTTGGCTAGGAATATGAAACTAAAAAGTTATGGGGCTTCAAAGTTTGCCAAAAATGTCAGACACAATTTGAGGTTCATACATTTTTTTTCAAAAATTTTTTTGGTTGACTACTGGATGGGAAAATGCACTAATTCACCCCAAGAATGCAAGGTCTGACTGTACTATCAAATAATACAAAAAAATTGTTAAGGTATCCAGGCTTAGTTAAAAATCCTTTAAAAAATAACCGTTTTTTCGAAAATTTTATTTCTCCTTCTTTTTATGCTGCTTCTTCTTTACAATTTTGATTTTATCCAATTTTACAGCCAACATCCAACCGATTACAGGGCATAACCAGTAAGTTATCTTTTAAATTAGAAAAAAATTTTACTGTCTAATTAAATTTGCAGACATTTGCGGATAAATTTGAAAAATTTGCGGACAAAACCGAAAAAATAAATTTATCCGCAAAATTGATCCGCAAAAATTAAAAGGAAAAAATACCATAAACCATTGCAAATCCAATCCGGGACAACCCATTAGACGAGAAGAAGCTACAACAGGATTCAAACCAGGAATGCCAATATAAACAAGTGCTTAAATTTATTTTAAAAATTTTTCAAAAAATTAGAAAAACAAACAAAAAGTTAAAAATCCAGAAATGATAAATGGAATAAGCCGTGTTTTTACAAAAAGAGGCATTCTTTGAACAGAAAAGCGAAGTAAAAAAGCACATAATAACTCGTTAATAAATACATAATTGAATGGAACCTGAAAAATAAAAAAAATTTTTTAATTGGGCAAATGCTTGACACAAATATTGAGTCAAAGAAAATAAAATAGACAAGTTTAAAAAATTTTTTTGAAGTTCAAACTTTGGTTACCCGCACAAAAAAATATTTAAAGAGCTTCCCAAACTCACAATCAGAGGAGAATTTAAAAACTAAATTAACGTCAAAGGGATTAAAAATTCATTTGGCTAGGAACAAGGTATTCCTAAGGCTCCCTAAACCAAGAGGGAAGCATTAAAAGGAAAAATAAAAAAAAAGATCAAAGTCCTAGGGGGATAGTCTATAACGAACATCCTAAAGACCCTAAAAATTCCCCCAAAACTCAAGGGATTCTTGCCTCCAAATTCTAAGGGAGACAAGTTATAATTGAACATCTAAGAGACCCCAAAAATTCCCCAAAAAACAAAAAAAATATTTTTACTTTGTAATTAATTGCACAAGGAAGTCTTTCAAACAGTTGAAGATGATCTATTGAATAAGACAAAGAATAATACCAGAGGGAGTTAGCCAAACGAAAAGCCGAATATCCACCGACGCTTTGAGCAAATATTAAAGCCAAAAACTTTTCTGAACTGAAAAAATAAATTTTTAAAAATTAAAAAATTATTTAAAAAAAACCTCATCCTTCCAGTAAAGAATTGTTCAATAACAGGAAGTGGAGTTACATAGGCCCCTCGATTGAGCAAATTTCCAGAAAGCAAAAGCATTGAGACTGCGAAGAAGAAACCGATTGGGCCATAATGTTTTACTATTACGGCTAAATAAAAGAAATTTTTGGGGTAGGTAAAAATAAATTGAAAAATTAAAAAAAAATTTGCGGACAATTTTGACTTTGCGGACTTTCCGTATTTTAATTTTTTGATAAGCAAATTGCTTTATGATGGGATTACTTGTTTTATTAACAAATAAAAACACTTTAAACTCTTCAAATTTAGCCTATACCTAATCTAAATAGAATCTAAAACATTTAGGTCATCTTGTCCGCAAATTTAAAAATAAAAAAATAAAATTTGCGGACAAACTACAGATTTGCGGACAATCCGCATTTTAATCTTTTGATAAGCAAATTGCTCAGGGCGGGATTATTAACAAGTAAAACGCTTTAAATCCTTCCACTTAGCCTATATATCAACATAGATAAATTAAAAAACCTTTAGGTTATCGTGTCCGCAAGTGAAAAAAGTTTGTCCGCAAATTTAAAATCAGCTTAAAAAACCTCAATCCTTACTATTTTCATACACACAAGTACACATTTGGGCAGTGCCAATCAATTCAATAAGCAACACATAAATTAGAGAAGACTTTTTAAAAATAAGCCCAACAATTTTTCTTGTAATTTCCGCAAAAAAGAAAACGAAGGCATAATAGGCAATTGCAATTATTGCGGGGAGAAGAGTTTCCACGTTGAAATTGGTAGCAGAAACCATTTTTGAAGTTGAATTTAAAAATAAATTTGTTTTTAATAATTCTTGAATAGAAACAAATTTTAAATCATAATCACCCGTTTTCTGCTGATAAAAATAAATTAAAAATATTAATCGAAAAATATGACACACATTTTGCCAATAAGGCTAAAATAAGAGCAAAAAACACATTTTGCCAATAAGGCTAAAATCCATATTTCGCCAATAAGAGCAAAAAACACATCTCGCCAAATACATATTTTGCCAATGAGGGTAAAATCCTTAATTATGTCGCCAAAATTTCTATTTACATATGTATTGTTTTTGCGAGTTTGGTTTGGGTTTCTGTAGTTTTTCAACCAATTTTTCTAATTAGGTAGTTGAATGAGTACTTACTCAGGCAGAGATATTGCAACATTTTTTGGAGCGAGAAGCTTTACTTCTCACGTTGTCCTGGCATTTGTTGAAGTAATAAAAATTTACGTAAATTCTCTAATAGAAGCACATCCTCCAATACAAGCACGTCCTCCAATACAAGCACGCCCTCTAATATAAGCACGCCCTCCGAGAGGATTGAAAAATAGAAGCACATGTGTTTCAATTAGAGTATTTCCATGTAGTATAAAAGCAATAGATACCCAATATCACTAACAACAACACACACAATAAACTTCACAAGTCAATGGCACAGTCTGCATACTTAGGTGGAGGTGGTACAGCTGGTGGAGGAGGTGGTGATGCTTCTGTCTATATGGGATCTGGAGCCGGCGGTTCACCGAAGCAACCGGCAGCTGGAGGTGGCGGTTATGGAGCTGCTGGTGGAGGCGGTGCGTCAGTCTACCTTGGTAGTCCTGCTGGTGGAGGCGGAGGAGCCGGTCAACAAAGTGCCTATATTGGTGGACCTGCTTTGGGAGGAGGTGAATAATTATTGACCCTAATATGCTGATAACTGATAATTTTATTTAAGCTTCGGCTGCTGCTGGTAGGCCTGCATGTGGCGCAAGTGCTTTCGAAGGTGGCAGTGGCTTGTTTGTTATTTCTTGTGGTGGTGGTGGTATGCAGTCGATTCTTGGTACTTCTCCTTCTGGCGGTGGTACACAAACTGCTCTTGGTGGTCCTTCTTCTGGCGGTGGTACGCAGAGTCCTTTTCCTTCTTGTGGCTTCACGATTCTTGGTGGTCCTTCTTCTGGCGTTGGTACACAAACTGCTCTTGGTGGTCCTTCTCGTGGCGTTGGTACGCAGAATCCTTTTCCTTCTTATGGCTGCATAATTCTTGGTGCTTCTTCTGACTCGCCTATGGGGGGAGTTGCTGGTTCAAGTGAGTTAAAACTTAAATCTCAAACCATCATTAATTGAGTTTTTATTTTCATTTAAAGATGTTGGTGCTTCTTCGTCAAATCTTGGTGGTCCTCAAATAGGTTGTGGCACTGGTGCGCAGTCTGCTGGTGGCGGTCCTCAAATAGGTTGTGGCACTGGTGCGCAGTCTGCTGGTGGCGGTCCTCAAATAGGTTGTGGCACTGGTGCACAGTTTGCTGGTGGCGCGGGGTCTGTCTATATGGGTGGTGCAGCTGCAAGTGGAGGAGCAGGAGGCGGTGGTTTCCAGAGTGTTTACATGGGGAAATGATGTGCGCCGAGGATAGAAGATGGAGAAGAACAGAAGAAGCTGTTGTTTGACTAGATAACCTCTCTTTTCCTTTCCAATCCCCCACAATTGTGTGTTTTGTATTGTGCCCCAATTTATTGTGGTCCATTAAAATAATCCAAATGTGTCTAAATAGTCGTTTTCCTATTCCTCTTAATGTTTGCCTGATTTATGTATAATTACTAGCTCATTTCATAAAAAAATGTTCTTTACAAAAATCGTTATAGAATTTTTTGTACAAGTCCAAAAGCTTTTAAACTTTGGATACAAATTTTTTAGAGTGTTTTCTAATAGATACCAAAATTGGAAATTTTTGGTTCGATATTCTAGGAGTTCTCATCGTTTAATAAGTTTGGTTTAAAGATCCTTTGTAGCCATATTTTAGCTGTTTTTATTTTTTAACTCAAAATTTTGTAACAAATTTTCTATTCACTCACACAAAATTTAAAAATTCCCGTCCTCCTACAAATTAAATTTTCAACGAGGCTAAATTTGCATCCCTTTTTAGGAGATTTTTTGAGGTTTTACCGTAGATTAAGGTTAGCGGATCTGAATAGCCGGATCAGAAAAAAGGCCGGATATCCAGAAATTCCGGGTCCGGATATTGAAATTTTCAGTTCGGATATCGGATTGGATATCCGAAGATTTCCAAATATCCGCCAACCTTATTGTAGATGGATTTGTTTCCATATTTTTTTAAAGTTTTTTATCGTTACTTAAAATAGAAAAATAAAATATTTAAGACGAAAAGGAAATTTCACATAAAAACAAAATAACAAGTTTTAAAACGAAAAAGAAACAAAAGTTTATTTTAGGATTGCGCTCTACGAGCCCGTAAAACACTTTTTGTTGTTAATGACCCGTTTGGTTTTTTGATGTCAGCACTGCTGCGAGTATTTAATTGTAGGAATTTGGAGCGGACGCGTTTCGAGTATATTGAGAAAATGCTTCGGCAAAAGAATACCTGTTTGGAAAATTTTTTAAAAATTATAAAAATACAAAGAAGAAAAAAATTATTTGACACCGAGAGGTTTCGAACCTCCGTCCGAAAAATGAAGGTAATCAGAAACACTACCAACTACACCATACAGGTATATTTTTAACATGGAAGTCTAAAGAGCCTGAACTGAAAACCGGTGTTTTTGGTGAGTCAACAAGAATCGAGAACCGTGGGTATAGATTGATAACCGATCGCTAACAACTCTATATGAAACCATTATATGTATTCAAGAGATTAAAGGGTCAGAATTTGGCAAAATTTGGAATGCCAGTATATCAGTGTTTGGAACAGACATGCTCATGGATACTGACTTTGGTATCCGTATCCGGATATTTACGGCGGATACAGGCGGATGTCCGCAGGCATCTTGATATTATCTGTATCCGTATCCATGAGCAGGTCTGGTTTGGAGGCTCATACCAAAATTTGTACTCGTACCTGTGTACGAAGTACGATAACAATATCCCCCTCTCATTTTTAAAATAAAGAAAAATTCAAAAATCACACCGTATCTTGTGTAGTATTACTATCATTCATTAAATCATCCACTTCCTCCTCCTCTACATTTTGTTTAAATCTAGGGCAAGGACGTGCCCAATTTGGAGGCCTTCTAGCAGCTGGTAAGCGTTCCAAAGCTAATTGGGCTTTGTATCGACAATATGCCGAAAAGGTTAAAACACGCGTAGTTCCCTTAAAGGAGAAACATTTTCTTCGAGAGAATTTTTGATTCCTTCTTCTACCTGTACAGAATCTGCATTTACTTGATCTAAATGTTTTGAAGCAAATAATTCATCATCTTCAAAGTTGGAAGGGCCAGAATTGTTTAGACGCAAAGAAGGAAGTTGTTTTCCAGTATAAAACCATAGGAGAGTGAGGAGTAAAGAGCGCTCACTAGGTTCGTAATGAATAGATAGAACTCTGCCCTAAAAATCAGAATTTATTAAAAAAACTTTGGAAAAATCCATTATATCACTCATAACCCGAATCGGACAAACAAATATCAGTCAAGAGAGCTCGACGAGCTGAGTCGAATGGCAACAAAATCAACGCGATCTAACAAGTTTGGGCAAAGTTTATGATACAAAAACTATCCAAGTATAAATAACGAGTAGGCGAGTCACTTGAGCAAAACTCCGAGCTTAACTCGAAGCGTTTCGCTGGAATAAATGGTTGCTCAATTCTGCATACAGTAACGTAAGCCTACTCCTAGTTTGTAGTCTACTCCTAGTCGTTCCCGGCTTCCAACCTTATGTAGAGGGTTAGAGCGACTACGCATAGCTTTGTCTAATTAAATCAGATTTCGCTGATTTGGCATTCAATTCAGTTCAAGGAGCTCTTTCGAACGAGCTTTTTGGCCCCAAAAATTAGCTTGATCCCCTTATGGTTTTTAAATTTTCAGGTAAATCAGGTTGTGAGTAAAATTAAAAATCTCATGTTTACCACAAAAATGTCCTCCTCGAAATCAGCCGAATTAACCAGTACACAATCCCCCAATTTTATATAAACTTCAGATTCCGATTTATGCCGAATTGAATTAAAACAAAAATATTGTTTAACATTTTCCTCGTTGGAATCAGGAAGACGACGTAGTGGCAATTGTTTGAGAACACCTAAGCCCATAGGGCGCCAATTTGAAGCAAATTGAGAAGGTTGACAAGTGAAGGTTGGAATGGTTGAAGTTGGAGTATTTAAAGGTTTTGGGGGTTTTGAAATTGGTTTGGGTAACAATTTGGCCCGAGAAGGTGATGGGGAAGCTGAGGAAGATGAAGAGAATAAAACCATCTTTCGAGACTGAAAAAATAAATTTTAAAAATTATTTAAAAATAAATGAAATTATTACAATATGAGGGTGACGACAGCTCCGTCTCTCCCCTCCAACCCTTTTATCTGGCGAAATTTCCGAAAGTTTCAAATTTGCCAATAACAAAGCTTTCCTTTTCCTTCTTCGAATAATTAATTTTTCGTTATCTTCTAATTTACTTCTTTTGTAAGTTTTCTTCTTCTCCTCTTCTTTTCTGTTCCTCAACCTCATTAAATACGCCTGCTTCTCCCCAACGGCTTCTGAAACATCTAAACTTTTTATTTCCCTTTTTATACTAGTACCTTTCAAAACATTTAAATCAGAATTAATCTGAACATTCTCATTTGTTTTTCTTTTATCTCTCAAACTTGTTTTGCAGCCTGTTTTGCAACTTGTTTTGCAACTTGCTTTCAAACTTGTTTTGCAGCCTGTTTTGCAGCCTATTTTCAAACTTGTTTTGCAACTTGTTTTACAATTCTTTTTTCCAACAACATTTTCCAACTTTTTTCTTCTTTCAAGTTTATTTTCTTTTTCAATAATGTTTTCTTCCTCTTTTTCTCTAATTTCCTCTTTGATTTCTTTAATCTCTACACTTTCCTCCTTGATTTCTTCTTTAATTTCTTTTTCTAAATTTTCTTCTTTTGGAAGATTTTTTCTTCTTCTTCTTTTAATTAATTTTTCTTCCTTTTCTTCCTTCACTTCCTTTCCCTCTTCTAAATCTTTTACTTTACGCCTAACATATTTCCTTTTAGGCTTCATCTCAACCTCTTCCTTGCCTAGTTCCTTCTTCTCTTTTTTAATATTTTTTAAGCTAGTTTTTCCATTTTTATTTATTTTTTCTTCCTTTTCCTTCATATTTTTCTGAATTTCTTTTTTGGAAATTTTGTTGGAGAATATTAGAAGAGGTTGTTGTTCTGTTGGAGATGACCAAATACCGCTACTTGTTTTTGTTGAGCAAATTGAGGAAGAAGAAATATCTGATGATAAATTGAAGAATTTTGAAGAAGAATTTAATGATGGCTGGAGAAAAATATGATGATGGGGACTTTTATCGTTAAATTCCGATGACTCATTTGTAGTTTTTGTAGGAAAGAAAACAACGTCATTATTATCATCATTGTCCTCAACCAATACCTTAAAACAAAGTTGAGATTGATTAGTCAATTACAGTATACGTTAAATCTAGGGAGAGATAATCTACTTAAGGGCCCAACGTATAATTAGAGAGGTGTCCTTTAAATTAGAGAAGGGTACTTTCAATTAGAAAGGTGTTCTCTTACATAGAGAAGGGTACTTTCAATTAGAAAGGTGTCCTTTCAATTAGAGAGATGTCCTTTTTATTAGAAAGGTGTCCTCTTAAATAGAGAGGGGTACTTTCAATTAGAGAGGTGTCCTCTTAAATAGAGAGGTGTCTTCTTAATTAGAGAGGTGTCCTCTTAATTAGAGAGGTATCCTTTCAATTAGAGAAGCCGTCCTCTCAATTAGAGAGGTGTTCGCTTAATTAGAGAGGTGCCTGCCTGCTTAATCAGAGAGGTGTCCTTTTAATTGGAGAGGTATCTCAATAGGAGAGATATGTCCTCTCAATTAGAGAGCCCTACAAATAAACTAAAAATTTAAGAAAAAACGGCCACCCACTTCAGGCTCCAATTTAGGCATTCTAACAAAAACATCAACATTGTTACTCTCCTTCTCAACATCCCCCCAATCCTGCTCCATTTCCTTTCTTAAAACAGGGGGGCTCATATAAGGGTTGGGAGAAACAGAGGGAGAAGAAGAAAATGTTGAACAAGAAGAAGAGGAACTAGCTGGAATAAACATTTTGTTTTTGTTGTTTTGTTGTTGTTCAAAGGATGTTTGAATGCTAAGGTTTTGATGCATGTTTTGTTTTTCTAAATAATCATTATGTAAATTTATAGAAATGTTGTTAGTGTCAGTTGTGTTGTTAGTGTTGTTGTAATGGTTATAATAAACACCTATTTGACGCATTTCTGAATTTGAATGTTTTTATAAGGAGAATAAAAAATAAACTTTAAAATAAACTTGGAAAAACATAAGTTATTGTTTAAGGAAACAAGTTTATTAAAAACAAATTTGTTTAAGAACAAGTTTCTTTAAAAACAAGTTTGTTTGAGAACAAGTTTATTTAAAACATGTTTAGTTAAAAATTAGTTTGATTAAAACAAGTTTATTTAAAAACAAGTTTATTAAAAACAAGTTTTTAAAAATAAGTTTATTAAAAGAAATACGTTTGTTTTGATACAAGTTTATTTAAAACAAGTTTAGTTAAAAATTAGTTTAATTAAAACAAGTTTGTTTGTTTCTGTACATTTTACGAACATATTCTATTATTAAATGTTCATTTCAAAATAAGTTTTAGTATGTTTTTGATTTTTTCTCAACAAGTTTGTTTTTAAACTGTTTTTACAGTAGACATGTTTTTAAACGAACATTAATTTCGAAATATGTTTTCCAGGTTTATTAAAAGTTGCGATAAAAGAAAAACAAAGAGGAACATATAAAAACAATAAAAACAACAAAGATATGTTAGTTTTACTTTTGTATGTTTGTAAACAACATTTAAATAAAATAATATATAACGGAATTTTTAAAATGAATTTTATTTTTGAAAATAAAATTTTATTTTAAACGTTAAATTTTAAAATTTATTGCTTTTATTAATTAAAAATTTATCATTATTTTATTTTTAAATCAATAATTCTTAAAATAAAAAAATAGAAAAAAGAGGTGAAGGTGAGGATAATGAGGAGAAAATTAAAAAATAATTTTAATAAAAAAATTTAAAATATTTTAAAAATTAAAAAAAATAAAAATATTATTTTTAAATGATTAATTCAAATATTTAGTTGACTCATTTTTAAACTTTCCTAAAAAAATATATTAATTTTTATTAGAATGATTATATTTAGTTGCTATCATTTGACGAAACGCAAAGAAAACAAGTAAATAAATGGAAAGAAAAAAATTTGTTTTTTTCCTAATTTCGAAATAAACAAAGAAGCATGTCTAAATAAAAATGTTTAAAAATAATTAAAATATTTTTGGAAAAAATATTTTTTAATTTTTTATTACAGTATAACTCCAAATATTAAAATTTTTATAAGGTCATATTTTTTAAAATAAAGTTTTTGCCATAGCGCAGATATTTTTTGGAAAATTTTGCAGTTACAGAAGAAATAATTTTTATTCTATAGAAAAATATTTTGTTTAATTTAAAAAGAACTTAAGCCTTCACTATAACAACTTGTATCTTTCACCATGGTTTTTGACCATTTCGAAACCCTATCTGAGCTCAGACATGATACAGAAGGCTGATTTTGGTGTCAATATACTCAGCTCCTCGAGCTCTTTCGATTGACATATAATTTGTCAAGTCTAAAATTCCCTAGTAAAATAAAGAGGGTAATAAAGGGTATAAGTTCCCGACTGACTTCCTCCGCTTTAGCCTTTCAACAGAATTTAGCCGTTCAGTTAAATGCTTCTAGAAATGCAACAGGAACACATTTCTGCCTTAAATCTTCAACCAAAATTTATTTGGCCCATTTTTGGATTTTTAAAGAAAAAATCCAAAAATTTCAAAAATTTCTAAAGATGAGGTTAATTTTCTTCTAATATAAAAAATTTTTAAAAATTAAAAAAAAACCTAACGATTTCACAATTGATTTTTTATTTTTTTGAATGCTATTTATATATACAACTAAAAAAATATTTGGCGGCCAAGTAAGAATATTTATTGTCTACTATTAATGTGTGCGTGCATTGAGGGGATGGGGGGGGGGGGGGGGATAGATTGGGGGGCGATAGAAATGGAGAAAGAAAATTTTTTATTTAGACTTGTAGCCGTGAGCAATCCTGGCAAGAAAGAAATTTTTGATTGATTGGAGGTAGGTAGGGGTAGCTTACTGTATTTGTTTTAATTAGGGCATGACAAGGAGAAAGGCTCGTCAAGTTGGCAAAAGGTAGTAGCTAACAAGGGTCGGAGAACCCCTTCGAAGTCTATATAAGAGCCGCGACCGAGGAACTTCAAGCCTAACATAGATCAGGGTCCAATGCTAACTGCTACGAAGGTCTGTAGGCCATTCAAAGATCCTACAGTCACCTGAAAAGGTCTCCTTTGTATGCCTTTTTCTTTTTGTAAATTGCTTCTCATAATGAAGGTTAAACCAACGGGATGATTACGAGAAAGATTCGAACCTTCCAGAAAGTTTTGAAAAGATTTATTTTGAATATTTTTAGCATTTTGAATATTTTTATTCCTTATTTGTATTTTTTGTATTAATAGTTAACTACTATTTCTGAAATTTTAGAAAAATTTTTCTAAGATTTCATTTTATAAATAACGGACTAAAGTGGAATCCCTCTAAAATGACTCCTACCTAAATCTCGTCTCGAGGGGCGTGTTAAATAGAGTGATACATAAGGGATCCGTCAACATAAAAAATAAATAAAAATCCCAATTTTAGGGAAACGGGACAGCACGGTCATTTCCAAACATTAAAAAAATTTTTAATTGAATAATCCGAAGCCTATAATAATTTCACTCACAAAAGAACAGTCATATCCATGTAACGCGTAAATAATTAAAAAGTTTTTCAAGGTTAAATAAAAAAAAAAATTAGTTGAATAAATTTTGTAAAATTAACCTAAAGGAATAAGTTTAGAGTTTTCATATGAACATAAAGAAATGGCCAATAATATTTTTGAAGGAAAAAACCTTTAGGGCATATTAGTGATGTCGGGTATCCTGATCCCGACTCCTGACTCGGGAAAATTTATCGAGTTTTTGGCCTCCCGATCCCGACTCCCGGTGTCAATTCCCGACCCGACTTCCGTTTCCCGAGTTTTTTTTTCTCCCGAGCATCACTAGGGCATATCATGTAGAAATTTTCTCCAAGTCTTTGATATAGAAAAAGAGAATCCTCAATTAGAAATGGACCGACTCGGACCGAAAGATCGAGTCGGGCCTAAGTATTTGTACATGCCCGACTCGATAAAAACAAGCCTCGAAAAATGCCTCACCGTCGCTCAAACTTGAAAATGGCAACCCTAATTACTACAACTCGTAAAAATTTAACAGTACATTAACGGACAGCAATTTAGTTCACAAAAGTTTATTTTTTAATTTTTGGTTTTTATTAATCCTTTCTGGTTACCACAGGGAAATGGAGTGAACTTGAAGAATGATTAAAAATAAATAGAATGGGGGGAAAATGAAAATGCGTGCAGATAACAGAATATTACTTATAACATTGACATACCTTATAAGAGATATGGATAAGAGATTTGGATTTGAATATAGCTAATAGAGAAATTTGAGAGAAATTTTAATAAGTAAATCTAAAGAAGGCTAACACATCTCCCCTCTCTCTTCCCCAATACGACACTCTAAATTAAAACAATTACCTAACTTCTAATACAGTAAAACTAATAGAACTTTTATTTTTCCACCTTCTCGGAGGGTGTGTGCTTATTGTTGTGTTGGAAAGTGTGGTTAGGTATAGGGTTGCCAAAATCGCCCGACTCGGTTTGAAAGATCGAGTCGGGCATAGGATAATTGGCCCAAAAGACTAGTACGACCCGAATCGATAAAATGAGGCCCGAAAAATGGCTCGAACGTCGGCCAGACCGAAAACGGCAACCTTAGTTAGGTATATTAGAAGAGTTACAGTATTCCCAGAAACATTTTCTTACAGTAGTGATTACAGTAATATTAATAAAAAAATTTCAAAAAATTTCAAAAATCAATACCGTAACCTACAGTAAAATTATAAAAGAAACAAAAAAAGGTGTCGACTACACCTAAAAATATTTTTTGCTAAAAAAATACATATTTAATAATCTTTTTTAATAAAATACAAAAACACTTAAAAATGCTTTTTGGACTAAGGAAAACACTCCCCCCGTTCTTTTAATAAGGAAAGTAAATACAAACATAAAATGTGAGGGGTGGAGCGAGAAAAAGAGAAAAAGACTGAATAAATAAATATATTTGTTGAGAAAAAGAATAATGGAAAAAAGAGGACATAGGGAGGTTGTGAAATGCCAAATAAGAGGTTTGGACAAAATGCCAGCAAGAAGAGAATTGGACGAAATGCCAAATAAGAGTTTGGACAAAATGCCAGCAAGAAGAGAATTGGACGAAATGCCAAATAAGAGGTTTGGACAAAATGCCAGCAAGAAGAGAATTGGACGAAATGCCAAATAAGAGGTTTGGACAAAATGCCAGCAAGAAGAGAATTGGACGAAATGCCAAATAAGAGGTTTGGACAAAATGCCAGCAAGAAGAGAATTGGACGAAATGCCAAATAAGAGTTTGGACAAAATGCCAGCAAGAAGAGAATTGGACGAAATGCCAAATAAGAGTTTGGACAAAATGCCAGCAAGAAAAGAATTGGACGAAATGCCAAATAAGAGTTTGGACAAAATGCCAGCAAGAAGAGAATTGGACGAAATGCCAAATAAGAGTTTGGACAAAATGCCAGCAAGAAGAGAATTGGACGAAATGCCAAATAAGAGTTTGGACAAAATGCCAGCAAGAAGAGAATTGGACAAAATGCCAAATAAGACGTCTGGACAAAATGCCAACAAGAAGGGAATTGGACAAAATGCCAAATAAGACGTCTGGACAAAATGCCAACAAGAAGGGAATTGGACAAAACGTCCAAGTAGTAAGAGGAAAATACCGTATGTAGTCGGGACCAGGATTGAGCGCAATGCATTGTTTTGCGTTGATCTAATTGCTTTGCGTTTGTTCCCAAACAATAGTTAAAGCATTATCCCTCTCTTAGTAAGTCTCCTTAGTTGTTACCTTTATTCTGCACCGAGGCGGCTGAACCTTTCCAGATATCTTGGATAACGCAACAGGGAGAGGGCGTGATCGAGACAATCCTAGAAGGCCCTAGGGGTAATCAAGTCCATTAAACTCTTCCCTACACCGAAACACGCCAAAGTGATAATTCACGAACTTTATTCACGATAAATAAACCGATGAGTGAAATCAGCTAGTGAAAAAGGTTAATCGGCGGATGGGAGTGAACCAGCATCTTCAGTAGACCGGACTGATGTGTTATCCACTACAACACCGCCAACTGCACAGCCTTCTGAATTAAATAGCTATACGCTTTACAATACTAACGTATCGAGACAATCATAGGCCCTCGGGGTGATCAAGTCCTTTGAACTCCCCTACACAGAAACACACCAAAGTGATAATTCACTTACTTTATTATCGATAAATAAAACAATAAATAAAAATATTGAAAATGAGACACAATACATTCTTTGCTTACTCAGTATTATCGGACTACATAATAAGCTACTATAACCCGTAGACAAAATAAGGAAGAAGTTTGACTTTTTGGCCTTCTGAAAATCCAAAAATTTTGCTCTAAAATTAGGAAGCCTTGATCTGAATATATTATGCTGGAACATCTCCAAAAAACTAAAGCCCTGGAGCTGGAGCTCATATTTGAATAAGTCGGAGCTACAAAGCCGAAGCCAAAAAACATTGATAATAAATACCGTCCAAGTTCGAAACAGACCTAATAAAAGTCCATAGGGCACCAAGAGTTTTCAAGACTAGGAGTTTAGATTTCTTCAATTTAAACTAAAGGTTCTGATTTACAAAATAAAATGTTGGTTTTTCACCCAAAAAAATTTTTCACCCAAAAAATCAATCTTACTCTCCCCTATATTTTTTCTATTTTTCGAGACCTATAACTCGGTCCAGAATTATTTCCTAAAAATAATTTCCTAAGTTAATTTTGCGTTATTGCGTTCTTTAAAAATTGTCTCTTGCGCTCACCCAGTCTCGATACCGTACCTTACAGTTTTGTAAGGTTGGCAATTTGTCGCTAAAACATTTTGTCTTTGTACTAAAATTAAGAGACGTTTGAAAAACTAGCAAAAAGCTTAAAAATGATGAAAAAACTGAGAAAAAAAAATTCGAGAAAGAAAAAAAATATAAAAGAAATTTTAAAATAAAAACGAAAAAATAGTATGATAAAAGTTGATAAACACAATAACAATGTTTAGGCTGGAAAGAAAATAAAAAAAGAAAGAACATTAGAGAGTGGGAAGTAAATCGATAGACGATGTGGCGGTCCTTTTAGAATAAAAAATTATTTTATGGAAGAGATTTGCGGATTTAATTTGCGGACTTGCTTAAAACAAAAAAAATTTGGGTGAAACAAAGGGAAGTCTTGAAGGAGTAGAAGGCTTAGGGGGGGGGGGGCTTTATCCCTAGTCTCCAGAACTACTATAGAGATACATTAAACCTCAGCTAAGGTGGGTATATTCAAAGATGGGACCCTGCCGAATTTTAAAAAGCGGAGGACGAAAGGAAGCTGACGTAGGCATATAGGCATGACGGAAGCGGAAAGGTTTAGAACGAAACTGAATGGTACAGAAGGCGGAAAAATGCTTTTATTGTTTCAGAATGTAGCCTGAAGGTTCTAGTACAAAACGACGATGATTAATTAAAATAGTATTGTTCTATCAAAATATCGTTCATCAAACTTTTACGGTTGTGACGACGTTTTAGAGAAATGATATTTTGCAAAGACACGGATTGGAATTGAAACTAATATCTGAAATTTGCCTGGACTTAACAAAATTTAGGGGGTCAACTTGATTAAAATAACAAGTATTTATGCTAACTAAACTAACAGAACTATGTAGAAATCCCCGTATTTTCCTCTAAAATAGACTCGGGGACTTATTTCTCAACAGTATAGTAGATTTTTTGAACCTGCGGCAACCCTGGTATGTACTTTTTTCAGACTGGTGCATGGATACGAATTTTGCTATCCGTGTCCGGATATATCTATGAGGTCAATGTCCGTACCCATCCGTATCCGTCCGATTTTTAGAAATGCATTATCCATATCCGTCCGCATCCGGAGATATCCGCGGGTATCGGATGTTATCCGTACCCGCGGACCAGTCTGTTTTTTTGCTCCTTCAATTATCCCATTTTTTAATTATTTTGGTAACGGGATTTATTTGGGAAAGAATAAGGGAGTAAACAGAATACCAAGATAAAATATATTCAATCAAATTGGGGTACAAAATTAAATTACCTAATTTAAATTTTAGCTCAAATACCTCTGATTACCTCTTTAATTCAGAATAAATTAAATTTATAAAATTTTTTAAAATTTAAATTAATAAAAATATTTTTAATTCACTGAATGAAGTAAAGAAAAATTGGTTTTACTAAAAATGGTTAAACTAAAATATTTTCTTTAAAAAATTTAATTTTTAAAATATTAAGGGTTAGCTGTACATACAAAAATTAATAAAATAAATAAATAGAAATCTAAATAAAGAAAAATATTTAAAAAATTTTTTAAAAATTAAAAAACAAAATAATACATCCATAATTTATTTATGTGGCAGGATCGATTATAAATCAAATTTTTGAAAGACTAGAGGCTCAGTTGGTGTTAGTGAGGCCTATTATTAGAGAGGTCTGGAATATTTAATTAATCAAAAAAGCCAGCTTGACCCCTAAAAATTTTGTCAAGGAGTAGCTAACTTGACTAGCTTCAGATATCAAGGGGACCGAAAGGGCTATTATTAGAGAGGTATGGATATATTTAATTAAAAACTCAAAAATTTTGTGATTACAAAATTTACAAAAAATTAAAAAATTAAGAAAAAAAATTTTTAAGAAGAAGAAAATTTGTCCGCAAATAAAAATCCGCAAAAATATTGCGAAACTGTGGAGAGAAAAATAAAATTAAAATAAAGGCAACTAAAAGTTAAACAAAAGAAAGAGAAGAAAAAGAAATATGTACTATTTCCTTTCTTTTTTTATTGGAAAAGGCTTACTGTGGCCGACAGAAGAGAAAAGACAAATAGGAAATAAACACGTGAATTTTTAAAAAAAAGTTGTATATTAAGTGATATTTGTATTTTGGAATTGTAAAAAAAATAAAAATATAATATTAAGGGTAATTGGAGTCAAAAAAATATTTTTGTGTTTTAGATCGTTTGAGTCTTATGTTCTCTCTTCAAAATGCCTTTTCTCTCCCTTCTCTCCTCAATACACATCAGAATTACTACAAAACAGAATTATCAGAATTATTACATATCAGTTAAAAATCAGAATTATCAGAATTACTGCAGAACTACTTCCAGAATTTGTAATTGGATTTTAATAAGTACAATTTGTATTTTAATATCAGAATTTGTGCTTTCAAATCAGAATTTATTTTATACGTTATTAAAACAGAAATTGTAATTTTTACAATTACAAATTGTACATTTATCAGTATTCTGTTTTAATTAAAAAACCATAATTTGCATTTAATTATAAATCAGAATTTGTTGACAGCAGAATTTGTGTTTTAAAAACCAGAATTTGTATTTTACCTAAAAATCAGAATTCTTTTTTAAATTAAAATCAGAATTTTTAATTTTTACAATTACAATTTACAATCTATAATTTGTTGTTTTAATTAAAACTCAGAATTTTTTGTCCCAAATTTATTTAAATAAATACTTTTAGAACCAAAAATATTTTATAGTTGAATTTTTCTTTTTCATTCTTCATTTAATTTTTATCTTTAATTTTAATCTTTATTTATTTATAATAATTAAATTTATAAGAAAACAAATTTTAAATATATTTAACAATTAAAAACTAAAAAACAATTTTTTCTATATTTATTTACAATTCACCACCAATCACTTCTTTTTCCAGGCATTGATGTCCACAACATTTCTTCTGTTACATTATCATAATTAAGGGGGGATTGTGTTGTTGTTATTGCTCCCCTTCCCCATCCATTGTTTTTACAATATTGTAGACTGTTTTTCATGCCTATAGATAAATGTTTAGATTGTGTTCTGAAGAAAAATCGGAATTTGTAATTTTATCAGAATTTGTATTTTGTTTAAAAATCAGAATTGTGTTTTAATAAAATCAGAATTATTCACAAACAGAAACACATTTTAATCAGAATTTTTGTTTTATTTACAAACCAGAAATTGTAACTTAATTACAATTTGTAATTTAGTAATCAGAATTTGTGTCTTGATTAAAAATCAGAATTTGTGTTTTGTTCGAAAATCAGAATCTGTGTTTTGTTCAAAAATCAGAATTATTTACAAACACAAACATGCTTTAATAATGTTTAATTGTTTTTCTAAACATTACCTTCAAAATTGTTTGTTTCGTCTCTATCAAAACTTCTCATTCCCTCATTTCTATAACAACCTCCACCAGATCTACTCAAAGTAAACTTAACAACAACAGGTTTATTACTATTATTTATTGTCCCTTCATATTTTTCTAATTTATTTTTTAAATTTCTTTTTCTTCCATTTAAGGATGTGGATAATTGCTCTATATTTTGCATTGAACAAGTTGATGTTTTTGAAGAATTCTGATTTTTGGAAGGAATGCTGTTTGTGTTATTACAAGATATAGTACTGGTAGCTGTTGTTGGGTTGCTATTATTTCCTGTAGATTTCTTTTTCTGGGTGAAGAAAAAAAATTTTTTTCTAAGAATATTTTTTTTCTAAAAAAATTTTTTTTGGTCTGGAGAGTATTTTTAAAAAATTCCCCACAAATTTTTCTATCAATAAAATTAAAACAAAAATAAAATTCACCTTTCTAGAGCAACCCAAACAACAACAAAAACACCCCAATTTCTTCCAACATTTAATCCCACAACATTTTATTTTTTTATTATCATTAAAAATAGCTTCCTTTGCAAGTCGTTCTTCTTCTAATTGGCGAACTCTGTTCACTTCAAAAAAAAATTTTTTTTGATTAAAAATTAAAAAAAATATTCTTTCCCACTTGCATATTCCTCCAAATAGGAAGCCCGTCTATACACTTTCATTGTCCCACCAGTCCCCGTTGTTGTTATTGTTTCTTCTGTTGTTGTTGCAGTGTTTGTACTAGCATCCATTTGCGAAGGAAAGGAATTCCAATAATGTTTTTGTTGGAATGTTGGTAGTCGATAATTATTATAAACATTGTTGTTGTTGTTAAAATTATTAAAGTTTTGGTTGTTTACAATGTTTTTGTTGTTGTTGTAATAATATTCTTCATTGTTGTTATTGTTCACAACATTGTTTTCCGGCTCTTCTTCAATTACACCGCATTGAACAGCAACATCGGACTAAAACATAAAACTCTAATTAATGTTCGTAACTAATTCTGATTTTTAATAAAACATAAATTCTGGTTTTTTTTAAATTCTGGTTAAAATATAAAGTGTAATTATTGAATATTAATTAAATTACAATTCTGGTTTTTACTTGGAAATTCTGATTTTTATTCTGTAAATTCCAAATTCTGATTTTTATGGTAAGATTACAAATTGTTTTCCTTGAAATTACAATTTCTGGTTTTCACATTTTTGAAATTACAAATTCTGGTTTTTAATTTGAAATTCTGGTTTTTATTAAAATTACAAATTCTGATTTTCTGTCTCTGAAATGAACTTAATTAAATTCCAGAATTATTTAAAAACACAATTTCTGATTTAATAAAGTTACAATTAAATTTTACAATTACAAATTCTGATTTTTATTTTTAACTACACCTTAAAATTTCTTTGATGTCTTCTCTGCCACAAATTATTTCTGTTATTATTTAAATTAAAACACAGCAGTTCATTATTATTTTTCCTTTCACCATCCCATCTACTCAATTCCCATTCACTTAGCCAATTATGCAAAGATTTTGAAGCTAAGAATTTTCCAACTTCTAATTGTTGTAATCTAGCATATTCTTGTGGGTGTTCAAACCGTAAAGCTCTTAATTGGGAACGTAATTGTCGTTCAATACCTTCAGGTAGAATTTGTCCGACCGTCTCAGAGTATGAGGAATGCATTTTATTTTCTTCTATAAAATCAGTAAAAACAGTAAATTATAAGTAAAATTAGTAAAAATATGAAAAAAAATATTTCTTAGTTAAAAAACATTTTTATAAAATAAAATGACAGATTGGTGTAATTTAGAGGAAAAATGAAGAAATATGATTTAAGAAGAAAAATATAAAAAAATATCCGGAATAATTTAATAAACCATTTATTTTTTTGCTTGTCAAAAAATTAATCCAGAGATTTTTGTTTAAAAAAAATAAATAAAAATATTTCCCATCTTTAAATGTTTGATCTCTCTCCTCGATTGATTCTCCCGTAAAAATTCCTTTTTCTTCATGCGACAGATGGTTGACTTTAAAATAAACAACTGACGGAATTTAGTAGAAAAAAACTTTACTGATAATAAAAAACAAAAATATTTTTTATTAAGTGATGGACTCATTAAAGAGGGTCAACTGGCGGCTACTACATACTAATACAAATATTATTATAATAAAAACACTTGGAAATAAAAAAAAGTAACTAATTCCCTAATCTAGCCAGATAATGGCTATTCTACTACCCACGAAGGGGTCTTCAAATAGATATCAAGGGTACTAATTCCCTAATCTAGCCACATAATGCCTATTCTACAGCCTACAAAGGGTTCTTCTATTAGGTATCAAGGGACAAACTTGCTAATTTAGCCCCTTAATTGCTATTCTACAGATTTCAATAGAATCTTCTAATAGGTATCAAAGGTACCAATTCCCTAATTTAGACCTTTCAGGTCTATTCTACCACCAGCAAACATGGACTTAGATTATGTAGCAAGAGACTGGTTTCCCAATCTACCCATTTAATTTCTATTATATTTTCTATAAGGGATTTTCTTAATAGAATAATTAACATGGCCCGTCTACTAAATAAACGGGCTCTTCGATTAATTCCCTAATACCAAATTTCCATAGAAAAATCAAAAATACATTTTTTAATAATAAAAACACACTATATATTTATACTAAATCATGTTTTCCTAATAAAAACAAAATAGACAAAAACAAGTATTTTTCAGTTCAAAAAATATAAAAAGGAGGGAAAATGCTTGGATAAAATACAAAAATAATAAGAGAATAAATGGGGGGATTTAAGGCATCTGAAACATTTTTTGTATGATTTCACATGAGTGTAGTAGAGAGAAGCTGCTTTCTTGTCATTTTAAAAATAATTTTGAAATGTGCTTAATTTTAATAAATTTTTGGATAAAAAAATAAAAATTTCAAAATAAAAATAAATTTTTAAAAAATTAATAAAAAAATATATGGAGAAAAAAAAGACACACGAAAATTAATAAAGAATGGCTGGGTAAGCGAACAATTGCCATCATTCATCTTTCACGTCTAAAAATATTTTTTTGGCCTAAATTAATTTTTTTCTAATTCAGAAAATAGATTCTTTGAATAATAGACTAGACAACTTTAAAAATTTTTTTGGGAATTTTTGAGCTAATTGGGAACCTAAAAAATTTAAAAAAATAAAATCGGGACAATAAATGACTTGATATTCTTTTTCTTTCAAAAATTTTTTCTTCTTTTCCTTTTTAAAATTTAAAATCCAGCAATTACACAGTAGGATTCTAAAGCAGAAATTCCAATATAGAAAAGCCACAAACATGCGAAAAATCCAGATGTGAGAATTTGGAATTTGCGAGGGCCTCCTAATTCGCCTCCAATTGCTCTTAAATAAATTTTTTCTTAATTTTTAAATTAAAAGGATTTTTAATTAAAAGAAAATAATTTTTAAAAATATTTTTTAATCTTAAAAATAATTCAAAAATTTTTTTTTAATTTTAAATAATTTATAAAAAATTAAAAAATAGTAGTTTACGGATGTCTTCTAGCCACAATAACAATAACACAAACAAATGCTTCTATGCAAAATATAGTAACAGAAAACGCTAATGCTCTATAAAAATATTTTTTTAAATCAAAATAAATTTTAAAAATATTTTTTACCCCGGATCAACTCGAAAAACACTTCCTTTGAACCAATGATAAACGGCTGCTAATGTCCAAGCTATACCAATACCGAGAAATACATTTACCTATAATTTTGTGTTTTTATAAAAAGAGTTTGAATGTTTGTAAAACATGTTTTTAAAAAATAATTAAATGGTGGAAATCAGAAACACAAGATTTAAAAAAGAAAGCACAAAATCAGAAACACAAACTTTAATAAGAAAAACACAAGTAGTAAAACATTGTTTTACAACTTGTTTTTGCATAATGGAATGTTTGTAAAACATGTTTTTAAGAAATGATTAAATAAGGAAAGCTAAAACACAAACTTTAATAAGAAAAACACAAGTATTAAAACATGTTTTACAACTTGTTTTTGTAAAAAACTAAATAAAATCAAAAACACAAAAATACAAACATCAGAATCTAAAATAAGCTTACAGCATTTGATCCAGTAACATTTCCGATTGAATTATCTGCATATTTGTCTTGTACAGCAGAAACTTTGCTTGCAAACGTGTCTGGAACGGAAGTTCCTAAGGCCACAAAACTGATTGCAGTAACTGTAATTTAAAAGGTAAAATTGTAAATTTATTCGTTTTATTGTATTCTATATATAAGCTATTTATAAAATATTTAATTTTCACCTGCATCTTTTAGACCGGCCCAACAGCCCTTTAAAAATAAAAAATATTAATGGTATTTTGAAAAATACAAAAATGTTTTAAGAAAATACATTTCCCTAAATTTGACTTTAATTCCCGAACATGTTTATAAACATATTTTCTCTTTTGTACATGTTTCCAACTTGTTTTACAATTCCTCTGTAAGATTGTAAAACATGTTATTAAACTTTCCAGAAAAATGTTTTTTTGTTACTAAATGTTTTTATTATTTTGTTGTGATTTTAAAACAAGGTTTATTTATTTTATACATTTCCAACTTGTTTTATAACCTTTTCAGAGAGCCTTATAAATTCCAGAAAACAATGTTTTATTTAAATTAATAGGTATTTGTGTTTTTCTAAAAATAAAGTTGAACAACTTACAAATTGAGAAGCAAGATCGCCAATAACTGCAGTTAAAAGACCAATCTAAATTATTTAATTTCATTCTATTAATATAAAAATAAAAATATTACCATAAGGATAGAGACTGTAAAACATGCCCAACCGCCCCAATAATCTAAAAAATAAATTTAAAAAAATTTTTATTAAAAATTTTAAAAAATACCAGTAGGCGGAATAGTAGCAAATGCCAACTTCCACGGGACAGAAATAAAATGCATCAAATAGTCAGATTTACTCGGTTGTTTCCCCTTTCCTTTTGTAATTGACAATTCTTCCCCTTTCAATCCATCAGCTTCTCCAGGCTCCCGAATGACCAATTTAGTTGTTTTTCCCTCATCTTCATCTCCTCCTTCTTCCTCTTCATCATCATCTCCAGCACTTACAGTTAAAGCGTCAATAAATTGTTCACGCCAACTGCTAGTTCCAAGCATAAATGAGGCATTTGCTGTTTTTAACATTCTGTCAACAACACCCTAAAATTAAAACTTTCTTTAATTTTTCCAAAATGTTTTACAAATGTTTGTGTTTCCCAAAACATAAGAAAATACACATGTTTGTGTTTTTCAAAACATGAGAAAATACAAATGTTTGTTTCCAAAACATGAGAAAATACAAATGTTTGTGTTTTCCTAAACATGAGAAAATACAAATGTTTGTGTTTCTCAAAAACATGAGAAAATACAAATGTTTGTGTTTCCCAAAACATAAGAAAATACAAATGTTTGTTTAAAAAATTAATTTAATAAATATTTACAAACATAATTAAAACAACATGTTTTGAAATGTTTGCAGAAGTTTATTTAATGTTTCCCAAAACATTTAATAAACACAAGGAAATACACATGTTTAATGTTTTGTGTTTTTAATGTTTTTCTGAATAATAAAACACAAACAAATTGATTTACAATGTTCTAATTTATTTTTTAGTCTAGACAACAAAACCGGTAGATTCTTAAAAAGCTAATTACCGGCAAAGATTTTTGGCCAGAAAAAATATTAGCCAATTATTTAAAATAATAATAGGAAAAGCAATTAATGCTTACCCAATATTGTTTTTGAGAAAATATATTTTTTAATTACTAGTAGATTGTGCAATCGGCACAAAAAAAAACAAAAAGAAGAGGACATTTAATAAAATAAATACAAATAAATAATTAAAAATGAATCAAAAATTATGAAAAAATAATAAAAGAAAAATAGAAGCATTAGCAATTTATTTGAAGCTTTTAATGAGGCTATGCCGATAAAGCCAAGGTGATTAAAATGATTGACATGTAAAATGAACAATAAAAATACAAATAAAAAATAATGTTTGGAAGCCTATATATAAATTGAGAATATTTTCAGGAAAAACACAACAAACATTTAAAAATAATATTTTATTTAGCCTCAAAAATTAAATAGATTCCCAAACTCAATTTTATTAGAAACAAAACATTTGTTTTTTGTTTTAAAGAGAAGCATGTTTGTAAAACAAGTTTTACAACTCCCCAAACATTTTCCCCAACAAAATGTTCATTTAAAATCTAAACATTTTTTAAATTTAAATGTGTTTTTGTTTTAGAGAGAAACAAGTTTGTAAAACAAGTTTTACAACTCCCCAAAAATGTCCATCCCTATTAACTTTTTAAGACTAGTCCAATGTGTCGTAGTAATCGCTTCCATTGTAAATTTGATAAATGCATCAGGTAAACTTTTTTTAATTTCCAAGATTTTTGGCATTAAAATCCAAAATTAATAAATTTAAGAAGGCCTTTACGGAGGGTTATATGGAGGTTATGGATGGGGCGCTGCGCCTTACTGGCATTCCCATGACGGGCATGAAGGTTGGAATGGCCAGCACGGTCATCATGGACATGGAGTACACCATGATGGATATGGAAAACATGGGGATTGGGGGCATGATCGGTATGGAAATGATGGATGGGGGCATGGCTACAAACATAAAGACAATCACGGTAGGGAAGGATTTTGTGTTTTCTAATATTTTGTTTCGGCTTAGAAAACAATTCCGGAAAATACAACTTTCCGGAAACATGTGTTTTAGAAATATTTGTGTTTTAATAAACTTGTGTTTTATCACAACTTGTGTATTTTAGCAAAACCGGAACAAGAAAAGTTTTGCAGAACATGTGTTTTCCGGAAGTTTTTACTAAACATGTATTTTCCGGAAACATGTATTTTATAAAATATTCTGTTTTAAACAAAAAAAGACAAAACACAAATTTGTTTAAGACGATGGACACGCAGCCGGCTATGCAAAGGGTGACAAATCAGACTGGTCTAATTATCAATACGGAGGCCAAGGAAATAAGGCACAAGGGGATTCTTATGCTAAGGGATATAATAGTGCTTGGGGTGATGGACATGTTAGTTTAGAAAAATTTTGTAATAAAAAATTAATTTAAAGGATGATGGAACTGACTACAAACATGCCCATGGAGATGGACATGACAGGCAAAAAAATTTTTTTAAATAAAAAATTTTTTATAAAATTGGACTATTCCCCATTTAAAAATTAATTAAAAATAAAATTTTATAGCGGTTGGGGATCCCACAGTGGACATCATGATGACAAACATTGGGACGGTCATGGAGGAGATGGACATTGGGGAGGTCATGGAGGACATAGTCACCATGGAGGAGGAGGATATGGTCATGGAGGAGGATATGGACATTGAGTACTACTATTAGAATGAGGAAAAGAAAAAGAAATTTTGATTTAAAAAATTTTAGAAACAATTAAAAGATAGGTGACATTTGATCCCTCCCACACTCTCCTTTTTCTCCTCCCTTTAGAAAATTTAGTTTAGTAATAATTCTTAGGTTAGTTTAAGGAAAATAAAATAATTTAGATAATTTAGAATTAAATAATTAAATACCCCCTCCCATTAAATCATTTATTATAGCCAAATAACTCAGCATTCCCCTACTGCCCCCTTGTGATTTTACAACATTATATTTGTAAATTTTGATGAAAATATTAAAAGAATAAATTTTTAAAAAATTATTTTTTTTACCTGAAACTCTTTGCTCTCCTTTATTGTAATTTGACATTTTCTAAATTCCCCCAATCGTGGCTTTCCCAGTTCAGCAATTTCTAATTGATCAGGTGTTAAATTCATTAAATTCTCATCTGAAATTTGAAAAAAAATTAAAAAATAATTTAAAAAATATTTTTTTTGGTTAATTTAAGAAAGACAAGGACAGATTTAAAAGCATTTATTTTTTCTAATTTTTTTATTAAATAATTTTTATAAATATATTTTTAATAAATTAATGTTTCTGCTTGCCTTATGTGTTTTACAATTACAAAAGAAAGCAAAAAGCGTTTGGGACAGAAAGCAAAAAAGCAAAACAAGCAAGGAAAGAGGAAAATGTGTTTTAAAATACAAAAGAAAAATACAATGTTTGTATTACATGTTTTTGTTAAAAACATGTTTGGGCTACAAAAACACAAACAAATTGTTTGCAACAAATAAAATGTTTGTAACAAAGTAAATGTTTTACAAATTGTAAATGTTTTTATAAATTGTAAAATGTTTCTTTACAAATTGTAAATGTTTTACAAATTGTAAAATGTTTCTTTACATTTTGTAAAATGTTTTTTACAAATTGTAAATGTTTTTACAAATTGTAAAATGTTTCTTTACAAATTGTAAATGTTTTACAAATTGTAAAATGTTTTTTTACAAATTGTAAATGTTTTTACAAATTGTAAAATGTTCCTTTACATTTTGAAAATGTTTTTACAAATTGTAAAATGTTTTTCTTAAAACTTTAATAAATTGTAAAACATGGAAAAAACATTTAAAAATACAAAGCAATAAAAATACAAATATGACAGTTAAACAAACAATTGAGAAAAACATGAAAGAAAATACAAAACATCAAAAATACAATAATTACAACAACAAAAACACAAATTAACCTGAATTTTCTTCATCTTGCGATGTTTGCCCAAACCAAGAATTAACTCTTTTTCTGATTGATTTGTTGTGTTTCTTGTTTTCAAAATTTTCAGAAGTCATCTCTGGGCTCAACAAGTTTGTTTGACCGCCTGTGTTTTACAAAACATGGGAAACATGTAAAATAAAGAGAAAATAGTGAAAATAGAGGAAATAGTGAAAAATAAGAAAAAATATGAAGAAAAATGAAATTTTTGTTGAAAAATATTAAAAATAAGCTTTAAATAATTTAATGATTTTTCGTTTAATTTTGAGGGTTTTTTAAATTATTAATTTCCAAAAAAATTTTTTTTACCTTCTCCCAAAGTACTTGTAGTGCTTTGACGTCTATTATCAAAACTTTTGTTTAACCGTTGTTGTTCATTTAATGCTGCTGAACTACTACGGCGTTGTTGATCAGCAGAAGAAGCCCTTTTTCTTTCCATACGTCGATGGAACCGTTCTTGGACTTTTTTCATATCTAATTATTTTTTTGAAAAATATTTTGAATAAATTAAAAAGCAACATAAAAATGAAGCTTTTAAGCAGATTAAAATTGAAGCAAATAATTTTTAGTTAATTAAGTTAATTAATTTAATGTGTTAATATTTTAGATGTAATTTTATTTCAAAAATTTTTCTTCAAAAAAAAATTATTTTTTTCCATAAACTAATAAATTAGAAATAAATTGTTTGAACTGAATGATAGAAAAGTTTAAGGAGAAATGAAGCAAATATGTGTAAAAAACAAAGGAGAAGCAGAGAAAATCAAAAAAGAAAATTCCAAAACAAATTTTTTTTAAAACCAAATAATTTAAAAACAACTAAAAATCAACACAAAAAAATATTTAAAAATATATAATTAATTAGAAAAGGTAAAAAGTAAGTAAAAGAGAAAGGCCAGCAGAAGCAAAAAAGCAATTTTATTAATTTTTTAAAATTAGATTTATGTAGTTTCCCAAGATTCCTTATTTGTTATTTTTTATTTGTTTTATTAAGCGTTAAAGGAAAAAAAACTTTAAATTCTGTTATTTTAAAAATTTATATGTGTTTTGTGTTTTTGTTGTTAATTAGGTGAAAAAATGTATTTTGTTAAGGTTTGTATTTTATTAAATTATAAAGTGTTTTCCGGAAAATGTTTTTAAAAAAATACATTGTTGCTTCCGGAATTTTAAAGTTCCGGAAAGTGTGTGTTAAAATACAATAGTTTGAATGTATTTTTTCCGGAAAATGTTTTAAAAAAGAAATACAAAATTCCGGAAAGTGTGTGTTTTTACTGTATTTTTTCCGGAAATGTGTTTCTAATAAAATACAAAAAGAAAATAGGTAATTTGCTTACCGGACATCTTTTTAGTCCAAACAGGCGGTGACAATTCCAAATAGAAAAAATCTGAGCGTTCGTATTGTTCGGTATCAACAATTCCAATATCAATAAAGGCCCTAAATTTTATTTTATAAAATTAAAAAAATATTATTTAAACTCACTCAGTTTGATTATCCTCAAAAAGGATTTCTCCGCTTTCTTTAGCTTCATAATGTTTACCGGTGGTAGCAGACCCGTCGTAAGTTCTTAAATTGTATTTTTAAAAATAATTTAAAAATAATATTGAAAAATTAAAATTCCGGAAAATATGTACATTCCGGAAAAGTTGTTTAAAAATACATCAACAATGAAACACATGAGTATTTTCCGAAATATACATAGTTAAATTAATTTTAAAAATAAAATTTCCGGAAAATATTCCGGAAAGAATAATAAACATCACAAAACACATGAATATCCTTTTCCGGAAAGTTATATTATATTTTCTTTTTCCGGAATATATTACAAAATTATTAAGTTTACTTGTAAGGCAGTAAGACTTGACCCCTACATCCACTTGTCCTTTGCACCCTGAGAGTTATATGTCCACAATTTTCAACAACTTGAAAGTGATCGTATTCAAATGAAAATACACCAGCATGGTCATCATCTGAGTATTTTACATAAATTTATTTTTCAATTTTTTTAACAGACCAAGAATCATAATTGTTGCGGTAGTAGGCATTTCCAGCAGAGCCAGAGGAACACCTCCTAACCTTGTAGGGTCCTAAAAATATATTTTAACTATATCCATCTTGCAAGGGGTTAAATAACCAAAATAAGGCCATCACGTGTACGAACTCTCAAATTTGTTAAATGTAAATAAAAGTGTTCGTCTTCTTCAAAAACATCGTCATCCACGATTTCTAAAAAATTAAAAAAAAATTTCTAAAAAATAAAATTTCCTTACCAATAGGAATTTTGCAGTGCCTATCCTCAGGGTAAAACGTTAAGGTTCCTTTAGCAGGCTTATAGTCACTACCAGCTAAAATTTTAAAAAATTTTCTATTTTAAAAATTCTAATTTCCGTGTCTAACCATTGGCTGTTCCATCCTCCGTGTAGTAGTCAACCATGACTGTTAAACCTTCCGGGCCACCATCTCGGCCAACAACAACGTCTAAAAATACAGATGTTTTGATGTTTCCGGAAATGTATTTTGCACATTTAAATTTTTATGTTTAGATAAAATACAAAATCTTTCGGGATGTATTTTCCGGAAATATTATGTTAAATTATACATATAATAAATTATATTGAATGCTTTCCGGAAAAAAGTAAAATACTACAATGTTTGTTTCCCCAGAAAACAAATATTAAATTATGTGTGTTTTCCGGAAAATAAAAGAAAATTGTGTGTGTTTTCCGGAAAACAAATAAAATGTGTTTTTCCGGAAAATAAACAATAAAATTGTGTTTTCCGTAAAGTAAAATACATATTTTATTTTACAAACGTTTAAAAAACAAAAATATATCCTCAACCCACCAAAAGTCCCAACATTCTCCAAAACTGTATAATGAGCTGGATCAAAAAATATTCTACAAGTATTATGCCTAGCTTGTCTTTCTTGCGCTTCGATAACAATATCCAAAGCCTTGTCATGCTCTCTCGCCAATCGTTTTCTAACAATATCGCCACCACCAACAAGTCGACGAGTTGCCTGGACCTTTTTTTGAAGAATAAAATTTATTTAATTTTTCTAAAAATAATTTAATACCCTATAGAAGGCACGTGATTTTGGTCCTTTACTGATCATTTCATATTCAGCCTGGGAGAAGGGAAAAATTTTTTAAAATAATTTTTATCATTTCAAAACTTGTTTTTGTAATTCTTCTGGTTCCATGTGAGGATTTTTTCTTCTGAGTTCTCTCATTGTTTCAATAAATTCACGACGATGTTCCTCAAAGGCACGCAATGCTGGGTCCATGCCATCTTGTCCCCAATAACGATAGTCGTTTGTTGCCCAGAAAATTTAAAAAATATTGAAGGAGGGAGAGATATTAAAAAACACAAAAAACATTTAAAGAAAATGTGTTTTCCGGAAAAAACAATGTTTTAAATTTTCCAAAAGATGTTTTTAATGTTTCCAGAAACAAACATGTTTTTAATTTTCCAGATGTTCAAATTAATGTTTGTTGTTTCCCGTGTGTTTTTAAAATGTTTAAAACAGATAAAATGTTTTCAGGAATGTTTTAAACAAAATACAAATTAATAAAACATGTTTTTCTGATTTTTGTTTGAAACAAATTTAATTTTAAAAACTAACGACTCAATAGCAGAAGCATTAGTTAAGGCGCTTGTTCCATTAGTAGTTTCAAGCATTTTAAGCTCCTCTCCTTCGGTTGCTATCATTCCGTGAGAGCCACGACGATAACGGTGAGGCACAAATTTTTTCTTAAATTTTAAGAATATTTTTAATAATTAAATTCAAAGTAAAATGCCTGTATTAATTTAATATCAGCAATCCAAGCAGTTAAAACGGTAATAGGAAAGAAAGCAAAAGTTACTAGTCCTTCCCATATTTCAATAACTCCGGGGGAAAAATAAGCTAAAATTGCCCACAACCAAACATAAGCAAATATTGACCATGTTGCGGTAACAAAAAATACATCCAAGTGTTTTTGTCTTCTTACTTCTTTTGGGGGGACAGCAGAAACACAAATAGCAATAATCATAAATAAATTAAATGCTGCTGAACCGACTGAAAATTGTATGTTGTATTTTTTGTAATTTAATATAGTATGTAAATATTATTAGGAACAAGAAAATACAAGGAAAGTGTTTTCCGGAAAATACAACTAAACAAGTTTGTATTTTCTTAATTAATTCTGATTGTGTTTTAAATTAATTCTGATTTTTGTATTTTTCCGGAAAATACAAAACAAGCTGTATTTTTAAATTAATTCTGATTTTGTTCAAAATTAATTCTGATTTGTTTGGAATTAATTCTGATTTTGTTCTAAATTAATTCTGGTTTTGTTCTAAATTGATTCTGATTTTATTTAAGAAATATCCCGGAATGTGTTTTCCGGAAACTCATCCAGTTTATTAAAAATAATTATGTATTTAAACATTAAATAAATAACCAATAGTATTAGGACCCAAATCGCCTGCTTCAAAGCCTTTCCCGACCACCTCAATTATTGAAAGGAGTATTTCAGGTGCTGAAGAGCCGAGTGCCATAAGAGTCAAATTGGAAACCTTTAATTTAAATATTTTATTAATTTTCAAATTTAATTTTAAATTACAGTATCGTTCCATATTCTCACTTTGACTTTGGCTGGAGGAAGACCTAATCTTTTAACTACAACAGTCCTTTCCATACTTGTAATGACCTAAAAATACATATTTGTGTAATCATTTGCGAGTATTAATTTTCAAGTAAAAAGGACAGTTTTCCGGAAAAGTGAATTCATTGTATTTATTGTTTTCCGGAAAATAAACTGAATAAAGTGTTTTTTTATTTAAACAGACTTTTCCGGTTTTATATTTAACCATAAATAAATGTGTTTTCCGGAAAACACATTCACATTTTAGTGTGTTTTTAAATTAAATGCTTTTCCGGATTTGTTTTAAAATTATTCCAAAATGTGTTTTCCGGAAAATAAATTATTAATATATGTGTTTTGTTTTTAATTTTGAAAGACATTTTCCGGATTTGTTTTAAAAATACCTATAATAAAATGTATTTTCCGGAAAAATATTCTCAGTGTGTTTTCCGGAAAAAAATATTCTCAAATGTATTTTCCGGAAAAAAATATTCTCAGTGTGTTTTCCGGAAAAAAATATTCTCTAATGTGTTTTCCGGAAAAAATATTCTCTAATGTGTTTTCCGGAAGGTATTAAAAATACAAAAAATACAAACTTCAATACTCGACATAAACCTATCAGCAACAATAGAAACACCCAAAAACAAATATGCAATAACAAAAAAATATATTATTCCTCTCAAAAATCTATCTTCAGTCCCCAAATCTAAAAAAGGTTTCCATATAGGGACAAGCATTCCATCAACACAATTTCTTGTTGAATCTGCTTCTGTACAATTAGTGCCAGCATTAACTGGTTGAATAATTAATAAAAGAGTGAAAATGCCAAAAAATAACAAAAAATGATTGGAAAAATATTTTGATGATTGTTGTTGTTGATTAAATGAAGAAGAAAATGTTGGGAAGGATGAAGAGGAGGAAGGGGAGGAGGGAGAGTAAAATTGTCTCCTCCACCTTTTCTTCCTCATCAATCCATCGCTGTACATCCAGAAAAGGTTTTAAAATCTTTGAAAAAAAATTTTTTTAATTTTTAAAATTAAAATTTTTTAGTAGTTAAAAAGTGAAAACAGATAGATATAAAAATTATTAAATTACCCCAAATCACCTTAATAAAATTTCGCTTGGGGAGATTTATGAAATAAAGGTAGGTATATCAGTTAAGTAAAACATTAATTCTTGCAAAAAAAAATTCCGGAAAAAATGCATGAAAAAAAAATACAATTCCGGAAAGAAAATGCAATTACAAGTATCAAGGAAAATACAAAAATATCCTTCCGGAAAAACACATTTTTCTGTTTAAGAGGAAACACATTCCAGAAAACATAAAAACATTAAAACTAGAGCCTGGCCGGAGGGGTCGGTTAATATTCGATATAAAAATCTCGAAAAAAGTAAAAAAAGAATTTTGAAAAATTTTAAAAAAATTTCAAAATTTCACGATTTTCAAATTCAAAATTTTTTTCAAAATATATTGAAAAAAATATCGTATCGAGCCAGGCTCTAATTAAAACAGAGACTATATTCCTTTCCGGAAAAGTATTTTTAACAGAAAATAACGTTTACAAGTGATGATGCTTTTCCTAAATTTATTTATTAAATGATTTTTAAGACTAAGAAAATAAGAGGATTAGGAAAAAATAAAAGAAGGCGAATTTTTGAGAAAAAAGAAGTGAAAAGTTTGTAAATGAGTAGAAATAAAATAAAAAAGATCGTCTGCGCGGTTAAACAGCTTTAACAATTTTTTTATCTTTTTTCTTTTTATTTTTTAAAATGAAATTACCGCTACATGAAGTAACAGAAAATTTTTTGAGTTAGAAAAAATGAGGAGAAAAAAAATTATAGGAGAAAAAAAACTAGGTAGGTGGGTGGGTGAATGAAACACAAAAGAAGAGGGAAAAAATAAATTTAAATAAATATACTCAGAAAAATAAATTCTGAAAAAAACACAAAGAAAACACAAAGAAAATACAAATTGTAAAAGAAAAATACAAACATTCTGGAGAAAACACATAAAATACACATTTTGTCCTTTTGCTCTTTTAAACTTTGTTTTACTTAAAAATCAAGTGTGTGTTTGTGTTTTTAAGAGAACAAGTTTGTTTTCTAGCCATTTCTTTCTTTTCCGGAAAAACACAAAACTAAGGTTGTCAAGTTGTTTTAAAGAGATTTTTTTTAAAGTTTTTAGATAATTTCCAATATTATTATATGTAAATTCTTAAACCACTTGAAAAAAATAATTTTAAAGTTAAAGTTGAGAAGTATAAACTCAAAAAAAATTTTTTTTGAAGTGTGCCGGGAATATTTTTAAAGAAAATTGACAAAGTCAAGAAGCCTTTCCCCTTCTTATGTAAACAATAGGGGGTAAAATAAAGGTATCATTGTCGTGTGAAAAGCAGGAGAGAAACAAAACGGAAAATATAGAAAATAAAATATTTTTTAAAAAATATTTTGAAAAATATTCCCAAGATTTTACGAATTTTATGCGTGGGGAAAAATGATATTTGGGGGGGGGGGGGATATAGGCATTGCTGTATTTTAATAAAAAGTATTTTCCGGAAAGTGTTTTATTAATTTACGGAAAAACATTTAGAGTTTAATTGTAAATAGAAAATACAAGTATAGATGGAAAAATACATTCCGGAAAATAAATAGAAGAGAAAAAATACAAAATATTTCCGGAAAAGAAAAATACAATTCCAAAAAACACAAACACATTAGTCATTTTAATTTAAAACCGGAAAGTGTATTTTCCGGAAAAATGTTAGAGACAGAAAAACACAGTTGATTTCAGAAATTCTTTATAATAGTCATTTCCGGAAACTTAAGTTCGCAAACTTAAGTTTCTAGAACTTTTAAGTTTTAATGGTTTTACTTAGTTAAATTTTATTGAAATAAAATAAAAGAAAGGTGTGTGTATAAATTTTCCATTAAATTTGTTTAGACATTTAACTAACCGGAAAATCTTAAAAGTTTTTTTGTCAAAAGTGCGGAATTGATGAGGAAATAGGATTTGTTGTTCCCTAGAGAATAAAAAAATTTGATTTGCTTTTCTTTTATTTTTTTATTAATTTTCTTCATTTTAGGAGGGAAATAAGAAGAAAAATAAGTTAAAATTTAATTGATATTTTTTAAAAATTTCAGCAGAACGAAAATTTTTTTTGTATTTTGTTACTTTTTTTTATTAATTTCATTCCCATTTTTCATATTTTTATTTTATTCACTAAAAATTATTATTTACTATTTTATGACGAGATAAACCGAAAAATAAATAAATATATTATAGGCAATAAATTGTTCAAGTGCTTTGTCGGCATCGTCATTGCCTAATGGGCATAATAATATAAAAAATAAAAGGTGGTTGGAAATAAAAATGAAAAAAATTTTTTAAGGTGTTTAAAGGAGGGAGAAATGAGGCGAAAATATAAGTGATTGAGTGGAAGAAAATGATCCGGAAAAAATACAAGGAAGTAAAATATATAGACAACGGTTAATTTGTAAAAACACAAATAAAGAAGCAAAATACAAATCCGGAAAATACAGAATATTGTGTTTTTGTTTAATTCTGATATAATTTTTGTGTTTTTTCCGGAATTTTATTTAAATGTATTTTTGGGAAAAGTTTTTCCGGAAAGTATAATAAAGGTATTTTCTATGGTGAAATACAAAAAATGTGTTTAGAATCCGAAAAGTAAGTCTATTTGTATTTTCCGGAATTTTTTCTAGGTGTATTTTTAACAAGTGTTTTCCGGAAAGTATAAAAAGTATTTTGTATGGTGAAATACAAAAATGTATCCAGAAAATACATCCGGAAAATACATCCATCTGTGTTTTCCGGAATTTTCTTTAAGTGTAAGTGTTTTCCGGAAAGTTAAATTAGATGTTGAAAAATAATTTTAAAAACAACTTAACAATTTAAAAATAAAGAAAGGAGGCAAAAAATTAAATAAAAATATAAAGATAGGGCAAATCAATGAATTAATAAATAGGTATTAAAGACTCGCGCAGCTTAATTTTTTATTTATTTTTATATTCAACCTAATCTTTTATTTTTCCTTTTAATGAAGTATCGTTAATGAGGATAAAAATACGGAAAAAAATAATTTAAAAATAATTATTTTATTTAGCCAAGAATTGAAGAAAAATACAAAAAATAAAAAAACTGGAAAAAAATAAGTTTTTTGGAGGGTAAAAACAAAAGAAAAATGATGGTATCAAAAGGTGTAGTTACGTCAGTTAAAATATAAAATTTTATCTTAAAATGTTATCTAAAAATTATTTGTTGAATGGTAGGCCTCATTTTAAGAATAAAAAATTAAAATTTAAATTAGTAAACTTTGGTTGTTGTTGAAAAATTCAAAAATACATTTGTTCTAGAGAAAACTTGGAGAGAGAAAAAAATGAGTCCGGAAAAACACAACCGGAAAAACACAATCGTCCGGAAAAACACAACATTTGTGTTTTAAACAAAGTTTGTTTTAACAAAAACATTTTCTTTTCAGAACAATTAAATTCTGATTTATTCTCTGTATTTTCTTTAATAAATTCTGATTTTTATTTTTATATGTATTTTTCCGGAAATATTAAATTCTGATTTTTTTAATTTATTATCTTTCCGGAAAAGTTTAATTCTGGTCTATAATGTGTGTGTTTTAAACAAAGTTTTCCGGAAAACACAAGTTGTGTTTTAAACAAAGTTGTAAAAGTTGTGTTTTACTTAAGTTGTGTTTAAAAACAAACATTGTGTTTTTCCGGAAAAACACAATGTTTGTGTTTTAAACAAAGTTTTCCGGGAAAACACAAGTTGTGTTTTACTTAAATAAAAACATTTGTATTTTCCGGTTAAAATGTTTGGATGTTGTTTAAATCGAAAACACATTAAAACTTGAATTAAAATAAAAACACAAAACATTAAAAATTATCGTAAAATAAAATAAAAACTTGGAAGGTTTGAAAGGCAACAAAACTTGAGGAGAAAAAATATTTTTAAAAAGAAAAACTTGGAATAAAAATGACAAACCAATAAAAATAAGAAAAAGTGCAGAATTTTAGTCAAACCTAAAACATGTGTTTTGGACAATAAAAAGAAATTTTTTAACGAAAAAGATCGATCTATCTCGTTAATTTTTTAAAAATTATTGGTGAACAAGGATTAAAAAAGATGATTCTATTTTTTATAAACTTTAAAATTTAATAAAGGAACCACTTTTTTTGGTAGATGAGGTAAATCGAAAAGATTAAATCAAAATTTAAGACTTAAGTTGGCAATAACTTGGCCCTCATTATGCTAAACCGAAACTAAAATAAAAATTCTGAGTTCTATAACATATCTGAAAATCAGGCTGATCCTCATGCGCCAAAAAGTGTCCCTTTCTTAATTAACTTATTTTCCGGAAAAATTAAATTATTGTGTTTTGTTGCATTCCGTAAAATGTTTGAAAGTTTCCGGAAGTATTTAAATTAAATTCCGGAAGATGTTCAGATGAGATTCTGATGTTTTATTCAATTCAAAATGTTTTTCGTAAAAGTGTTTTGTTTTAATTAAACGATAAAACAGAATTTCTAAAAATTGAATAGCTTTGGATTAAAAAAAGAACAAAAAATCTTTTTTTAGATTTTTCCCACACATAATTAATTTTAAATTTATTTCTAAATTTGGAAAAAATGTCCAAAAATTTTTCCAAATTTATTTTTCTCTTAATTTGGCATTTAATTTTTTATTGCTTTGTTCTTTTCATTTAAAATTTTCACATGGATTTAAATTTAAAATTTTTTTAAATTTTTTGATTTTTTAAATAAATTAATAAATGTAAGAGTATTTTATAAATAAAATTTAAAAAATTCCGAAATTCTGAAAAATATTTTTCCGTTAATTTTCCACCTGTAACTCACTACTGTATATCAAAACAACACCAAAATGATGTCAGATAAAAGATTAATTGACTAATAAAAAATAGGAGTAATAAAATTCTATTTTATGGAGGGTATTTTTACATA